ACACAAATTTTATCTTTCAGCTTTACAGGGTATTTGACTGTATACTAATTAGCATGATTAACAAAGGAATAAAATACTGCCATTTCTAATACATATCTAGTAGTAGCTGTTGTAAATACTAGACATATCACATGTTTTGATTGTAGTGATGAAGATTCTGTGCTTAAACTTGCATGTCAACAAGTAAACAAAAAGGGCAGCACAATCAAGATTTAGTCATCAGCCCTAGGGCAGCAATGACCCTGCATCCCCATACCCCTTCACACAAAAAAACAACCCCTCCCCACCCAATTACATCAGTTACAATTACATTAAATTGCATATCTTCTTCACTGTGCCAATTCCATCTCCAGTACATGGCAAGGCATTCCAGACTCAAAGAGAGAGAGGAGTGAGTTAACATTTTACATCAGCAATATTTCAGCCATATTGTGGTGACCAGACTCAAAGAATGCAGCATATATAAAAGTGTGAGGTGAGAAGAAAGCTTGGGCCAAAATGCCAGTTCTATATATTTGATTTCTGTAATTAAAAACATTGTGTTTGTTTGTAGCTTAGTGCCATTCTCAGTGATATCCTAGCAACAAAATATTTCAGTTTGGATCTGACAAACCAGTGACTGATATTGTGAGCAACAACATAGATCGATATTATGATTTCCACACAATCAACCAAATTTACCTTAGCCCCAGACTCTAACATTATGGATATTCATGATCATAAGATCAATGTACTGTTTAATGAACACGGTAACTTAACATCAACGACAATGTATGTCTGTGTCTCTCACACTAAATCACTCACACACCACATACATTTCTGCCATGGTATTCTTGCTCCCATAAAACTATGCAAAAGTTGGTGTTGGGGGTATCCTTTGGGTTAAAACATTAACTTATCACGATGAAGATCAAGTATTGAATCTTATCCCATGCTGGTCATGCTGTAGCATGTGACAATGCATAAATCTACTTTTGACAGCATGATACATCCACCCATGTATCTTTGTACATGTTTTATGCAACATACAAAAATGGTGGCAATTAAGTATCTCAATAGATATTATTCACTGACTCAAATTGTGAATCAATATGTGATAGGAATATCATGACACATGGTCTAAGACTGTTAGAAGGCATATACAAGATATAAACCATGAAAACAAAACCAAAGCCTGAATGTTTAAAATTGTGTATATAATGGAATACAGTAACAATCTATACCATGTACACAGTGCTGTGTATATAGATTGAAACTGGAAGTTTCATAAGCTGTCAACTCAATAAGTACACTTGAACATGGAAATGATGTTACTGATATCAGTAACATAGCATAACTGATTATCTTTACATACTCAAAACACACAAAATATAATTATTTTTGTAAACAGGTCAATATCATCACAACTTATGGTCACTCATTTGTCAAATGTAATAACTTCATAAGATAGGTAAATCATTAAGTATATTATGAATTAATAAATTATATGAAAGAGCCAGACTGTAGAAGACCTCCTACTGTCTAGATGATACTAGATTTTGTATCATGAATGGAATTCAGAAACTTCACACAATTAGTGGTGGCCCCCGATAATCCAGTGTGTCACACCAGTATTCATGTGGCTGAGGAACCTGCATAAACCATCTGATTGTTGGTTTGCTGTTCTCTATAGATGCACTTTCAACATTTTTATTTCCCAAAATGCCGGACATTGGAAGCTCCCTTGTAATAATGGCAGTCTCGACTCTGACTGTTGTTGTATGGAGGGGCCAAATATCCAAGAAAGCAGCTACCCACCCGCAGATTGTATCTCATGAATATTTCCTTCACTTGGTGACAAAAGCAGCTTGTAATCATCCATTCGATGTAATTACTTGATCATGGCGTAAACAAACCGATCTCACCAGAGGTTTCTACTTACAAAATGTAATTTCTTTCCACGTCTTCTGGAATCGTTCTGCATCAAGACTATAACTTTTCAAGTGAACCGACCCATGAATCCACTTTTGCAGAATCATACATGGTAGGGTGATCATGCGTGGGTAATTTGCCTCCAGATTTTGCGACGAAATATTTCATGGTAAAAAATGTCATCTCCCGAAATGTGGACGTATGTGACAGGGTGCGTAAATCTGTTTCCGAAGTTCTATCTGTCATGGATTTCAGGTCAAAGTTAACATCTTTCGCGGTGATTGAATTCAGTCTAATTGGTGGTTATTCATCTGTTCTTCAAAATCGTGTCGTGTTGTTTACGGGAAAAACGCGGAAGCGTCCATGCTTTTTGTATGGGGCAGCCATTTTGAGATCCCTTGTACTAATAACAAAGAGATCAAACCAGAAACGAATTTAGAGAAAATGACTTTTTCTGAATATCTTATCAATTTAGTTAATGATATTATTTAACATTTTAAAGGGATAATGAACACGTTATTATTTTTAGAAAAAAATTAATTCGTTTTGATGTTTCAAGAGCTTAACGTATTTAATAAATGAGCCATTTCCGTATTTCTTTCTTTCTTAGCATTGACTTTTGTATAATTTTAATCTCCAACCCCTCATCAAAGTTGTGTGTTACATCATTCATAACGTTTCACTGCAAGCATATTGTACATCCATATTAAATACGAGTTTATTATGTTGTTTTAAATTCCAATGTTGTAGACAAGGACATTTAGCCATACATTTCTTCAAAAAGCACTAAAGAGCTATCTGCAAGATAGTGTTTAAAAGGGTACAAGGAAGTACACACCGATATGAATTGGATAACAACAAACACTCGCTGCAAACGATGATAATGGATAACTGAAGTAAAATATGAGCTGGTATGCAGTGGAAACTGGTGTTTCTTTTTCAACGAATGAAGTTTGATAAATCATTACTGTTCAAGAGAATGTTGACAACTAAACGAATCTCGACTAACTTTCTTTGGTCGCATGATAAACGTTGAATCAACGTTTATGAAAGGTTGATCAACCAAACAACCAAAATTCAACGTTGATTCAACGTTGATTCAACGTTGTGTGCCCGCTGGGATATGTATTTGCTTCAGGGTCTGTATGACAGACTAGTCAATCAAACCTTCCGACCACCTCCGTGATCTTGTAGTAAATGGTCTCGTGGATAGAGCGTCAGCCACGAAAGCGGAAGGTCGGTAGTTCGAACCTTGGAACCACCACACCAATATGTGAAACCTATAATACACGTTCATTTGTAATGTGATATCCGCTCAGCAGGCCCTTGTGTCGTTGTTTTAATATTTCTAGATCAATAAATACCACGAGCGTCAAAAGTAAACTTAGGCACAGTATTATTCGTTACACTGCCATACTGACAGTATGATAGTTCTATAAAACGGGCATTATATTAGGCGGAAAAGTTACAGCGCGCCCACGCGAGCACACAGGTCACAACGTGAGTGCAATGAAATGAATACACCACACCCAGGGGCGGATCTAGGATTTAGGACTAGGAGAAGGGGTCGTGTGGGGTGGGTGGGTCCATGCAAAGTGACTGAGCTGTATGACCAGAATGGAATGATGATCTAAAACACGAGGGGCGGTGGGGGTAACCTAGCTAGAGGTTACAGCGTTCGCTCGGCCTGCCCGGGTTCGATTCCACAAATGGGTACAATGTGTGAAGCCCATTTCTGGTGTCCCAAGCCGTGATATTACTAGAATATTGCTAGACACGGTCTAAAACTAAAATCACTCACTCTGAAACACGAACAAAGCTCCATGTCAATGGGGCACATTGAAATAAAATTCAAAATACATGTGTATACTATTCACACTTTGCTAAGGATCAAATCATGTTTTCAACAGAAAACTATGATGTGGGGTCAAATTTGGTTTAAATACCTAAGCTTATTGTAAGCATGGATCATAGGTTTCAGTTTGTCATTTCTTCTTGTGGATCCCATACCTGCTATTGACAGGTGTTGTGTACTTGTCAGTGACTGGTTCCATGATTTGCAAAATGGCTGACTGGTGCCATGAAAACCATTTTTATGGTTACTCGTGTATCAGGTGCATAAGGTTAGATTAAAGTGACTGTTTGCCTAAAGAGGGGTTACCACATTATAAATTATCAAGTTTTAAATGGAAACAATTTCAAATTATGAATCTATGTTAGTAAAGTAGTGATTTTTTTGTGATCCTTAGCAAACTGTGAGTAGTATAGTGCCTCTTTTAAGGTAATGTACAGACCAGAAGCCAAGGTGGGTATTGTAACACATATCCTCCAGATGTGTTACTGTGGATGTTCTTAACTTGTTTTGAGTTGTATAAACTATAATGCAGCTATCAACATAAGAAAACAGCTTTCACACCCCAGGTCTTGGCAATAAAGCAAAACACACAGATGTTCTTATCACAGTATAAATACGCAGAAAACTTTGAAATGGTGTCACTTATTAAGAGAAAATAACTGTTAAACCTTCAGAATTGAAGACAAAGTGTGCTCTTTATTTGTGGACAATGAGGTAGCCTCCTCTTACTCATTCTAGACTCGGATTTGATCTCACACATGGCTACAATGTGTGAAGCCCATTTCTGGTGTCCACCCACCATGATATTGTTAGAATATTGCTAAAAGCGGCGGCGTAACACCTTATTCACTCACTCTTATTCATTTGACGTTTTTGTCAGGAGCATACCCCTGCTTTGTGGGTTTCAAACATTGAGATCTGCATCACCTCAAGATTTCTTCCCATTTAGCTGGTATTCCATGATGTAAACAAAATGTTCAAAGCACCAATGCACCAAATTCACTCACTATACAGACGACACAAAACTATTTGTGTGACTCTTACATGCTGTGGACATAGCTTAGATTTACCCTCACCTGTCTTTTGTCAGGGTCTCATCGAAGGTCTACTTTCTTCTGAACACGAGACAGTCCTTCAGGATGTCATTAAACATGTTGATTTAGGTAGTTTCTCTTTAATAGTTTATATTAAGTAAATAATTAGATCAAAGTAGAAAAAAAACAATAAGATATGCTGGTAATCAAAACATTTATACAGTCAAATTCTTTAAAGAACAGAGTAACAAATGATATTGGTTCATCAACAAGGTAAACAGCTGAGAATGCTTTAAGTGTAGCACTTTTGTAGGTCAGGCATAGATATATACAATCTTCTCTCTTCCAGCTCTTTGATAAACTGCAAGAATTGGAAAAACACAAGACTAGGATAAAGTGGAACACAATCACAGAATAGATGTTTGTCATTAAGTATCACACTCACACAAATTTTATCTTTCAGCTTTACAGGGTATTTGACTGTATACTAATTAGCATGATTAACAAAAGGAATAAAATACTGCCATTTCTAATACATATCTAGTAGTAGCTGTTGTAAATACTAGACATATCACATGTTTTGATTGTAGTGATGAAGATTCTGTGCTTAAACTTGCATGTCAACAAGTAAACAAAAAAGGGCAGCACAATCAAGATTTAGTCATCAGCCCTAGGGGCAGCAATGACCCTGCATCCCCATACCCCTTCACACAAAAAACAACCCCCTTCCCCACCCAATTACATCAGTTACAATTACATTAAATTGCATATCTTCTTCACTGTGCCAATTCCATCTCCAGTACATGGCAAGGCATTCCAGACTCAAAGAGAGAGTGAGTGAGTTAACATTTTACATCAGCAATATTTCAGCCATATTGTGGTGACCAGACTCAAAGAATGCAGCACATATAAAAGTGTGAGGTGAGAAGAAAGCTTGGGCCAAATGCCAGTTCTTATGTATTTGATTTCTGTAATTAAAAACATTGTTTGTTTGTAGCTTAGTGCCATTCTCAGTGATATCCTAGCAACTAAATATTTCAGTTTGGATCTGACAAACCAGTGACTGATATTGTGAGCAACAACAGATCATTACGATTTCCACAATCAACCAAATTACCTTAGCCCCAGACTCTAACATTATGGATATTCATGATCATAAGATCAATGTACTGTTTAATGAACACAGGTACCTTAACATCAATGACAATGTATGTCTGTGTCTCTCTCACACGCAATCACTCACACACCACATACATTTCTGCCAGGGTATTCTTACTCCCATAAAACTATGCAAAAGTTGGTGTTGGGGTATCCTTTGGGTTAAAACATTAACTTATCACGATGAAGATCAAGTATTGAATCTTATCCCATGCTGGTCATGCTGTAGCATGTGACAATGCATAAATCTACTTTTGACAACATGATACATCCACCCATGTATCTTTGTACATGTTTTATGCAACATACAAAAATGGTGGCAATTAAGTATCTCAATAGATATTATTCACTGACTCAGTGAATCAATATGTGATAGGAATATCATGACACATGGTCTAAGACTGTTCCCGGCATATACAAGATATAAACCATGAAAACAAAACCAAAGCCTGAATGTTTAAAATTGTGTATATAATGGAATACAGTAACAATCTATACCATGTACACAGTGCTGTGTATATAGATTGAAACTGGAAGTTTCATAAGCTGTCAACTCAATAAGTACACTTGAACATGGAAATGATGTTACTGATATCAGTAACATAGCATAACTGATTATCTTTACATACTCAAAACACACAAAATATAATTATTTTTGTAAACAGGTCAATATCATCACAACTTATGGTCACTCATTTGTCAAATGTAATAATTTCATAAGATAGGTAAATCATTAAGTATATTATGAATTAATAAATTATATGAAAGAGCCGACTGTAGAAGACCTCCTACTGTCTAGATGATACTAGATTTTGTATCATGAATGGAATTCAGAAACTTCACACAATTAGTGGTGGCCCCCGATAATCCAGTGTGTCACACCAGTATTCATGTGGCTGAGGAACCTGCATAAACCATCTGATTGTTGGTTTGCTGTTCTCTATAGATGCACTTTCAACATTTTTATTTCCCAAAATGCCGGACATTGGAAGCTCCTTGTAATAATGGCAGTCTCGACTCTGACTGTTGTTGTATGGAGGGGCCAAAATATCCAAGAAAGCAGCTACCCCACCTGCAGATTGTATCTCATGAATATTTCCATCACTTGGTGACAAAAAGCAGCAATCATCATTCGATGTAATTACTTGATCTTGGCGTAAACCGACTGATCTCACCAGAGGTTTCTGCCACAAATGTAATTTCTTTTCCACATCTTCTGGAATGTTCTGATCAGAAACAAGACTATAACTTTTCAAGTGAACCGACCCATGAATCACTTTACAGAATCCATACATGTTAGGGTGATCATGCATGGGTAATTTGCCTCCAGATTTCACGACAAATATTCCCATGGTAAAAATGTCATCCTCCCAAATGTGGACGTATGTGACAGGTGCGTCATGTTCCGAAGTTCTGTCTGTCACGGATTTCGGGTCAAAGTTAACATCTTTCGCGGTGATTGAATTCAATGCTAATTTGAGGTTATTCATCTGTTCTTTAAATACCGTGTCGTGTTGTTTACGGGAAAAACACTGGCAGGCTATCCGTGCTAACTTTTGTATGGGCGCAGCCATTTTTGATCCTTGTAATAATAACAAAGTCAAACCGAAACGAATTTTAGAGAAAATTATTTTTTTCTGAATATCTTATCAATTTAGTAAATAATATTATTCAACATTTAAAAAGGATACGAACACGTTATTATTTTAGGAAAAAAATCATTCGTTTTGATGTTTCAAGAGCTTAAAGTATTTAATAAATAACCCATTTCCGTATTTTCTTTTAGCATTGACTTTTGTATAATTTTAATCTCCAACCCTCATCAAAGTTGTCTTGTTAATTATTCATAACGTTTCACTGCTATTATTGTACATCCATATTAAATACGAGTTTATTATGTTGTTTTTAAATTCCAATGTTGTAGATAAGGACATTTAGCCATACATTTCTTCAAAAGCACAAAGACCTATCTGCAAGATAGTGTTTAAAGGGTACAAGGAAGTACACCGATATGGGTGGATAACAACAAACACCTGCCAAACGATGATAACGGAAGACTGAAATAAAATATGAGCTGGTATGCAATGGGAAACTGCGTTTTTCAACGAATCAGTTTGATAAATCATTAATGTTCAAGACAATAGCCGAGGTGTTAAAAACACACACACAAAATTAAAATCCAAATTTCCTGCTGAAAACGGATATTGATTAATGTTGGTTAGTTACATTCCACTACTGTTGTATATATGCCATTATTAGTTATTAGATGTTTTATGTTTCCATATTATTTCAACAGGAACCCGTTCAGCCGTTTGTCGGCGCCAAAAAAGACTGTGATATCAAGAACTGTAAGTGTTTCCATATAGCTTGAAAAGACAGGGGTTTCATATGATCAGAGAACTATTAACATTGTGTAATTTATACAAGTTGATATGGTTTAAGGGAACAAAATATATTGTTTGAATATGTAATGATGTACCCAAGGTGAATCATTCTTCAGCTTAGTAATATTAGAACCATCTAACGGGATTAGGTGGTCAGGTTCACTAACTTGGTTGACACATGTCATCATATCCAAATTATGTAGATCGATGCTCCTGCTGTTGATCACAGGATTGTCAGGTCCAGATTCGATTATTTACAGACCGCTGTCACATAGCTGGAATGTTGCTGAGTTAAGCAACAAGAAAAAACGAAAGAAAACATGTCCTTTTTTCATTGTTCTTGATTGATTAATTGTTGTTAAATGCTGCACTCAGGAATATTCCAGCTATATGGCAGCGGTCTGTAAATAATGAAGTCTGGACCAGGCCATCCAGTGATCAACAGCATGAACATCAATCTATGCAATTAGGATATTGACATGTGTTCATTGTTCTTAAAGAATCATATAATTACAAGCAAAACACTGACCACTGCTCAGCCACATGGTGAATATGTCTCGTACACCATGGTGAATACATAGTGCTGCTTATTTGCTTTCAGAGGTTAAATAAATATTTTGCATGACATATTCTAACCTTGTTCATGTATTCATGACTGGTATCAAAGTTTCCTCATTAAGAGCACAAAGTCTCTGTTCTATCATTGCTGAGTTTAATTGGCTGAACTTGATGACCTGTTTTAAATTCAGTGACAAGGTACACCCACACACCATGAGGAAGTCATCACACATAATCTCCTTTCTCTGTGTCAACAGAAAATAACCTTATGTATACAATGGTCTAATCTTCTACATGCCCTGACTCTGTACTTGTATGTAAAACAAGAGGATGTTTAGGAAGAGACATACATGCACCTTCAATCATCCTGTGAGTCAAGAGTTATGTCAGAATGTATTTGATATTTATCCTCAACTACATTCATCACAATCAAGTGATTTCATAAATATTTCCATTCATTTGTTTTCAGGCTGAAAGGGAATTTGAAAAAGAAGTAAAGAAATTAGAGGAGTAAGTATTCAATTTTGATATCTTGTTTCTGGTCATGTATCTATGGTTGGACATGGTAGGGTGTATACCAGCTGTTTTATTGTCGAAATAAGATACTTCATAAATATGCTCTTCTGATTATTCTGTAGATTTAAGATACATCAATGGAGGCAAATAAATCCATCTACTTGCTGGGTTAAGGAATATCATCGGAACTACTGAAACTGAATTCGTCATTTACAAATATATATCATATGCGTGATATTGGTCAAAGTCCATGGAAATTTACATCCTTGTGATAGGAGCCTAATAAAGCCTTGGATAATCTTGTTAATTGGGCTATTTAATATTTCAGTCACTGTTATGTATTTTGTACACTATATTTCATGTTATTCAATGTCTTTTACTTTTGGAACTGGTAATTTCCTAAAGGGTTAGTGGTTGGGTGGAAACTTATCCTTTATTGGTCCAAAAATATAACTCTGTCTTTTGTCTGATTTTAAACTGTATTTACTGGATGTACATGAATGATTCTTGTATATGACCAATAGTAACATGAGGTGTGTATGAAAATAAAGATATTGTGTATTTGTTTTGTAATTTATGTTTGTGAAGAGATGTATCTTGTATAGGTGAGTTTCTCTCCTCAGATTAGACGAGGTCACGAGAAAGTTGTACAAGGATGCTAAACGCTTGGTTGAGGCTAATAATGGTAAGTTCACTGTTTATCATGTTTACAGGCCGCATGTTTTATGGTTGACATATTTTTCCTAATTGACCAGCATGATTTGATTAGGCCAGTCAAAAGAATGAATTATCCCTATGCATTTGCTTGATTTCGAGCTCCACTGCCGCTACAATTGTTTTTTCACATCATTTTTACAGATGTAAGAGTACTTTTTAACAAATGTTTGCTATTTTTCAGCCGTTACAAAAAGTGAGCGCAAGCTGACCCAGGACCTTTTGACCTCTGCCTTCTGCCAAGGGGAGGATACTCTGCATCGCAATGTGGAGGAGTGGGATCATGCTGTTGTTAAGCTTGATCTTCATGCTCAGGAACTGGTGAGCTATCTAACGATATGGATAAAATGGCTGGATCTTCAGTTTAAGAACAATATGACTGTATATATCATGTGCTCTTATACATGCTTTACATGTTCGAATCCAACAAACATTTTAGGTCAAGCTTGGTGACAGTTAGGGACCATTCAATAGAGTCTTTTTACAGTCTGATGACTTTTGATGATATATATTTTGGGCATCACTGAACATGTTGAATATGAACATTAGCTTGCCATTAACTTTGTCCTTGTGTTTAAACCTGCAGATATATTCTAGATTGACTGATGTACTGATTGATTTCTCAGTGACAGTATTGATTATAACAGCTCAGTGTCTGTCAATATAGAATTGTACCTGTGAAGTTTCGTGTTAGAATGGTCTTCAACGACCCTTGCTTGCCATAAGAGGCTTATGTGTTGTCAGACTTGCAGACTTGGATGATGCATGTCACCATATCCAAATTGCATAGATCAATGCTCATGATGTCAATCACTGGATTGTTTGATTCAGACTCAATTGTTTACAGCAGGCATCAGATAGCTAACAAATTACTAGTGCGGTGTTAAACAACAAACAAACAGTGAAGAAAAGAAGTAACTTAAATTGTGAATGTATGATAAATATTTATTTTCCAGAATGCTGTCATGCAGAAAACATTGATAGACCCCATGAAAAAGTGAGTATTGTGTACTGGATTTCTTTAAATTGTTTAGAGACTTTGTAACAAGACGGAATAAAAGATAAATATTGTTAAATACTGGTTTAGGTCAAGTTGTGTCCCCAGTGATTTATTGAAATTTGTGTACCTGTTGATACATTGAAAGGTTTTGGATGACTGATGGGTTTTTCCATTTAATGTAAACCTGTTTCCAGTTGATGTTTTGTTTGCAGATACAACAGTATTTTCCCAAATGTTCAAGCAGCTGTCAAGAAGAGAGAACAAAGCTTGCAGGCAAGTTAATAAACTGACTATCCCAATTCACCAGGTTTGTATATTCAGTCAGGACCGGGGATAGAAAACAACATCTAACTGTCATACTTTTCATGACCTTTAGGAAACAGACATACAGTATCTCTGGAATAAGAGATTCTTAAAGGCATTGTGTTTATTATGTGACCTAAATTTCTACTATCTGATTGGTTGAATCGTCACTTGGGTGTCTTGACACAACAATATGTTATGTTAACCGCACATGGGGTTGATGTAATAATTTGCAGACCACACTCGGTTAAAAATAGAATTGTAACCCCATAACGTAAACTTCTGATCCTGCATGTCTCCTGCAACTGCCCAAGATAAGCATCACTACGTTCCTGTGCCAATACTGATTCAGAGTTGCTTCCCTTTCCAAACAATGGCTGATGAGAAGGTTGATAGATGTAATCTTAAACCAATCTTACACTCATGGCCATCACAGTTTTTGTGTCATATAACAGTTATTGACTTAGTTTTGGTTGATCGCCTTAGTGAATAGCACTTGTCCAAGGTCTATGAATCATTGGATCAACATCAAGTGAAGTCAGTAATCCTATGTTATTATCCGTGTCTCTGTAGCCTTACGGTTCACTCACAGAAAAAATTAACATTGCAACATCATCCTCTGGAATAAACAGGCATGTCGTGTGATATTAGTCTTCATATTCAAGCAAAACACACAGTTGTTCCTATAATATTATAAAAATGCTGAAAACTTTGAAATGGTGAGACTTATTCTAATGAAGAGAATATAACTGGAAAACCTGATGATAACTAAGGTGTTTTTATGTATTTGGGGGCAGTGGGGTAGCCTTGCTCACTCGTCACACACAAGACCTGGGTTTGATTCCCCACATGGGTACGTGTGACTGACCCATTCTGGTGTCCTTTGCTGGGATATTGCTGAAAGTTTGGTAGAACCCAATTCACTTACTCAAATCTGAAAGAATTGTCTTCTAAAGAGAAGCAAGATGTAGGAATCTGAAATTTTCAGGATTGTAAGAAAATAAAATACACTTTACTTGTCCATGCCATATGATGTGATTGTGACACAATAAAGGTCTGGAGTGTAAACAAGAGAGGATCAGTTAAAGAAAGAATGAAAATTACATTAGATTGATTGTAATCTCTGATTGTTTTTTGGATGGCTTGTTGTGGGAGCTGACAGGGTGTTTGAAATTTTGAGTCCATATTTTGTGCAGGAGTTCCGGAAGTGTCAGGCCAAGGTGGACAAGTACCAGGAGCGGGACCGGACCGGTCAGAACGTGGTGAAACTGGACCAGGTGGGCTGCTGTTTTGCTTACTATTGACCCCCTTGTGATCCCAGGACGATTAGGGACCATTCATTAATTGTAGGGTGGATGAGAGGAAACTAGGAGGGCACCCAAATATATGGCAGGAGCTGAAGTGGGTTTACAAAATGATACAGACATTTCCACATTTCGGATGATCAACAAGAAAAGCAATTACATATGAAGGTCCTTTGCATGTTGTCTGTTTTTTGGGGGTAGGGGTGGGGAGTCATGAAAAATAAAATATTACAAGGGGGAGGGCAGGGGGCATTCAAACATAAGAATAAGACAAGCAAAAGGGGAGGCTACTTATTTTTATTTGTTAGGAACCTCTGCTCCTTCTAACTGCCCTATGTCCTTCACCCCCCTACGAATATATAAGTGGTCAGACTTAGTCACTTCTCTTAGTGACTGGCTTTTTATAGGGTTCTGTTCACGTGGATCACACATGGTTTGCCTGGTCCAGACTTTACAGTCCATAAACAAAATTCACTCACTCCATTACTTACATTTAATTAGCTTCCAGTCTTTGAATAGATCATTAGTAAAGATTGTATTGCTGCAATGGAACTCACCATCCAGTGTCCCATGGATATTTAGATGAAGTGGCAGTTTATGATGGCGAAAAGAAAACAAACGTTAATATTTGAGATGGATAAACTTCTAAAAATTGTAATTAAAAATCAGTCCATGTTACCATGGTTTCAGAGTAAGAAATCTCTAGCATTGGCTAAGGAGGACTTCCAGGTACAGAACTCAGCAATCGTGGAAGACATGCCTAAACTGTACGAGAGTAGAATCGACTACTTCCACCCCTCCCTGGAAGCACTCATCCGATCACAGGTTGTGTAACATATCATCAAGTCTGTGTCATGTCTGTGTTGTGTTCTATGTTGAATCTGTGTCATGTCCTTGTTTTGCTGTGTTCTGTCTGTGTCTTGTCTGTGTTGTGTTCTATGTTGAATCTGTGTCATGTCCTTGTTTTGCTGTGCTCTGTCTGTGTCTTGTCTGTGTTGTGTTCTATGTTGAATCTGTGTCATGTCCTTGTTTTCCTGTGTTCTGTCTGTGTCTTGTCTGTGTTGTGTTCTATGTTGAATCTGTGTCATGTCCTTGTTTTGCTTTGTTCTGTCTGTGTCTTGTCTGTGTTGTGTTCTATGTTGAATCTGTGACATGTCCTTGTTTTGCTGTGTTCTGTCTGTGTCTTGTCTTTGTTGTGTTCTATGTTGAATCTGTGTCATGTCCTTGTTTTCCTGTGTTCTGTCTGTGTCTTGTCTGTGTTGTGTTCTATGTTGAATCTGTGTCATGTCCTTGTTTTGCTGTGTTCTGTCTGTGTCTTGTCTGTGTTGTGTTCTATGTTGAATCTGTGTCATGTCCTTGTTTTGCTGTGCTCTGTCTGTGTTATATGTGTTATAGCTGTGTCATGTCTGTGTTATATGTGTTATAGCTGTGTCATGTCTGTGTTATATGTGTTATAGCTGTTTATTGTCTGTGTCCTGTTTATGTTATATGTTCTATCTGTATATTGTCTGTGTCCTGTTTGTGTCATGTCTGTGTTAGCCCCCTGGATGCCGAGGGTTTTTTTCAGGTGCACATTTACATACAGTTTGAAAAGTGAACGTTGTGCGAGAATTGCGCTCGCGTGGTCCTGAATCTACGTAAGGCTATAAAATTACACAGACATGTAGAATATTAAATTTTCTATCCGTTGGTATAAATATAAGTGCAACTACCTCGGCGGTTTGAGAAATATACCTTTCTTAATGTTGTCAAATTTTTGTTATGAGTTTAAAAAAACAGTAAATTTCTCCGCTTTTTATTGCGCACCGATAAAAGCACTGTGCTACGATTTTTTTAATTGGCATCTTTACGGAAAGTGTGAGCGAAGAAAATACAGCCTTATATCTGAACGACATAAGTGCATATGAATTGGGTTCATGTGCTTAACGTTATACGCTCAACATTAAAAATGACTAGCAATAAATGTCAAAAATAGATTTTCTTCTATGACGTCAAACAACGACAGAGAGGTCATACATGTATAATGATAAGGGGGCATAACTCCGTTATGCTTAACACTAGGTCAATGTAACTCAGATCACATGGAGAGAATTTGTTGTGGATACGGACGCTATAGTTTCGGTATTTTTTGTTAACGGTGAACCAAACTATTCCAATTCAAAGTTCCCTAATGTGAGCGGATACGCTTTGGTAGTTTCACAATTTATAAGAAAAGATGACATCGTACTACATGTGAAATAACGGAATAGCGATTTGGATGGCCCTATCGATTATATAAGTTAGTTCTTAGATTCCCATATTCTCCTGTTTGTGTAGATGTATTTTGATTAATTTTGCATCGTTATTACCAGAGTAGTAGCCATATCTTCAAATGTAATGAAATTGCTGAAAATAATACAACATTTTAGATGACGTCATTGCTTGTTTTATGTATTTTGCGATGTCGGAAAAAGACGACATTGGTATGCTGATTAGTATATATCTCACCTAATTTCCATTAATTGTACAAAAGGTCTCGGCTTCTTAGTCAGAATTTAACACTCTTCAGACAAAACATGAAATGACTGATTTTTCCATTTAAATAGTGTCCTGAATATATCAACAATTAGATGGTTTGACTGTGTATCTTATTGTGAACAACACGCGCACCTATTTGGCATCAAGTTAAGGTCAATGAAAAATAATATTTCACAACACCCGAATATTTTCTGTAGGATAAGAATTGTCTTTGTTTATGATTATGTAGCTATTTCTCTTCATAAGTATGCAATGAAAGATGCAAAACGATAGCTTTTTATATATGGAACTATATAATTAGAATATGGATGTAAAATTGTCCAAATTAAGACATGACATGGTTTATATATTTTTAAACAATTTTCGTTTATATATAGTTTGAGTTTAATATCTGGTCATCACAATACTTTTTAATCGAATATATACAATGATAGTGAATCATAAAACGTTTCCGACAAACGCGCACCTGGCCAATCAATATACATCGTTTGTCTATAAAACGACACAAAAATATGCAATGAACAAGACAATTCCTTTAAATATATGTGCACATACGTTTCATAACATATATAAATCATTTTCATTAATATTATCAGTTTTACATAAGTTGAATTATATCGCCGTTCATTAACCTGTTCATATGAAACTGCAATATTAGTCCAAATGCATTGAATATTGTACATCGTAGGAACTAAAGTAGTTGCAGTTATGGCTACATTGATCTTCTAACACTTGTGTAAAGGTTTAAAATATGGTGTACTGCACTAAATGTGCCAATTTCTTATGTAATTATTATTCAAAAATCAAACACTTTCAAAGAATAAAACACCGTGAACCCTATATGCACGTATGATATGATATTGAACAAGGCCAAAAGTAGATACTAAAGTCAGTTTCATGAAAAAATATCTGAACTATACGCAAAATATACATCATAATACTGACAGTGTAATCGGAAGGATTGGCCGATTGTGTTTACTCTTGTTCAACCGACCTTCACCTCAAAGAAATTGCCTAATATGTACAACAATGTTGACGTATGACATCACTACCGATGACCGATTTCTTACAAAATGGCGGCTTCGCTGACAAGGGTACACTGGATTTTGCGAGGACCCCTCCCTTGATCAGGGATCGTTTGTACATAAATATGAGATGTAAGTAATCAGAATGATTCTGACTATCGGTGTACTGTTATATGTTTTTATCTTTTTCACTGTAAGGAAGAGAATAAGCCAGAAATGCTGACAATTACCGTTGTCGTTCTGCGTGATTTTGCGTCCGTCATGGCATCATGCTGCACGGAAACTTTGACAATTTCTTATGAATTATCAAATCATTGCATTTTAACTATTTTTAATTTCCAATTTCTTGCTACGATACTCTTTCCATGAATATTCTAAAGGTATGGAGCCATTGCAAGCAATGAATAGACAGCTGGGTGTCGGAAAATTTCAGAAAATGCTACGCAGTGTAAAATCTTTGTTTACATTTCAAACAAGCGTAGTCTTTCGAGCACAGCGTTTGTTTTCAAACCCAATATTTTATGTTTTATTTCATCTAGACAGTCGGTATTGGTGACAAAGACCATTTGTTATGTGATTCTAAAATGTATGGGGAATTCAGTCATGCATTTGTCGCAGCTGAATATGAAATCTACGTGATGTAATAGGCGTCTCAATACCGGCCTTCGCGAAACGTGATTTTGTAAACACTATCCAATATGGCGGAAAGCGCACTTTGGCGTTCGTGTAGGCGTATTTTCTAAAACGTCCCAACCGATTCTAGGTACATTGGCAACGTTTCAGAATTGTCATTAGTGATTTCATGAAAAACTGATATCAGTGATCATTTATATGCTATTTTTGAAATTCAATACTCCCAGTAAGTATACGATTTTCACATTTCAAAACATACAGCAAATAACGCTGTGAATCACGCTTTCGTACTGCGTAAAAAATGGCGACATTTTCGACAAAGCCTATTTTGAAAGGTCATATTAGCTTTGTCTAAAGTAATTGTGGGTGGTATCAAGAAACAGGAAATTTCCTGCAGAATTCGAAACTGAGAAGTGTATTTGTGTGCGTGGGATATTTTGATTTTTATTGGACTTCAAAGTGAGGGTTGAAGGGGAAGGACATATATGTCCCTGTGGCACCCAGGGGGTTAAAGTGTTCTATATGGGTAATGTTTGTTCTAACTGTGTCATGTCTGTGTTCTATCTGTGTCATAGACTGTTCTATCTGTGTCATGTCTGTGTTATAGCTGTTATGTTATGTGTTATAGTTGTGTCATGTCTGTGTTCTATCTGTCATGTCTGTGTTATAGCTGTTGTGTTTGCTGCTACAGTTGTGTCATGTCTGTGTTCTGTCTGTGCCATGTTTGTTATAGCTGTGTCATGTCTGTGTTGTGTATGAGTTGTGCCTGTGTCATGTCAGTGTTATATATGTTATAGCTGTGTAATGTCTGTAATTGCTGTTCTGCTTTTGTCATGCTTCTTATAGCTCTGTCATGTATGTGTCATGTCTGTGTTATATGAGTTGAAACTGTGTCATGCCTGTGTTCTGTCTGACATGTCTGTGATATAGTTGTGTAATGTCTGTGTCATGTCTTTGTCATATTGGAGTGATGGGGTAGCCTAATGGGTAAAGCATCCGCTCATCGGGTTCGATTTCCCACATGGGTACAATGTGTGAAGCTCACCTACGTATCAGCCTACTTACGCAAGATCATTCAAATTCCTATTTGTACAGAATTATAGTTAACAGTATTAAAAGATGTATCAGGATATTTTTATTAATTTCATTTTACTTATGCTTAGTTTGATGTCTGCAGATTTGTAAACCAAATTACTGTTTATAGTTGACTCTTTTGTGAATTTATTTGCTGTGTTTCAGGTAACCCATAATACTGAGGCCTACAAGGTGTACAGTGAGCTCTCCTCAACTCTATGTGGCCTTAAAAACTACACAGATGACGATTATAAATCTAGGATGCAACAGACTCTATCTGAAATAAAAGCCTTATCAATCACTGTGGATGACTGACCTATGATGGCAGCTAACAGCAGGACATCATCTGTGCCCTGGGTATCTGTGGCTGTGTGGGAGACTGTATGATTGTATTAAGTGTCCCATTCTGAAACCGAGTTTGGGAACAAGGAACATATGACATGGATGACCCAACACATGTACCAGCTTTAATCTTAACTGTTTTGACATTTTGTAGAATTTCTATTCTATATCTTATTTAGCTGTCATTACTTGATGTTACTTTGAAAAGAAAGATTAGTGCTGTGTAGTATATCAAGGTTAAGGATGCGAAATGTTTGTCTCTCCACTTGTGAAGAGTTGTAAAGGGGAAACAATCCCTCCTGAGAGTGAGCATCTGACTGCAGATCATCTGCAGGTAACATGCCAGAAAATATTTATTGTTTTCGAATGCAAAGTTGTGAAAGAAGAAATCCAATAACATGTACGTCCTTGATATACCAGATGTGGTAATGATTCTGAAACTGATTTTTTTAGTGTTTTATGTTCAGTATGGTCAAATACATCACCGGTCACTCTACTCATATTGGGTGTTTTTCAGTCATATCAGCATATCAGTCTAAGTAAACTTAGGCTCAGTATTATTCGTTACACCGCTATACTGAGTCTAACAAACCCTAGTAGAAGGTCGTGTCAGCTAACCTTTGAGCGACCTATGACTGTCCAATCAAACACGAGATGGCCGAATGGATTTAACCAATCAGGCAACTGCTACTACTGGTTCAATGGGACTTACAAAATAGTGACGCAAGACGAAATTGACTGTCGGTTGCTGATCTCTCAACAAACAAAAAGTGCATAAAACACAGATATTTGACCTGCAGTATATACATGTAGGGGTTTTCTGAGGACATGGTTATTATTAGCTTATATTTCCACAAGATGACATCCTGGAATATTGACGCTATTTTCAGCGACTGTTTACTCACTGTTGTGAATAATGGCTTCCTCCATGTTTATCACTCAGAAGCGATCATTCGGAAACGTTTTCGGGGTAAAAGTTCAGACGGTATGTGCGAATGTTAACTTTCGTGATTTGGTATGTTGTGTTTTGATTGGTCAATTCAAAAGGTTAGATGACGTGACCTTCTACTGGGGTTTGTCAGACTCAGTATAGCAGTGCAACGAAATAATACTGAGCCTAAGTTTACTTAGACTGCATGTACATACTGATGAATTAAAACTATTGAAAATATCAAAGAAGCATGTGTTTGGTATGAAATTTTGCATTGTACTTCTGAGACCACCAGACACTGGCAGTGTAGTGTCACACCCATATTCCATATTCTCATTTGAATACAACATTTACATTTTACAGCAGTTGTATGTGTTCCTTTAGTTGTAGTCTTCTGTAAGGTGCACAGTGGTTAGGTGAGGTGAGGTGAAATTGGTTTAACGTTGCGTTAGAGAATATTTCGCTCATATGACGACGTGCATGCGTATGTATGTGTAAGTGCGGCTGCTTGTACTAGCCCAGACTGAAGCTGGTTTTATAGTGCTAGCCTACTGAGATACCATGCCGCAGTGAAGCATGAATACCCCACTCAGACACATTATACTGACTCCAAGCCGACCAGTCCTTGTTGTACCCATTAATGCCGAGCGCGCCAGGCAGGGACCAACAATTACCATATTTTAACGTCTTTTGGTAGGACGTGGTCGGGGATCGAACCCGTGACCTTCCGCTCTAACCACTACACCACAGAGGTTGTCCCTAGTGGTTAGTGTTGGCTGAAGACCTGGATTTGATTCCCCTCACTGGTGCTTTATGTGATGACATGTGTTAACCAAGTCAGCGGGCCTGACCACCTGATTGTGTTAATCGCCTCTTACAATAACCTTGGGTTGCTGAAGACCAATTCTAACCCGGATCTTCACAGTTTAGTCTAGCATGAGCTACCTGGAACCTACATGCTGTATCAGATGACATCCAACTTGGAGACTAGCCCAAGGTGTACAGGACCTAATGTATCCACATTAATAACTTCTGGTCTGACAACAGAAAATTCCTATGTGAAACACAACAAAATTCTCTTTTAAAAACATGATCATGATTTATTACATTTTGATTTGTTCGATACAAAAGTATTATTCTGATAAAATGATTCAGTAACAAAGAAATAATCACTCAAAGTACAAAATACCCTTTAACTGTGGGTTTGTGAAACAGTTTCAACAGGCACATCCTTCAAGAAAACACAAGATCCAGGCAACATCACGTACCCAATCAGTGTCCTGCTGACTAAACAAAAAGTGATTTTTTTTTCAGAAAGCCACATCAGCAATATTGCAAAACAAAGAAGGAAACTAACTTTTTGCATATCTTGCATATTTTTCATGCATGTATGTACAACATTATTCCCGAAAAGTTTGACTGTCACTTTGAACAATGAATCATTCAAAATTCCATTATTATTGTATCAGACCATATCCATCAAAAGAATTCATTTTGGTCTGTTCTTGAGACGCCTATTCACAAATCAAAACCAAAAGATTTGTTTTATGTGTAATTTAACACCTCTTACAGCGGTAAGGCACATATTGGAACAGAAGAAAACTGTCCTTTTATACCCGAAACTGCTACACTCAAAATGATCTTCCATTTCTCAAACATGCCCACATGATCATCAGACATACATGATTATCAATTTATTGAAATTAATGTCAACTGTTATGTAATAACTGAAACGGTCATTTTGACAAGTGAAACAAATCAAATCTGAAAACGCAAATATAACAACCAACAAATTTGCAACTAAACTGCAATATACCTGCATATTCAGGTTTCTAGGTTAATGTAGATTGTGACGTCAGTGGAATATGTGAACACTGATCAAAAGGCCCATCTGCTGACATGGTATGGAAGATAAGGTTCAGTGTGAACCTTCTGGGTTCAATCAACCCAGAGGCCATACCATGTAACACAACACATTCATTGCCACTACCAAGGTGAAATGAAACTACTATCTACTATGTGCACAAGTTTACGTAACACATGACTGCTCTGAACATCAAGAGCGAGTAATTCATAAATGGTCATGCCCTTATTTCAAAACCATTCCTGTATTTGTTCAAATCTTGTTCAAGCTCCCCACTGTACATTTGATACAATGCATGCAGTTTAAATGAAATAGATTTATATTTATTTTACATTTGACTAGATTGCAACCAGAGATCATATGAAATATATTTCTGTCCTATTTGAAGTTAAAAAGACAGTATCGTGCGTGTGCATGCGTGTGTGTGAGTGCATGATTTTACATATCTGCAGTATTTCAGCTAGAAGATGGCAGTCTGTAAGAAATTGATTCACATCCGGTGAATGATATGAGCAAATATTTATATAGCCAGCGTATGATTACATGTCATCCACAGAGTCTGACCACCGCATCTGCCTCTCACAAACAGCTTAGGTTTTTCCTGCCCGATTGTAACCTGGCATGCCTATGATCAACATGGTTGTTCTCCATGGAAGGTATGACCGTAACGACTCAACACAGACACAGGTATTATCAGTAAACCAACTTCTACAAGCATGTGACACGCATCTGCTCAAGTACATCAGCATGACAAATGAAACAGTTCACACAAAAATCAAAGATATTTCTTCAACAACGGAATGCCTTTTAAACTAACAATGATCAATAAAAACATAACAAAAATCTTCAGTTATATTACACTTGCAGGTCAAGAATAAACAAATGAGTTGAAAAAAAACACACTTTCCCTAACATGGTGCAAGTTTGAAAAAACCCAAAACAACAATTTTTATGTATCACAATGCCAGATCTGTGGCATTTGTTATTCAACATGTAAGATGGCTGACACAAGACGATTGGTTATCCTAGGACCGTTCTTTTGATATTATGCAATCAAATTTCATATGTTGATTAACGTCCAACGACAGCAAGGCAATGTTAGTTAAAGTAGAGTTACAGCACACTTTTGAAAATAATTTCTTCCAATGATAATATTACGATATTTATATGTCAACACTATTCGTACACTTCAAAAAGAATGTGTGTGCACCCTGCATTCTGACACTAACCTGCAGACATCACACTGCATCAACAGACATCACACTGTATCTGTACATCACACTGAATCTGCAGGCATCACACTGAATCTGCATGGATCTGCATGGAACACACTGAATCTGCAGGCATCACACTGAATCTGCAGACATCACACTGAATCTGCAGGGAACACACTGAATCTGCAGACATCACACTGAATCTGCATGGAAAACACACTGTATCTGCAGGCATCACACTGTATCTGCAGACAGCACACTGTATCTGCAGACATCACACTGAATCTGCAGACAGCACACTGTACCTGCAGACAGCACACTGAATCTGCAGACAACACACGGAGTCTGCAGACAGCACACTGTATCTGCAGACATCACACTGTATCTGCAGACATCACACTGTATCTGCAGACATCACACTGAATCTGCAGACATCACACTGTATCTGCAGACATCACACTGTATCTGCAGACAGCACACTGAATCTGCAGACAGCACACTGCATCTGCAGACAGCACACTGTATCTGCAGACATCACATCTGAGACATCACACTGCATCTGCAGACATCACACTGAATCTGCAGACAACACACTGAATCTGCAGACAGCACACTGAATCTGCAGACATCACACTGAATCTGCAGAGAACACACAAAATCTGCAGACAGCACACTGTATCTGCAGACATCACACTGAATCTGCAGAGAACACACTGAATCTGCAGACATCACACTGAATCTGCAGAGAATACACTGAATCTGCAGACATCACACTGAATCTGCAGAGAACACACTGAATCTGCAGAGAACACACTGAATCTGCAGACATCACACTGAATCTGCAGACAGCACACTGAATCTGCAGAGAGCACACTGAATCTGCAGACATCACACTGAATCTGCAGAGAACACACTGAATCTGCAGACAACACACACTGAATCTGCATCTGCAGAACACACTGAATCTGCAGACATCACACTGAATCTGCAGAGAACACACTGAATCTGCAGACATCACACTGAATCTGCAGAGGACACACTGAATCTGCAGAGAACACACTGAATCTGCAGACAACACACTGAATCTGCAGAGAACACACTGAATCTGCAGGGAGCACACCAAATCTGCAGACAGCACACCTATTCTACAGAGAGCACACTGTATCTGCAGAGAGCACACTGTATCTGCAGACATCACACTGTATCTGCAGACAGCACACTTATTCTGCAGACAGCACACTGTACCTGCAGACAGCACACTGTATCTGCAGACAGCACACTGAATCAGCAGACAGCACACTGAATCTGCAGACAGCACAATGAATTTGCAGAGAACACACTGAATCTGCAGGGAGCACACCAAATCTGCAGACAGCACACTTATTCTGCAGAGGGCACACTGTTTCTGCAGACTGCACACTTATTCTGCAGACAGCACACTGTATCTGCAGACAGCACACTGAATCTGCAGACAGCACACTGAATCAGCAGAGAGCACACTGTATCTGCAGAGAACACACTGAATCTGCAGAGAACACACTGAATCTGCAGACAGCACACTGAATCTGCAGACAGCACACTGAATCTGCAGACAGCAAACTGAATCTACAGACAGCACACTGAATTTACAGACAGCACACTAAATCAGCGGACAGCACACTGAATCTGCAGACAGCACACTGAATTTACAGACAGCACACTAAATCAGCGGACAGCACACTGAATCTGCAGACAGCACACTGTGTCAGTCATGGCCCAACAAAACAATACTAACGTGCTGGCACTAAGATACTGATATCTGATATTCTGGGGATGACATGACATTTTGTACGGAGATTGGTTTAGCTGCACATGCAAAAGCAGATAATTTCTAATACATGTATTAAAACAAGAGGCCAAATATTTATTTGTTTAAAATAACCACCTTGCATGTATTATTTTGACAGACAATTTCTCAATTTTGTAACAATCTGAAGCACAACTTTTTAAGCCTTTACTGCGAATTTTGAGAAAATCCACGGATTGTCTCCAAGACAGTCAGTTCCCAAGTATTGCAACTTAAAATGACATAAAATAATAGAAACATAAAAACCTTCCGTTGGGGATTGCTTGGTATTTGGCACAATGGGTTTATCATATTTACAGTTCTCTTTGCCAACAATGAAACTATCAACAGATGAGAAACAACAAAATGGAAACTAAAAGCAATGCTATATTGGATGACAGAAAGCTAGCATACCATCTAAACCTGGCTGAAATCTCCAAACTGAAATCTTCATAAATAACTAAAAGAAAATGTTTGTACACATAAAACGCAAGTTATCACACAGCATTTGGATATTTTCAGACACAAATAATTTGAGTATTGGTCAACAAACGCACACTCATCTATGTATCCATTCCTTCTTTTATCAAACACCTCAACATTTGCATAATTAAGTCAGGAAAAGTGATTAATGCCACTTCGAATAATATCTCTAAGTATATCACAGCTGTTGATTCAACTTTGGAGGAATGTTCAAAGAGTCAGGGTCTTAAATGTTTATACCCAGCCATGTTGACAGACCAAGGTTAAGGACGAAGACTGAGATTTGACTCCATTTAAGATCAAATCTTACTTTTAGGGATTCACAGACAACGATAACATGGGCATCCACTAAACAGGCTGAAATTAGTCCTTTGCTAACATTTAATATAAGCCAAGCTGACACAGGAACATGGGATGATGATGCCTCTTTGTCCTACTTGTGTGAAATACAATTGTTAAACTTGTATAACATGATGTAAGTGTATCACACTATTGCCACCTGGACATTTTGCATATGCACATTTATTATTTACACCATTTTCAGCATTCTTCCTGCAATATCATGCCAGTCAAATAGTCCAGTCTGGACCAGACATTCCAGTGATTGATTTTGAAACAAGTGACCTACCTATGACTTCTCAGTTCTCTTTCTCAGTGCAGCTCTGGATAGCTATTGCTGGTTTCATGGAAAAACCCTGAACCAGTCCAAATATAATGAGGAAACTAACTAAGCTTCATATGGGCTGGAATGAACAAGCTAGACAGGGAACCTTTGGGTGTTTTTAATTATTACTTGGTCAAGGGGCAGCCCAAGCATTTTTGTAGTATTCATTCATTTCCTGCAGTCAGTTCATAGAGTGTTGAAGGCCTAGTCACGTACGGCCCGTACAGCCTTTGGTAACCCAGACAGCTGGAGAATCATCTGGGGCCTAAGGAAGCACATACATGACTATGGAAACAGTCCTTTAGTTCCAACTATGGCCTAGGAAACACATACTAGATTGTGGTATCACTAACTTAGTTCCATCTAGGGCTTAAAGAAGCCCTTTCTAGGCTGGGGATCACTACTATAGTTCCATCTAGGGCCTAAGGAAGCCCTTTCTAGGCTGGGGATCACTACTATAGTTCCATCTAAGACCTAAGGAAGCCCTTTCTAGGCTGGGGATCAGTACTATATTTCCATCTAGGGCCTAAGGAAGCCCTTTCTAGGCTGGGGATCACTACTATAGTTCCATCTAAGACCTAAGGAAGCCCTTTCTAGGCTGGGGATCACTACTATAGTTCCATCTAGGGCCTAAGGAAGCCCTTTCTAGGCTGGGGATCACTACTATAGTTCCATCTAAGACCTAAGGAAGCCCTTTCTAGGCTGGGGATCACTACTATACTTCCATCTAGGGCCTAAGGAAGCCCTTTCTAGGCTGGGGATCACTACTATACTTCCATCTAAGGCCTAAGGAAGCCCTTTCTAGGCTGGGGATCACTACTATACTTCCATCTAGGGCCTAAGGAAGCCCTTTCTAGGCTGGGGATCACTACTATAGTTCCATCTAGGGAAACATGTTAGCCTATGGGTGTTACTGTATGGTTCCATGCCGTGGGATCACTACTATAGTTCCATCGAGGGAAACCTGTTAGCCTATGGGTGTTACTGTATGGTTCTATGCCGTGGGATCACTACTATAGTTCCATCTAGAGAAACCTGTTAGCCTATGGGTGTAACTGTATGGTTCTATGCCATGGGATCATTACTATAGTAACACGTGGGCCATTGCTAGACTATACTCAAATTTAAAGACTATCTAATACTTTAGGACCTAATCACCTGCTTACAACATGGTAACCATGTCTTGTGTTCATTGCCAACTTAGCAACTATGTTCCCTATCGCTATATAACACTACCAACACTACTGGAAGACAAGTGACCTACAAGTGGTCTTGCTAAATATTACTACAAAGTCCTTGCGGTTATTTTTAGATACTTGTCAAGCTGCTGCTAACATGTTTTACGTTCTACAGGATTGTTTAAGATAACAAAGTACCATTACTTGAGTAATGAATAATGAGTGAGTTTAAGTTTAAGCCGCTTTTAGAAATATTCCAGCAATATCATGGCAGGGTACACCAGAAATGGACTTCACACATTGTACCCATGAGGGGAATTGAACCCAGGTCTTCGGTCTGACGAGCGAAGACTATAACCACTAGGCTACCCCACCCCTTACTTGACATAGAGCTAGGTCCTTCTCCCATCGTTCATTCGTGTTTTACTGGTTTAGTTTTGTAAAATCCCCTTAATTGTCATTATGAAATGGTGGACATAGTTTAATGGTCTATTAGTTTTGTACACCCAGAGAGATTATCTGCCTTGAGGCATTAGAAGTAGTTCATTCCAAAACTTGCGTAATAAATGCATACCCTGTAACAAATGGTGGATAAAATTGCAACTGTGCTAAAAAAGAGCAACATTCTTTAAAATACATCAATTGCAGGATAACAGGGTGTGCAAGCCAAATGCTTACAAAATGACTGTTTTGATTAACAGATTGACTAGATAAATTCACACGAACAGCTATCACATACTTGTAAGCTGAAACCAAGTTCAGAATTCTTTGAAAGTGATATCACAATATCCGCCATACTCTCGCTGCAGTGAAGACATATGTGATTACTGGATTACAACAACATAAACATCACCTGAGACCTGCACTAGTCTCAATGCAGATTTTACAAGCCATATGTGATTTTTACAATGAAGCATCACTTGAGGTCGGCCAAAACCGTTTTTGTCTCTGGAACACATAATTTCAAAAGTTTCCTTCATCTGTTGTGAAGACGACCTCTGTGATATCGACCTCGACCTCTGCTGTGACCATGACCTCTGTCATGACTTTGACCTCTAATGCTGTGACCAGGATATCTGATGTCATGACTTTGACCCCTCATGCGGTGACGTTGACCGCTCCTAATGTAACCTTGACTTCTGGATTGATATTTACCTCGACCCCTAACGTTGGTGAACTCTGTCTCTCTTGAATGAGATCTTCCCTGAGATTCATACAAACTCACTTGTTGATTTTCTTCAGAAGATGATTGAAACAGGCCCAGATTTCTTGCTGAAACCCAAATTGGACATTGTTTATGAAACGTTAAAACAGGAAGACAAAAACAAAGCCATCTGTACTACACCTGAATTAGGTGAGTAGTGGGTAAGTGGGTAAGTGAGGAAGTTTTGCTTAGCAATTTTGCAGCTATCCACGGCGGCTACCTGAATTAGGTGAAAACAATGTATAAAAAAAAAAAAGAATTACAAAGCTTCCTGTGCCTGTGATTATGAGATATAAACAATGCAATGATATTTGAACAACAGGTGTATGGAAATGTCAAAAGTAGCTTGATAAATAAATCTAAATATGCTGAAAAACATTCTGCATACCACAGTGAATGACTGAAATAGTTTAGTTTTACGCCGCACACTGCAATATTCAAGCTATATGGCGGTGGTCTGTAAATTATCGAGTTTGGACCAGACAATCTAGTGATCAACAGCATGAGCATCAATCTATGGAACTGGGATACGATGACATGTGTCAACCAAGACAGCGAGCCTGACCACCCGATGCCGTTAGTCGCCTCTTACGACAAGCATGGGTTACTGAAGACCAATATTAACCCGTATCTTCACGGGTCTGCATAATCCAGACATGCTGTGTATCAATGTTCCAAGCTACATATTTTTAAGACTTAAGGTATATACTACAGATACTATAATGTTTTATCTCAAAACATCACTTTACTGCAAAGGTCCAGAGCTGGCATGACTAAATCTGAACAGATGACTGTTTTAAAAAATATATACTCCTCACAAAAAATTAAGCAACAAGTGTATTTTTGGTCAGTACATATGCCTTTACTCATGATCATTACAACTGAATCAAACATAACAAAGATAAAGCATATCCACACACTTTTCCAACAAAGAAATCAAAATTCATTGAACAATAACTGACTTGCAAATCATCAAAAACAGTGTCACTGAAAAAGCCGCAAAATGTGTTGCATCAGGGTATGAAAATGTCTGAAAACACTTTTACTGTCAGTTTTGAGCACTGATCCAAAGTTTAATAACGTGTATGGCCACCATTGACCTGAATACACGCTTCAAGACGCCTAGGCATTGACCAGATGAGTCTGTCTAGAGTCTGTTGTGGAATGTTCTGCCATTCTCTCCGCAATGCCTGTTCAAGCTGATCCAGAGTCTGAGGATCTAACGAGGAGGCCGTACACACGCGCCTCCGAGGATGTCCCAAGCATGTTCAATAGGATTCAGGTCAGGAGACCTTGCAGGCCAGTCCATATGGGTGATGTTGTTGGTCTGAAGAACATCAGTGACAACTCTTGCTCGATGTGGACGGGCATTGTCATCCATGAAGATGAAGTTAGGACCTGCTTGCTGAGCCCACGGAATGATCACAGGTGTGACACTTCGCCTCGGTACCTCACACCTGTCATGGTACCTCGCCTGATGACCACAAGATCAGTTCGTCGTCCAACTTGGATTCCTGCCCAGATCATCAAACTCCCACCTCCATACTGATCATGTTCAGCAATCGTACAGTTGGCGTATTGTTCGCTACGGTGCTCTCCAACACACACAGCCCTACCATCATTGAAGTCCAGACAGAATCTTGACTCATCTGTGAAGAGAACATTACGCCAGCCGCATTGACTCTCCAGTTACCGCCGCGTTGGTTAGCCCAATTCAGTCTCTGTTGACGATGGTGTGCAGGCAGTGGGATACGTTGCACTGGTCTTCGACCTGAGACCTTCAGCATGGAGTCTGTTCCTCACTGTCTGTGTGGAGATTCTGTTCCCAGCAACTCTCTGGAGGTCATTCTGGAGAGATCTGGCTGTGGTGAACCTGTTCGCCGGGCTAGGGTGGCCAAGCATCGGTCCTCTCTGGGAGTTGTCACCCTTGACTCGACCTGAGCGTGGTCTCTCAGTCATCAATCCGGGTCTGTTGGTGACGAAGTGATCGCTCTGGAGATGACGCCGATGAACATTGAAATGGTTGGCAACAGCACTCTGGGTCTGACCCCCTGCACCATTCCAACAATTTGAGCAACTTCAATTGGTGTCAAGTGACGCTTAGCCATTTCTCAAATGTTACTGTCAACAATTTGTCGTTGCTGGCAGTTTTAACGCAATCAGAACGCATGTGCGACGTGTATAGCACATGTTTTCCATGCATTTTGCATGTGAGTTTTGAGGGTGGTTGCGTTCAGGCGGTGCTAACAATGTTATCAGAAAAACAATATGGGAAATGCTTTAAGTTCATCAATCGTAAAGGGTTCTCCTGCATGGCTTATATGCCAAGTAATAACTTCATATACCCATGAAGAAAATACGTGGAAAAAAATACTTGTTGCTTAACTTTTTTGTGAGGAGTATATATTGAAAATCGTTCCAAGTGTTTGTACATCCATCTAAACCTTTGAGCACCAGTGTTATTCTCTCTTTACATGGTAGTTTAAAATTCTGGATTCTCAAGGAATTTGGAAACTTCAAGTGATGTATTTTGTATTTGTATTGTTTGTAATGCTCAGCCATATTACAGATATATGGTGGCATGGTTTGGACCAGATAAACTAGTGATCATTATTGTAATATAGTGAGCGAGTGAGTGAGTGAGTGAGTATGGTTTAAAGCCACTTTTAGCAATATTCCAGCAATATCACGGCGGGGGACACCAGAAATGGGCTTCACACATTATGCCCTTGTGGGGAATCGAACCCAGGTCTTACACTTTAACCACTAGCAGTGTTTCCGTTCTCCGGCATATGCCGGCTTTTTGCTGGTAAAAATGGCCCAGGACCGATAAATTCAAATGCTGCCGGTCCTCGTGTCCGGGTAAACATAAAATCATAAAATGCATAATACAAGTCATGCCATGTATATCAATGTCAACGAGAAGCCGTTCAAGAATAACTTCTAAAATATAGTTTCGAGAACTTACGATTTCGTCTCGAAAACAAACCAAATCACGTGACGTAATGTACGAAATGTGATTGGTCAATGTTTTTGTCAGTCATTCTGAATAATTCGTGTGTTCTTTGTAACTCGTCCCCGTATAATAATATGTAGGCTTACTTAATTGTCGTGGAAATGTAACGATCGTATCAGATTGTTAAAAGCACATGGTGACTGTCAAACGTGAAAATGGCCAGTAAAAGCAGACGATGCTTTCCACTTTCTTCGGTGGTAAAAGAAAGGTTTGTGAATCGGAAGACGATCAAAATGAACTGAGAACAGATGTAGAAACCAGTGTTTAATTCAATAAAGGGAAAGCCTCTGTTCAAGCGGTAACTCTAAAGCTAAAATACGCTAAATTTAATTCTGAGTGGCTGACAGAGTTCAAATGGCTTCATTACGAGGATGACAGTGGAAGAGTTTTAATGTTCTGTAAAATATGCGAACATGCAGCAAAAGTGAATGGATTCACCAAAGGATGTATAAATTTGAAAAGTCTGCATTAAGAGAACATCGTGACAGTGCTTCCCATCATCATGCTGTAACAACAAGTTTTCATCAAAATGCAATGACTACGATCTGAACGCTGCAACTGAGAAATCTGATGCAAAGTTAACAGCTATGATGAGAACTGTATTATACATGGCACAAGAAAATTTGGCGACTGTTGAATTTTCTGGATTGATCGAAAGTTACAGAAAAAAAATGGCTGTTCAAGTTTGACTGGTGATGTCTACACACATTCCGATAGCATTGGAGAAATGGAAGATGCGCTGCTAAAAAGTACGGTGAATGAAATGAAAGACAAAATTTCTAAAAGTGAGTTCGTGGGAATCATCATTGATGAGACTGTAAATGTGACAGTTGAAAAAAAACTTATAATATTTGTGAAAATTCTGAACGCAAATGGGTTGCCAGAAACACTATTTATTGGAAACTACTCCGTTCACAGTGGTACAGCAGAATGCGTGACAAATAAAGTGCATGAAGTACTTGCAGAATGGAATATTCCTCTTGAAAAGGTTATTGGACTGGGTTCAGACGGTGCAGCCGCTATGACGGGAAGAGAAGCGGTGTTGGTCTTAGAATGAATGAAGGGGTTCCCCTTACATGATCCACGGCATTGTATTGCACATAGGTGGCACTGGCGCCTGCAGACGCTGCAAAAGTATCTAAAACAGTAGCAGAATATCGACGGACACTGAATGACATTTATAAACTGAACGAATATTCAGCAACTCGGTATAACCGACACGAATTATCGCAAGTTTTGGAGGATTCAGACTTTTCAAGTTTAAAACAACCATGCAGTGTCAGATGGTTGTCTGTGGGAAACGCCATCAAAAGTGCAAAACAATTGGCCAGCCCTCGCTATGGAAATTGAAGAGGAGGTCGCCAACAGAAATAACAGTGTAGCTGTTAATATTCAGAAGAAGATCCGAACGTATTCGTTCATTGCCACCACTTACATGCTCTCGGATGTCTTGTACTACATGGACAAGTTGATAAAGATATTTCAGAAAGAAAATCTCAACATTGGCATGGTTATGCCAATAGTAAATTCGACTTGCACTTCACTGATGGAGTTGATAACAACTCCAGGCTTAAAGTGAGAAGTATTTCACAGAAAATCTCCAGAAAGGATATTTCAGGGCTGAAACTCGGGCACAGATGCTGGTTCTATTCGGTGCATTTCAAAACATGAGAAAAGGATTTATTGAAGAACTATGCAGTAATCTACACGCTAGATTTCCAGAGGAGAGTTTACATGTTTTGACATGCCTTGATAAGGTTCTGAACCCCATTCGTTTTCCTGAATCACAAGACGACATTGTAGCATACGCCCGGGATTCCCTTGACGTGTTGATAACTCAGTTCAGCCCTGTGATTGGACGAGAGGAAAATGATGTTACAGGCGTTGTCAATGGCTTAATCGCGTGCTAGGAAAGACTTCAGCCATTACAAAACAACTGTCCGTGGTCTCTGCATCGCTTCACTGGAAACAAATTGTCGTGCCATTATTATGGAATATGGTGACATTTACCCAGACTTTGCTGTGTTGGCAAAGATTGCCATGCCAATCCCAGTGAGCAGCGTGGCTGCAGAGAGGGGGTTCAGCCTCCAAAATCTGGTTCACAATCCCCAAGGCAATCGACTGTCACAGGATCGGTTGAATACACTCATGACATTAAACATGCACGCAGGAGAAAAGAACATCGAAAAAGCAAGAGTCATTTTCCGAAATAAAAACAGAATACTCTAAAAGGTATGGTTTTATTGTCTTTATTGAATTAAAGTATCATTGCATAACTCTTATATAAATTGTGACCGCCAGATTGCGTACAGGACCGGAAAATGAAATGATCGCCGGACACTGTGGCCGGTAAAAAATATACCCAGCGGAAACACTGCACTAGGCTACCCCACCGTCCTACTTTAATAAAGCAATGTCCCATGCCATCATTGTATGAGTGAGTGAGTGAGTTCAGTTTTATGCTGCACTCAGCAATATTCCAGCTATATGGTGACGGACTGCAAATACCATCATAGTATGACTCACAATAATGGCAATGAGTCTCAGCACCTGATCTATAATTGGCTGAAAGGGACTAACTGACCCCTGACCCCCAAACAAGATGGTGGCAGATTCTGTAAGTTTCAGACACATTTTTAAATGACGATGGTCATTCTTAGACTCCAGAATTAACGTAAGCTGTGTGATTTCATTATACTATACAGTCGGTCAGATCATTCCCTGTAAGCTCAAAACTTTAATTAACAAGCATTTCTATAGGACATGTCATTATATAGGACATGTCATTGATGCAACATTAAACCATAACCAGCTCCCTTAATCATTAAACATCTGTTACAACAATGCACTATTTCAAACCACACTTCTCTAATAACAAATAGAGCATTTCTCTCGATAATACTATCAGCCCTCAGGGATGATACCATAAAATTTATTCCACCCAAAAATTACGCATTTAGATTACAATATTAAATTAAAAAGTTTGAATGAATTTATGCAACACTGCATTAAATCGACTCTTGCGCCCTTTACCGTCCGAACATTATTTCAAGCGAACTCCATAGAGTTATGTCCCTTGGACCGTTCTTTACGAATATCCTGTAACTCCTTTGGAGACAGAACTCAGTCCTAGACGCTAATGTCTGGCGTAAAAACATACACGCAACATGTGATTGAAACCAGTTCGGCAAACACTGACAACACCGTGTACGACAGTTATCGATGTACGGAGCAATTGTTTACATTCCATATATATGGCAAGTGTTCTCTGTTTGGAAGTTGTTCGCCTCAAAGTTTCAATAATCGATTTCAGGCAAGTTGTAAGGGATAATAAGTCCTTTATTGCATCAATAGGCAGCTAAATTGAGTGCATATATGTAAAAAAAGGCCAAAATATTGTCGAAAATGTGTGAAATTGTGCCTTTAAACTTTCAAAAGGTTCTTTGCCTTACAAGCATGACGGTACCACCATGTGGGAATTACCTTGTTCATCGCAGCCTCTCATGTACTCCTTCAGTGTCTTGATATCCACCATGACTTCAAAGGGCATTGTTTGGCGACTATCCACTCCAAGTTTACTGAAGATCAGCATGACTTCATCAAGGGTGTCCTGAGCCGTCTTGGGCATCAGATTTGTGTGGTCATCCAGAGTAACCATGAGGGCAAGGTTATCATCTGTGGGCGTACGTCCCTCAGACTGCATCAGCTGACACAGTTGATGGTACAGGTCTACCAGATGAGAACGGATGATCATCTCGATCTCATTGAAGTGGAAACTGTTTGTTATTACAATGAGCTTTTGAGAGTTCCTATTTGTCAAAAAGGGTCGGAGAAGATTGAAGATGCCAAGAGCCTTGGTACACATGTTGCTGTGGAAACACTGGAGGAGAAGTTGGCGGAGGTGATTGATCTGGAGCGTGGTCTTCGCAAGGTCAAACACCTTTATGGCTGTGTCCAGATCTCCCTGACACAGTGCCAACTCCATCAGCTGACCAACAACTTTTATGTGGTGGTCTCTCAAGAGTGCATCTAAAACAAGCAGACCATGTACAGTCAGTAGGTATTATACTGGAGTTGGCTGTGGATAGATAAGAACTGGTATGTGATATACAGGAGTTGACATGTGATATACAGGAATAGGTTTGTGATATACACTGCAGGTATGTGATATACACTGCAGGTATGTGATAAACACTGCAGGTATGTGATATACAGGAGTTGACATGTGATATACAGGAATAGGTCTGTGATATACACTGCAGGTATGTGATATACAGGAGTTGACATGTGATATACAGGAATAGGTGTGTGATATACACTGCAGGTATGTGATATACAGGAGTTGACATGTGATATACAGGAATAGGTGTGTGATATACACTGCAGGTATGTGATATACAGGAGTTGACATGTGATATACAGGAATAGGTGTGTGATATACACTGCAGGTATGTGATATACAGGAGTTGACATGTGATATACAGGAATAGGTCTGTGATATACAGGAGTTGGTACAGGAGTTGAGTATGTGATGTGATATACAGGAACTGGCATGTGATATGTGATGATATACAGGAATAGGCATGTGATATAGTTGCATGTGATATACAGGAGTTGGCCGAGGATTGACAAGAACTGGTATGTGATATACAGGAGTTGACATGTGATATACAGGAATAGGTCTGTGATATACACTGCAGGTATGTGATATACAGGAGTTGGCCGTGGATAGACAAGAACTGGTATGTGATATACAGGAGTTGACATGTGATATACAGGAATAGGTCTGTGATATACACTGCAGGTATGTGATATACAGGAGTTGGCCGTGGATTGACAAGAACTGGTATGTGATATACAGGAGTTGACATGTGATATACAGGAATAGGTCTGTGATATACACTGCAGGTATGTGATATACAGGAGTTGGACATGGATAGACAAGAACTGGTATGTGATATACAGGAGTTGGACATGTGATATACAGGAATAGGCATGTGATATACAGGAGTTGGTATGTGATATACAGGAGTTGGCCATGTGATATACAATGTGATACAGGAGTTGGTATGTGATATACAGGAGTTGACATGTGATATACAGGAATAGGTGTGTGATATACAGGAGCAGGCATGTGATATACAGGAGTTGGCATGTGATATACAGGAATAGGTGTGTGATATACACTGCAGGTATGTGATATACAGGAATAGGTATGTGATATACAGGAGTTGGTATGTGATATACAGGAGTTGACATGTGATATACAGGAATTGGTATGTGATATACAGGAGTTGGCATGTGATATACAGGAGTTGGTATGTGATATACAGGAGTTGGCATGTGATATACAGGAGTTGGCATGTGATATACAGGAATAGGTATGTGATATACACTGCAGGTATGTGATATACAGGAGTTGGTATGTGATATACAGGAGTTGGTATGTGATATACAGGAGTTGGCATGTGATATACAGGAGTTGGCATGTGATATACAGGAGTTGACATGTGATATACAGGAATAGGTGTGTGATATACACTGCAGGTATGTGATATACAGGAGTTGGCATGTGATATACAGGAGTTGGACATGTGATATACAGGAATAGGTGTGTGATATACACTGCAGGTATGTGATATACAGGAGTTGGTATGTGATATACAGGAGTTGGTATGTGATATACAGGAGTTGGCATGTGATATACAGGAGTTGACATGTGATATACAGGAATAGGCATGTGATATACAGGACATAGTGATATGATATACAGGAGTTGGTATGTGATATATGGATACTATAGGGATGTGATATACAGGAATGTGGTATGTGATATACAGGAGTTGACATGTGATATACAGGAATAGACATGTGATATACTGGAGTACAGGAGTGCATGTGATATACAGGAGTTGGTATGTGATATACAGGAGTTGACATGTGATATACAGGAATAGGTATGTGATATACAGGAGTTGGCATGTGATATACAGGAGTTGGCATGTGATATACAGGAGTTGACATGTGATATACAGGAATAGGTGTGTGATATACAGGAGTTGGCATGTGATATACAGGAGTTGGCATGTGATATACAGGAATAGGTGTGTGATATACACTGCAGGTGTGTGATATACAGGAGTTGGCATGTGATATACAGGAGTTGGCATGTGATATACAGGAATAGGTGTGTGATATACACTGCAGGTATGTGATATACAGGAGTTGGCATGTGATATACAGGAGTTACAGGAGTTGACATGTGATATATGTGATATACACTTTAGTTATGAGATATACAGGAGTTGGTATGTGATATATACAGTAGTTATGTGATACAATGGAAGGTGATAAAATGGCTAGCTTAGAGTTGGTAGATGAATGTCTATTGCATGAAGTGTTGATATGAGAAAAAGGAACACAGTATGAAGTACCTGTGTCTGGCATCTGAGTATGAAAGAAAGCCAGGACATCAGCTGCTTCTGGTATTCGGGAGTTGCTGCAAAGGAGATTAATGGCCCACAACAGCTGACTAGGCCACAGATCTGGGCGTTCTTTAGCCCCATGCGTGTAGACATCTGTTGGACACAGACCTGAAATAATTACAGTTGATAAGGAAATATTCAATTTAATTCAGCCAATAGAAGTGGAGCTTCAAAAAAAGAAAAACCAACATTTAAGAACATGAACATTTCTTTTCCCCAAAGAGTGACCTAAATTTTGAAAATTTACATACCTCTGTTATTAAAAAAAAAGCATACAAAAATATTTGACATTATTATGTTTGGTGACCTTTACCTTGGATGGACAATGTTATTGTTTGACTGAGTCACCTTGTATGAACTGTAGCAAGCGATCCAGCTGGGATGTCTGCAGACACACCTCCATCACTGTCGAGTGGAAGGAGTACCCCATGTCTGGACGGAGATTGTTGCAGGGGAGATCATTGTCCAGGATGTCAGCTATCAGGGTGCAGCACTGTCCATATGGAGGGGACTTTCTGGTACGAACTAGCAGGTGAAACCCGATGCGGGCTAATGTCCGTCTGTCTAATGACAGCAGGGCATCCGTCATCATGTCTGAGGGAGAAGCATTTTACACTTACATACAGATATACTGCAAAGAACTCCTGCAGTTTGGTGCTATTGACATTTTCACTGACACAGTTTGTTTATTTTTTAATGAGACTGTCAGCAATATTCCAGCTATATGGCAGCAGTCTTTAAATAATCAACATCATGGGATACGATGACATGTATCAACATGTGTCAGTAAGCCTGATCAACCGATCCTGTTAGACACCCTTACAACAAGCATTGATGCTCTTCCCATGTGCCATTGACACAGACAGTAGAGTGAGTGAGTATGGTTTTACGCCGCTTTTTAGCAATATTCCAGCAATATCATGGCAGGGGACACCAGAAATGGGCTTCACACATTGTACCCATGTGGGGAATCGAACCCGGGTCTTCAGCGTGACGAGCTAACGCTTTAACCACTAGGCTACCCCACCGCCCCAACAGACAGTAGAAGGGGTTATAGGAGTACCATGACAAGGAAAGCAACTGTATAAATTGGTTACCATAACAACACAAGTGCAGGAATATCAGGGCCAGAGTTATGCCAATAACCTCACATACACTCTACAATTGGAACATAACACTGATGTATACAACAGATATCTAAGAGTGTGCTACTAAGGCTCTAAAAAATTCCAATGCATTAAATTTCACATACTGTAAATCAACAAAGTTTTGTGGGCAGGAAAGTTTTGCTAGCATTGCAAATGAACTCCAGGTGCAAAACTTTCCAGGCATAATGACAGCTCTCATTTTGTTAGGCAATTATTCCTAGTCCACAAAGCTTGTGATAATCCAAAGTGACACTGAGTTACTAATTCCTTACTGAGTTAACACAATGTACTTAGTATGTCAAGGGATATGTGTATAAGCACACTTTGATCTTTTCATTGTAATTATTTCACTAAGAAATGGGCTGCCAGCAAGTGTTATGTAAACTATTGTCTTTGGAAGGTGTGTACAAATGTATTGTCCAATTGACTTGTTTTTACAAGGGGGATTCAACATAGAACTGGCTGGGTTGTAGATCACGGAAAACTTTGAGTCAACTTTGTGGATTTACAGTATTTGATAAGAATGCCGTATTTGCCTATGGTATCTTCCACCTGTCCTAATACTGATTCCTGCTTTGAACAGAATTACAGTACAAGGATGAGAATGGGTATGAGTGAAAAAGAGGAAAATGACGCAGCTATCTTAGGGGCTGCAGACCAATGAATGACCCCAGCCCAATAAAATCCACGGACAATTCTCATCCCTGTTAGTAACAGTGATATCATGTCTAACAGTGATGTCATGTCTAACAGTGATGTCTAACAGTGATGTCTAACAGTGATGTCATGTCTAACAGTGATGTCATGTCTAACAGTGATGTCATGTCTAACAGTGATGTCATGTCTAACAGTGATGTCATGTCTAACAGTGCTATCATGTCTAACAGTGATGTCATGTCTAACAGTGATGTCATATCTAACAGTGATGTCATGTCTAACAGTGATGTCTAACAGTGATGTCTAACAGTGATCATGTCTAACAGTGATGTCTAACAGTGATGTCATGTCTAACAGTGATGTCTAACAGTGATATCATGTCTAACAGTGATGTCATGTCTAACAGTGATGTCATGTCTAACAGTGATGTCACAGCTTGATGTGAGTGGAAAGCCTCTGCATGTCTTGTACATTTACCCTTGTGGTGAAACCTATGAGCACATCCTTGAGCTGACAAACCTGGAAACATGACCGGATCAAACCAGGATTCAAACCCACCAAAAAAAGTTTACAGCATGCCCAAGACACACACCCTACTACTCAGCAAATTGCTGCACCTTAGAAACAGGTGCAGGGAAAATCTACACATGTGCCCAAAGAATGAAGCTGATTTAAATCTGTAATGTTGGCACAGATGTTCCAGTGACTTTTGAGCTTCTTTCATCACACCAATAGCATGACCCCAAAGCAGGCTGTTCAGATGTGGTTAGTGAGTGAGTTTAGTTTTACGCCGCACTCAGCAATATTCCAGCTATATGGCGGAGGTCTGTAAATAATCAAGTCTGGACCAGACAATCCAGTGATCAACAACATGTGCATCGATCAGCGCAATTGGGAACCATGACATGTGTCAACAAAGTCAGCGGACCTGACTACCCGATCCTGTTAGTCGCCTCTTACGACAAGCATAGTCGCTCAGATGTGGAAACTGAACCTGGATCTACAGGTAACGATTTCACTTCAACAATACCCTATACCCCTGGCTTGATAGTGACCCGGTCTCATCAGGCAACATCCAGGCAATATCTAATCTGGGCTTGCCAGTGACAATTTGAAGAGCAAGCTCATGACATACCTTCCTGGTACTGGTTGAACACATTATTAAGGAAAGCGTGGAAGTAACTGGCAGTCTTGAGGGAATCCTGTTTATCATGGAGCACGTCGACATACACCTTTAGGAACTTGGAGTTGGGAAGGGTGTTGGAAGTGCACTGCATCATGTAGATTTGGGCAAGATATTTCCAGTTCATGGACTGCCTACATCCCTGAAAAACAGAATGGCAAATTTTACAACTTACCAACTCTTTTTGGAAGAAGGCGAATGAAGTTTTAATAGTGAGTGAGTGATAACTACTATTTCCTTCAAACAGGTTCTTGTTTGACCCCAGAAATGGGGGACTGAGTGAGTGAGTGAGTGAGTTTAGTTTTACGCCACTTTTATCGATATTCTAGCAATATCATGGCAGGGGACACCAGAATGGGCTTCACACATTGTACACGTGTGGAATTGAACCCAGGTCTTCGTGTGATGAGCTAACGCTTTAACCACTGGGCTACCCCACTGGGGGCACTGAGTTAGTGAACTAGCAAGTATTGGTTTACTTTGTTTTTAGCAATATTTCAGTATTATCAAGGCAGAACGGGGTCCAGGAAAAGAGTTTGACATATTGTACTGTGGAGAGGAATCAAACCTGAGCTACCCTACTTCCCTAGGCATGACAATGTGGTTGATAGACACTCCATGAAGCTTGAATTGCTGCTAGTGGTTAACTTACAGCAATCATGTGGTATATTCCCTTGTAGTCTTCACTGTCTGACTGCACCTCGTCCTCCAGTTCTTCATCCTCCCAATACGCAACCAAGTCCTTGAACAAGAACACCAGAAACCTTTAATGGACTGCAACTTCATCTTGGACCAAGTCTCATAAACATCGCATAATAAATTGAGAAACACTACATTAAGAAGGATAACGTCTGGTTTATGACATCAATAACATTTTTATCTACATCTTTACACTCTTCTCAAAGAGGACACATAATAAACATGTCCATGTGGCTGTACCTGCTTTCCACTATGCTGGCTTAAAAAAGAAAAGAAAAAAGACAGAAAAGAAAAGAAGAAAAAGTTGTACGACTTCTTATTTATTCAATAACCTCATAATGCCAAGTCAAACAATGGATCCAGAACTGCTTGTATCTTCTTACAAAGGATACTATGACTCACCTTGGAAGGTTCAACTGTCATGGTTTGATAGACTCTCATGACTTTATGCTGTGTATCCCTCTCAGGGGACCACTGCACTGTTGACAATTTCTCTATGACCTAAAGAAATAAAATCATTAAGAGTATAATAATTGTGAATTTACAATGCGCCTTGTCCATGTACAAGGCACATGCTCAGAGCGCTAACACACAATCTGATTATTATTACCTCGATAATCCTAGCTGCCTCTGAGGCGTTAGAACTAGAAGGTTAATAGTCACGTGACATCCCATCGGGTACCCATTTTCTGCTCAGTGTACAGAGGCAAGTTTGAACAAACTCACTTGCCTAAGGCGAGACCACATGTATGACATGTGCTTCATTGTGGGGCAGGACTGAAGTCCTAGAAACTCTCAGGAGTCAAGCTGCCAAACACAGTCACCCATCTAAGTACTCTCCGCGCTCAACTTCAACTGATTTGTGGCCTGAGCTCTATGCACAGGACCACACACCACCATGACAGACGAGTACAGCCATCAGCAGTTCAGACAACAAGGGTTAGATTGGGTTGTTGTTTAACACCGCACACAGCAATATTCCAACTTTATGGCAGCGGTCTGTAAATAATTGAGTCTGGGGTAGACAATCCAGTGATCAACATCATGAGCATTGGTCTACACAATTGGGATACGATGACATGTTTCAACCAAGTCAGTGAGCCTGACCACCCCAATCCCGTTAGTTACCTCTTACGACAAGCATGTCAGACAACAAGGAGTAATTGTTGTTTTTCAGCTATATTCCAGGTACAGGGTGAGTGAATGAGTTTAGTTTTACGCCGCACTCAGCAATATTCCAGCTATATGGCGGCAGTCTGTAAATAATCAAGTCTGGACCAGACAATTCAGTGATCAACAGCATGAGCATCGATCTGCGCAACTGGGAACTGATGACATGTGTCAACCAAGTCAGCGAGCCTGACCACCTGATCCCGTTGATCGCCTCTTGCGACAAGCATAGTCACGTTTAGTGGCAAGCATGGGTTGCTGAAGACCTATTCTACCCCGGATCTTCACAGGTCTCCAGGTACAGGGCCTTACTGGAGGTAAAATGATGTCTGGGATGCAAGGATTGAAATAAACACTGGAACATGTGCTGGACTGAATAGTGGGTTGGTGAAATGGGGTTTTACGTAAATATTTCGCTCATATGATGACATGCATGCATGTGTATGTGTGGCTGCTTGTACTTGCCCAGACTTAAGCTGGTTTTATAGTGCTAGCTCACTGAGATACCATGCCGCAGTGAAGCATGAATACCCTACTCAGACACATTATACTGACTCCGACTCGACCAGTCGTTGTTTTACCCATTAATGCCGAGCGCCAGGCAAGGAACAAGAAGTACCATAGTTTAACGTCTTTTGGTATGACGCGGCGGGGGATCAAGGACTGAATAGTAATAACATACAGCAACACAACATCAAAACCAGGGTACCTTTACCATAATCTTGGGGAAACAGTCATCAATATCCACCACAGTAATGAGTGAGTGAGTGAGTTTAGTTTTAAGTCGCACTCAGCAATATTCCAGCTATATGGCGGCAGTCTGTAAATAATCGAGTCTGGACCAGACAATCCAGTGATCAACAGCATGAGCATCGATCTACGCAATTGGGAAACGATGACATGTGTCAACCAAGTCAGCAAGCCTGACCACCCGTTCCCGTCATTCGCCTCTTACGACAAGCATGGGTTGCTGACGACCAGTTCTAATATAACCCGGATCTTCATGGGTCTTGGGTAACTGACATGTCTATTCTAGTAAGAAAGACATCTTACTGGTTGATTTTCTTCACAATTTAACACTTAATTCCCCATCTCTTTCAGAGCAACTTGGACACCAGAAAACATGTGGAGAATCAAACTGGGTCTTTGGTGTAACGAGTCAACGCTTTAACCACTAGGCCTACCCTCATGTAATTGGAAAGTGCACCTGACCTCTAAATGCGAGACAGTGAGATCATCATTCAGGGGAATCAAGTCAGACAAAAACACTAGCTCACCTCAATCCCCAGCGCCTTCATTGATTTTTCCGTCATGTTGTGAAGTATCAACTCTGCCTTTCCCCTGAATGTGATGTCGTCCAGGTGAGACAGCAGCGCTACTTGCTTGATGCTGGAGGGTACGGCATGTTTCTGATTCTGACAGTAGAGTACTACATCTTGAAGCATCAACGTGTGCTGCGACACTCTGGAAATAGAGGAGTGAGTGAGTTAAAATTTAACGTCACATTGGCAATATTACAGCCATATCGGGAAATAGAGGAGTGATTGAGAGTCAATGTTTGGGTTTTACGCTGCTTTTAGCAATATTCCAGTAATATCACGGCAGGGACACCAGAAATTGACTTCACACACTGTGCCCATGTGAGGAATTAAACACAGGCCTTCGGCGCGATGAGCTAACAGCTTAACCACTGGTCTAAAACACCACCCTTGAAAATAGAGGACATGTACTCGGATATGTACAAATCATATAGAACAGGGAAGTGTGGTTTGGTTTAGTGGTTCAAGTGTTAGCTTGTCATACTGAAAGACAAGTTTCTATTTCCCAATAGGGATACTATGCGATCAATTCTGGTGGTCCTCTCCATGAAATTTCTGGAATATTGTTATAAGTGGTAAAACCATCCTCACTCACCCAAACAATCAAGACTCACATTCTCTAGATCATTTGCTTGTTGTATTACGCCACAGTCTGATATTCCAGCTGCTGAAAGAGTCTTTATTTACACAGTTCCTTTCCGCCCATCACATCTTATGATGTACACACAAAATGAGTGAGTGAGTTTAATTCCACCAATATGGCGGTGTTCTGTAAATAATCGAGACTGGACCAGACAATCCTGCGATAAACAGCATGAGCATCGATCTACGCAATTGGGATACAATTACATGTGTCCGTCAAATCAGCGAGCCTGACCACCCGATCCCATTAGTCGCTTCTTACAACAAGCATGGGTTACTGAAGACAAATTCTAACCAGGATCTTCACGGGTTTGTACACACACAAAGAAGCATTGAAACTCTGTGGACATGACTGCCGCTGTGTGGCTTCACATTACACTCATCAACAGAAGAAATACTCATTAAGATCAATCACCCATGATGACTATCACAGGGTGCGTTCGGTAGCTATCATAACTTTTAGCCTTTAATATATCCAGTCATGCCTGTATAGAAGCTCTGTGACACAGGGCCCTCCCTCATTACATCAGTGATTCAGTTATTACATTGGGAAATATGTAACAGCCTGGTTCCCGGCATCTGCTCCACCAACACTTAGACACTGACCCTCGCAACAACAACTGAATGGCGTCCATCACTGATGGGCAAACTCCATATATTTACTACAGAAAAATTCATGAACAGGTGGTTAAAATGTTTTCATCGCATTTTCGTTGATACTATGGCGGAGTATATGTCACCAGAACAATGTCATCGTTACTTTTAGTGTGAAAAAAAATCGCTATTTACACAGTTTATTCTGGTGATTATACTTTGTCAGTGTCAGGAACCAGACTGAATATATAATTGCTATTGGGCAATTTCTAATGACATCTGCAGCAGATCTGGAGCCATTTAGCAAGTCTAGATATATCCCTGCACATGCATGTGATTCTGGACCCCAAGTCCCCACACTGGAAAATACAGTTTCTGTCTTACTGTAGTAGCTGTGTGAGACAGTTAGTGCTAAGGGTTAGCCCCTGGCTCCTCATCCTGCTGAAGATGCTGGATACTGCTTGGAAACATGCTGGCTTTACATTTTCCTTCAATGGGTTCTGCATCACCTGCACCATCGCCTGGATTGCATCCTTCGCATATCTGTAAAGTATGTACTACTAGCTTGACAACTGATCAAACTAAAAACACAGCTAAGGGACTGTTCATAATTTATGGCTAGGGGGATGGGGTGATGATGATTTTTATGGAGAAGCATGTACAATCTGGATGACCGCCACCCCCCCGCCTAAAATTTATGTACAAAATAAGTGACCCCCCTGCATGTCATGTACAATATCAATGATCCTCCCTCCCTTTTCCATAATTTCTAAGCATAAATTTAAACATTTTTATGTAGCCAAAATTGCTGACCCCCCCCTAGTGCGTGTGTACACAAACTGATCACCCCCCCTAGCTCCCAGAACATAAAAAAAATAAAAAATGTAAAAAAAATAAATAAATAAATAAATAAAATCATCATCACCCCTCCTAGCCATAAATTATGAATGGTCCCTAAACATAACTCATTCACAAACAATGATAGAGACTATGCACATGTAACTGGAATTTTTTCTGTGATGGTACTGCCATGCAATATCCATCCATACATATTCATAAAAAACTATTACAGTGAGAGTGAAAATGAATTGAGGATCCTGAAACAACATGGGCAAGACAAGGGTGGTATCATGGAATAGGTTAGGGGCTATCTCAGGTAAATGATCTTGCCTCACACATAAATGTCGTTTTCTGATTGGCTGAACGCTCTTCTATTATTTCCAATGTACCCTGCTCACAAGCGAGTAACATTTTCTATGTAACCCGCTGAGAATGCTGAACTCATTTGGTACTTCGTAGTAGTAATTCTTTATCTCGAATAACATTTAATCATGTCGCTAAAGAATGGAATATCCATATTTACTACTTTTTATTTTTTGGTAACATACAAGATGCCTGAAATGACTGGTGTCTGCATAACCACCCAATGTAGGCTGTTGACATAATTGAAAATATTGGGTGCAATGTTTTATGAGATATCACGTTTAAATAAGTTTAAAAAGTGGTCAAAGTGTCGTGTTGACTTTGAAGATAAGGTCAAGGTCACCCAAATCGACTGGTGTCTGGGTAATCCCCCAATGTAGGCTGTCACCAAATTTGAAGACATTGGGTACAACAGTTCATGAGATAACAAGAATCGGAACGTACATACGGACGCCGCTGAATACATAGTCCCCCGTTCCACGTTGCGGCAGGGGACAAATATTAGAAAAAAGGTGGGTCCCACATAAAGTAATGTCCATAAGGAGGTCTTTATATATACCTGTTGTTGTTACTGCATTGGACCATATAGCTGGAATATTGCCAAGTGGCGTAAAACGAAAACTCACTCACTCACTCTATTGGAAATAGGATTTAGTTTGATGGCTTCATCGGTGGGAAGGCATATGTGAAATTAGGGACAGCTAAGAAACACAAAATGATTTTACAAATATATGTGAACCTATGACACAATAGAAGTTTTTGACAGTGTAAACACTATACAGAGGTTTTTCAGAGTCTCTCTCCTTTACTGACATACATTTGGATGTTAAATAATAGGTTAAAAGTAAGGTTTGGTCTACTATTAACATTATTTCAGTTATACCACAGATTGTCAGGTTATTGTAGGAGACAATGACAGAGCTCATCATGTGTACTACTTCAGTGAAAACCCACAACCACATGTACGGGGCTAATAAGCTGAGAGACATAACTGTGGTCACCTGAAGATCGACTCAATCATGCTAATGAGTGAGTGAGTATGGTTTTACGCCGCTCTTAGCAATATTCCAGCACAACAGCGTGATGAGTGAACACTTTAACCACTAGGCTACCCACCGCCCCAATAGTGAGTGAGTGAGTGAGTTTAGTTTTACACAGCTTTTAGAAATATGCCAGCAATATCAAGGCGGGAGACACCAGAAATGGGCATCACACATTGTACCCATGGGAGGAATCGAACCTGGGACTTCGGCGCGTGACGAGCGAATGCTTTAACCACTAGGCAACCCCATCACCCCAATAAACCTAGAGAAATAACAATGGCTCACTCAAGGCAGACTTAATCATGCTAATGATAATATGCAGGATGAAGACACAAACCTCAGGTAACATAATAAACATCCTCTCCAAAATAGTCTCAATCATGATCCATGTAGACTTTGGATACACCGCAAATGTGACAACTCCTCATTGCCTCACATCCAAATGGTATCCCAGCATCTTATTCATCGAGTTTCTGCTCATGGAAACTACTATCATAATGGTATGATAATAAGGAATATAAAAGCTGAAATATTATGTAATGTTGAAAAAACTAACAGGAGGAGGTTTGGATCCTTTGTTGCCAACGGCAGTAGGTAGTCAATCTGAGAGTAGCTGTCTGTCCGCATCGCCCAGCGCAGCATGCACTGCAACACGTCGCCACAGATTGCAACATCCCCATCATAGTAAGTTGCTAGGTTGTGAAACTTGGCGAACATCCTGCAAAAGAAATAAGTTACTAAATAGAGGATATTATATGAGTGCCCATGTCATACTATGTTTACGACACGAGTGCCTAAATGTTGGTATTTCCCGAGCGAGAGCGAGGAATATACCGATATTTAGGCACACGTGTCGTAAACATAGTATGATATGGGCATGAATCGTCAAATTGAGGAACATAAACCCAAATCTACTTTCAAACATAAACTGGCTACCCGCCGTCGCCGTATGTAGGAGGCAACGTCACAGAAGAAACGTGACGTCGTAGCATTGTTGATAAAGTCACGTCACCATGACAAAGTGATATTTTGCCCCAGGGCATCGTATGAAAAATATGAACCCCGATATTTTCGCCCTCGTTGGTAATAAAGTCTACTATTCAACTGATGCAAGCAACACATATATCTCTTATCCTCTATAGATTCTATATGCAGCATTATATACTCTTCATAGAAAGAAACATTACATCAAATTTTAGGGAGATATATATTACTTGGAAAACAGATATTACCAAAACAACAATGAATACATGTTCTTAGGTTATCAACTGATCATGCCCCCAATAAGAACGATGCCTTGTTCACGAAATGAAACATCAATGACAATGAACAGCATCTGGGAGTGTCAGATTTTTAATACCGGGTATGGCCATCATTAGTGTTTATCACTGCTTGGCATCACTTCCCCATCGAAGCAATGAGATGTTGTACTTTGAGTTGTGGGGTATTCTGCCACTTAGAGCCTGTAACGGTTCTTGGAGTGTTCCTGGAGGAGGATGACGTTGTCCAACTCATCTGTCAAGAACACTCCACAAATGTTCAACAGGTGATCTGGTGATCGGGCAGGCCAGGGTAGCACATTAATGTTGTTTCGTTGCAGGTAACCCTGACACACATGGGCAGTATGAGGTCTTGCATTGGCATGTTGTAAATAACCTCATGACAGTACAGAAAACGGTCCAAACGGTCGGTCTGCTTGGCCATTATGAGAGATACTAGCCAACACCATCATACCCCCGCCTCCAAAATGGTCGGTCTGTTAGGCCATTGTGAGAGATACTAGCCAACACCATCATACCCCCGCCTCAAAAAACGGTCGGTCTGCTCGGCCATTATGAGAGATACCAACCCACACCATCATACCCCCGCCTCAAAAACGGTCGGTCTGTTCGGCGATTGTGAGAGATACTAGCCAACACCATCATACCCCCACCTCCAAAACGGTCGGTCTGTACAGCCATTGTGAGAGATATCAGCCCACACCATCACACACCCGCCTCCAAAACGGTCGGTCTGTTCGGCCATTGTGAGAGATACCAGCCCACACCATCACACCGCCTCCAAAACGGTCGGTCTGTTCGGCCATTATGAGAGATACCAGCCCACACCATCACACCGCCTCCAAAACGGTCGGTCTGTTCGGCCATTATGAGAGATACCAGCCCACACCATCACACCGCCTCCAAAACGGTCGGTCTGTTGCACACAGTTAGCAATGTAACATTCTCTGTAAACCGTGGCTCTTCCATCAGCCCTGCGCAGCATGAAACGGGACTTGTCACTAAAGAGAACTGTTCTCCGCCTTGCACATGGTCAAACACAAGAAGTTCAGCGTAATGACGGCAAGTCAGGATCTTGCGTCAATAACTGTCGACGTTCTCGAATACCTGCTTCCCTCAGTCGGTTACGAACAGATCTGATCTGAGATGTGACAGAACCCAGGGACGTTGTTTACAATTTCTGATGCTGTTCTAAAGCGAGATGACAAGACTTTATGGATGTTCAACTTCTTTATTTTAACAATGGCGACGTTTCGGTATAGATTCTTATACCGTTTTCAAGCATATGGGGAAAGAAGTTTATATACAAGATACCATAAAGAGATAACGATAACAAGGGTGGAAAACAAAGCATGAAAGAAAGTTACATGATGAGCTACAATAGCATGATGATGAGCTCAGATAACATAAATGAGATGAGTGGGATTACCAAGACAATTAGTGACTGTAAGTTAATTAGGCAGAAGCCAGGGTGGTGGGGGGTTAATTAGTGGGAAGCCAGTGTCAGGCAGGTGATGAGGAGCCAGGGTGGGTTGAGTGGGTAATTAATTGTGGATTAGGTGGTTGTAAGCTGATGGGATGTAATAGCCCTGATTCCTGTTAATAGAGGGGTTAAAACGGTGTATTTGTAATGCCTCGGCCAATTTACGCTGAGTGTAATCATGTTTGTTGTTTGTAATTGTTTTGACAGTGTCCCAGGTGATGTGTTGAGGAAATTTGGTGATGTGTTCCGAAATGGCTGATTTACCAGCCGAGCACTCAACCTATCCTCTGTCACCGCTGAACCTGAACTTCAACACCTCCAGCATGTCTTCACCTAACTTAACAACTATCCCACTAAACTTGTTGACCGTGTCATCAACTACACCCTCTACCCAGCACCTAAACCTACCACTAGCAAACCCGACTCCGCTCCCATTCACTACCCTACATCGGCAAAACTTCACATCACATCAGTCGCTTACATAAACAACAGGCAGGCATAGACACTTACTTTTCCACGGCCACACCTCTCAAAACTATAATGAAGGCAAACGGTAGGAAGCACACTACAAAACAACAACAGCCTAAAGGTGTGGTCTACAACAGCAGCTGCAACTGTGGCCGCAACTACATTGGCATTACTAATACGCCGTTTTAACCCCTCTATTAACAGGGATCAGTGCTATTACATCCCATCAGCTTACAACCACCTAATCCACAAATAATTACCCACTCACCCACCCTGGCTTCTCATCACATTCCTCACACTGGCTTCCCACCCATTCACCCCCCACCACCCTGGCTTCTGCCTAATTAACTTACAGTCACTAATTGTCTTGGTAATCCCACACATCTCATTTATGTTATCTTAGCTCATCATCATGCTATTGTAGCTCATCATGTAACTTTCTTTCATGCTTTGTTTTCCACCCTTGTTATCATTATCTCTTTATGGTATCTTGTATATGACTGGGGTACCCCTTCATTCCCCCATATGCTTGAAAACGGTATAAGAATCTATACCGAAACGTCGCCATTGTTAAAATAAAGAAGTTGAACATCCATAAAGTCTTGTCATCTCTATACCACCAACTTCTAGAATGCCACTCAAACAAATTGTTCTAAAGCGATCCTGATGATGCTGAATGCGAATATCACGTTCTTGTGCAGGGGTGGTATTTCTTGGTCTACCTGTTCCAGGTTGGTCATTAACACTTATGATTGCGGAGTTAATGGTTGCTCGGGACACATTTATGGCTCTGGCAACAGTCTGTTGTGTTTGTCCTGACTGCAAACGGCCTATGACATTGTGACGCTGATCTTGAGTCAGACATGGCATTCTTTCATCAAGCAATACAGATAAACTGGCAAAGTGATGGGGTTGAGAACCTCACAGCTTTATACCCCTTTTCCACACCCAGACTGCACCTGCCACACATTCAAGTACAATTGCACGTGCAAACGGCGGTAACGTTGATCATTCTGGAGACTGTTGCCCCTAAATTATTCATTCTGGTGACATGATCATTATTTGGATTACTAATGTACAGAAGATGACCAACTTCCTAAATTCCTCTTATTTTAATCACTTTATTCACTCACTGTAATTTCAGACTAATTTTTTTTAATGTAGCGTTTCTTGTTTTGAAGAGTACTGTAATCGTAGTTATTTTCGCGTGGGATTAATTTTCGTGCTTTTAGCCCAAAATGATTGTGCGTCAATAATCATACCAAGCGAAATATTCATGGTCAAGTCATGACAAATACAGTGAATCCTCGTTAATCCGGACGGTTGCGTTTCTCAGTAAATTCGTCCGGATTGCGAATAGTCCGGACTACTGAATCAAGACCCAAGTTGCTTCCCTAAGAATTACAAAAACGACACGAATCTGGATAAAACAAATAAGCATTTAATGTAAAGCTTAATTCATCACATCAATAATTTTACCGAGTGACATCCGCATGTTGATCCGACGTGTCTGATCACGTCCTTCCTCAGCACAGGTGAGGTAATGTCTAACAAGCGATCTATTGTAGTATGCCTTGAATGTCGAATTATTCCTGCATCCATCGGTTGAATATGAGGCGTGGTATTTGGTCACATTTCGCAAAGTTAGCGAAGCACACTTGTGACTTGCAGCATTGTCGTAAAGCAAAATCACTTTTAGTCCACGTGACGGATCTGTCTGTCAAAGTACATTAACCAATCACAAAACAGTTCACTTGTCATCCACGCCTTTGTATTGTGGTGTCAATCAAAGTGTAAATGTACAGTATCTTCAGTCGGGGAGCTTTTATGTCTAATTAAAACAACAACCCAGTTGACCAGTTAATTAAGTAAACATCGCCGGGCGGTGTTGTTACGGTTCGTGAACACGACTTACAGCGTCCGGACTGTGAAGCAATTTACTGTTTATTTTACTGATTGGTGACAGCTACTTACCGTCGGTTCCGGGAACCGAATTTCCGGATTATCGAGGCAAATTATATAGGCATAGATTGGTAACAAGCTGAAATCGCCCGGGAGGCGAGACTTCCGGATTATCGGAGTCCGGACTAACGGGGCTTCACTGTACTCAAGTAGGAAAAACATGCAATTTGTTTATTCTCTCAGATAACAACATCAAAACTATATACAAAGGAATAGAGGCATATACTAGTCTACTAGTAATAGCAATCACAATCAGCAAATGTTTGTTATCAGTTTGTCAGTTAATTGATAGCTGATTACCCGTAATCACAAAATGAACGAATCTCACTTACATCAGTCACAAATCACAATGTTGACACAAGTATAATCCCACATCTCTCTGATTGTTTTAGTAAACACGATTCAATTATGGCGGCTAGCTTTGATCATTGCATGTCTATGGGTTGTGACACCACCACTCAGGTGTTTGAAATGCGCGAAAAAACTACTGCGCTAATAGTTCTTTTGTGAACTTTCCGAGAAAATTGCACCCCCGTGAAAATATATAAATTACAGTATTTAATATTATACTTGAATCTGTAATTTACTGTGAAACTGCATTCCCAAATACTACATATGTTACCATTTTCTAAAAAGGCATTGTGTTTTCATAGATAAGAATAATAAGCATATAAAAGTATTATAAGGGTAATGCTATTTTTCAGGGCATTATCATTTGCAGAAGCCTGAGGTCTTTCATAAATTGCCCGACGAAGGGCTTTGAAAAGACCGAGGGCATCTACAAATGATAATGCCCTGAAAAAATAGTGTTACCTTCATTATAGCTAAAATGGACAGAATTCATGATAAGTAAAAACAAAAAACGGTATCGGTTTAAAGCATTTACTGCTAACAACAAACGACGGAGGTCACTGACCGAAAACATGGAAACGTCATAGAACAAAACAGGTGACTTCCCTATTGAGCATGACGACATTTGACCTTGGCCTTTGCCCAAACTACTAGCCGCCATGTTGTTTCAGTGCACAACACCGTTAGAGTTCCAGTCGTCACCAAACAACCGGCATGATAATGGCCCGTCATCGAGCAATTTGGGGGCATTATCAAGTTACAGTGTCCCGCTCATTTCTGATAACATATGGGCATTTTAATGATAATTCTATCCATTTTAGCTATATAATAATGTCATTGAAGTTCAGTCACAAATATTGAATGCTGCACCGAGCAAGATCTTATCTTGTGACCTTGTGCATAAGTGAGCTTGCCTCTGGCATGAAAAGATATGAAATAACCATAGCTGACAAGAAGATTTTCCAAGATGTATACACAATGAGACAATGAATCATGAATGTGGGCATCATATAAGTCGGTTGAATTGGTGATGAAAATAATCACTCGAAAAGTTTCTGTTTGTACATAGGCTATTTTTTCTCATGACAAGCATGATGATTGCTTGTGACAAGCACAGGTTGCAGAAGACAAAATCTTACCCAGATCATCAAAGTTACCTACTAAATTAATTATTAGCTGAATGCCACCAAACAAATAACACAAATACTTCTACTTACAGATGATGCATGTCTGTTGACATAAGATGTCCCAGGTCTTTGAACACCATGGAAATCATATCCTCCTGGAAGGTAACAACATCTTGACAATTAGTAATGAGTACTGGTAATGAGGCAATGTTACCAGCAATGGGCTTTATGCATTGTACTAATGTGGGAAATCAAACCGGGTCTTCAGCATGCCGTGCAAATGCTTTAACCACTAGGCTACACCACCGCCACTCATTTGTGTAAAGTGCATCTCACCACAGTATCATTTGAGTTTAGTGCATCTCACCATAGTATCATTTGTGTTAAGTGCATCTCACCACAGTATCATTTAGAGTATCACTTGTGTTAAGTGCATCTCACCACAGTATCCGTTTAGTGGATCTATCATAGTATCACTTGTGTTAAGTGCATCTGCCACAGTATCATCTCACCATAGTATCACTTGTGTTAAGTGCATCTCACCACAGTATCATTTGTGTTTAGTGCATCTCACCATAGTATCATTTGTGTTAAGTGCATCTCACCATAGTATCATTTGTGTTAAGTGCATCTCACCACAGTATCATTGTGTTTAGTGCATCTCACCGTAGTATCACTTGTGTTAAGTGCATCTCACCACAGTATCATTGCGTTTAGTGCATCTCACCATAGTATCACTTGTGTTAAGTGCATCTCACCACAGTATCATTTGTGTTTAGTGCATCTCACCATAGTATCATTTGTGTTAAGTGCATCTCACCACAGTATCATTTGTGTTTAGTGCATCTCACCATAGTGTCATTTTAAGTGCATCTCACCATAGGATCATTTTGTTTAGTGCATCTCACCATAGGATCATGTTAAGTGCATCTCATCATTGAAGTAAATGTACACTATATGAAAAGAACAAAAAGCTTGACACATACCTTTGATGGCTGACTGTGTTTGTACTTGCACGGACTGTGTTTACACTTGGTGTTTCTAACAAAGTTGACACAGTATCCTTCCGGCACTCCCAGGACCTTGACGACTTCTACGGGGGATAGCAGGTATGGGGATAGCAGGTTCAGGCTGAGGACAAACACACCTCACATGACAGTATTAATCAATGTCAAAGAACAGATACATATTTCATGAAAGTAGCAGGACTCAACTACTTGAACTTACTGACTGAGTGAGTTTGATTTTAAGCCTTCTTTAGCAGTATTCCAGCAATATCATGGCAGGGACACCACAAATGAACTTGACACATTTTACCCACGTGGGAAATCAAACCTAGGTCTTCGTGGAACAAGTGAACGCTTTAACCATTAGGCTACCCCACAGCCCCTGCAGCTTACGAAGACAGTGAGAGTAAGGGCCATTACATGATAGTTCACATATATCACCGACCCTGGGCTACACCACTGTCCCCATAGGTGCTGAAAAGATTGACCCACCTGGAGTCCAGACTTATAACTGCATCCACTGGACAGGTCCATATCTTCCTCACTATGATTGTCCTGGAGCTTAAGGTCGTCCTGGAGATCAAGGTCGTCCTGGAGCTTTACATCTTGATCGTGATTCAGTGCTTCACCAGAGCTGAAACATCACAAAGAACTGTGGCATAAAACATGATTCACACAAGATGTAAGTAACCAATATTAATTACTTAAATTCAAATTCTTTTTAATATATTTATAACTATTAAGAAAATCATCTGAAATTTCAAGGCAAAACGTAAAAACAAAAAGTGCTTTTGAAACGGATGCATCTGGACATTGAGTGACATGCAAAGTCACAAAGTTTGACCTCCAAATCCATTTAATCGCCAAGTCCCTACAGACTTGCTACACTAAACCTCCAAAGCTTACACCACCAACCTTTTTTGTTGTTGTTACTGGAGCTGGTTTGCTGTCCACCTCATCATCGAGGAAGGAGGCTTCAGAAGGTGCAAGGAGTGAAAACACTGATACGACTGAGTCTGCATCAGAGTTTCCACCTTCGTCGGACTGGTTTGGCTTTACATCGTCCTCTTCATCAGACTCATCTGTATCAGACTCATCTTCCGACTTCTCAGAGACCTCAGCTTCGCTTGACTCTGCACCTTTTGAGACTGGGTCCTCCTCTGATGACTGTCTAGGACTGCCTGCATCTGCTCCACTTTGCTCATCATCATCTGAACTATGTTTTTCATCAAATGAACCATCGACACTATGACTGTTCTCTTGAACCTGTGGGTCATCAGCATTGCCATCATCAGACTCTTGACCTCTCTGTTCCTCAGTTGTAGCATTTTCTTCTGTGTTTAGCTTCAATGTTTCCTCCTCATTTGTTTCCTTGTATGGTTCCTGATATTCTGATGATTCTAGAACATGAGCTTGTCCATCTGTCAAATCTTCAGAAAAACTGTGACCTTTTTTCACCTGGTTTCTTGGTGAGGGGATGTCGGAAGGCAAAAGATTGTCTATAAATCCTACAGTCTCCTCCATAGAAGATAAATCTGTGTTGTCAAACAAATGACCTTCATCAACTTCAGTTTTGGATGGTTCATCAACACCAGCAGTGTGGACATTTTCAACAGTGTTGACTTCCATGGCCTCATTTTCTGGTTCCATGTCTTGGATAGCCAGTGTTGCCTCCTCTGGGCTAGAGGGACTCACAAGGAACGTCACCTTCTCTGCTTCAGTGTCATCATCAACGTCTTCCAACCCTTCACTCTCCACATCAGACTGTAGGGTATCTTCATAGAATCCCTTAGGAACAAAGGTCTTGACTGGACTCTTCTTAAGAATGCCTCTTGGAGACAATATTTCCTTTGCTTTCTTAGTAGGCACTGTAGTATCTAGCACTGGGGAAATGGTCACATTGACTCTCCTTCTAGAGGAGTTTGAGCTTGAGCTACTTGGAGATTCCCCACCTATAGCTCCTGTACCCTCCAGCATAGATAGAAGGCTCTCTTTGACACTTTCTGTTCCTGGTCGGACATTGTTTGCTGCAGGTCGAATAGGACTTGTGACTTCCTGATGGAATGAAGGGATGTTAAACAATGAAGACCCAAATGTGAATTGTTTGTCTGTGAAATTTGAATTCATTATCCCAAAGGTTCTTTTCTCTGTTCCATATTTAGCAGTTGGCCACATTCCATAAGAATGTTCTAATGGTGACTTTGCACTAATGTCTTCATCAGAAGATCTGTTTCCTTGTTTCTTCCGAATCTTTTTAAGGATCGGAGACCTTGGTGGGCTGAAAAGATTGTCAGATTCTCCAAATGACATAACAGATGAGACCGAAGTAGATGGTGCTCCTTTCTCCGTGCAAGCAGTCTGATCTGTGGGATCTAAGATCTGTTCAAAAGGCAGAAGAGCAGACAGATCTTGATAAGTTTGCTGACTGGCAGAAGCAGCTCGTTTCCTCCTTTCTTCCTCTTTTTTCAGGATACTCTGAGCGAGTTTTGATTCTGGCATGGACCTTTGTGTCACATTCTCAAGGTCATGGTGAGGCTTGGTCATACTCACACCTTGTTTCTGAGAAAATCCAGAGCCCTTTCTCAAAACACAAACATCCTTTTTGGGTTTCCTTTTATTCCTTTCTTTTGGAGTACTGATGGCCAAACCAAAATCTGTGACATCTGACAGAGATCGTCTATCACCAGTACTCCTCTTAGACATACTCAAATCAGGTCCAGGGTATTGTTGTATGGAGCATTTGTCTAAATGCTCTTGATCAATGGAGTGGCTGTGGTTTGATTTCTTCTTTTGTTTCTTTCTATACTTCCGTTTCAACCTAACCTTCCATGTCTGAGACTTCTTCCCACCGATTCTCCTGTACTTATGCCTGCCGAACTTCATGGTCCTTTTCATCGACAAACAGAAAAGGATGAGTCTGGGCTGAAGATCGGTCCCTCTCATACCAAGCCTCACAGCCTGAACATCAATCGGGGACTGATCAATGCACCCTAGTTGGTCACTGCCATTTTGGTCCTCTATATTGTCTGTATCCACCACAGCATCTACATGTCTGCTGTGCAGGCACCCTCGTTGGTCTCGGTCATCATGATCCTCTACATGATCTGTAGTTGCTACAGCCTGACAAGCACTGACACTGTACAGGCAACCTAGTTTGTTACTACCCTCAGGAAGCATACCATCAACTTGATCTGCATTTGGGACAGCCTGACCATCATGTAGTCCAAGTCCACTGTGTTGGCAACCTAGTCTGTCCTTTCCATTTGCGTAACTGCCATTGTCAACACTGACCTCTACATGATCTGTATTTACAACAGTCTCGCTAGCACAAACTCCTGGTCCACTGTGAAGGCACCCTTGGCTATCACTGCCATCTATGTCTTTGGTATCATGGATTTTTCCCTCTACATGATCTGTATTTACAACAGTCTCACCAGCACTAACTCCTGGTCCACTGTGAAGGCACCCTTGGCTATCATTGCCATCTGTGTCTTTGGTATCATGGATTCTTCCCTCTACATGATCCGTATTTAGTACAACCTTACCAGCACAGACTCTGTGTTCACTGTGCAGACACCCTAGCTTGTCAACAGCACCTTTGTCTTTGGTATCATGAACTTTGGCTTCTATATCTCTATTTAGTACACCCTCACCATAATTAACACCATGTCCACTGTGCACATACCCTAATCTGTCACTGCCATCACTGTGATCTGTATTTACTACAACCCCACCAGCACAGACTCCAACTTCACTGTGCAGGGTGTTTTTATCAGATGCGCCGGCAGTGCCTTCATTGCCATCTGTGTCCTCAAACCTATCCGACTCCATTACATGATTGTGTACATCTAACTTCACACATAATGCATCCCCATCCCTGACTATATGTCTACTGTCCAGCATCTCTGCAGTGTCTGTACCTACTTGACTATCTGAAATCTGTAGAGTGTACACAGCCTTTCCTTGACCTACATCTGCAGTGTCTTCACTGACATCCATCCCATGAGAATTTGGATTCTTCTCCTTGTGGGTAAAGTGACAGGGTGACATAGCAGGGTTTTTGTTTCCTAACAGAGCAGATAAATCCAATCCAGTTAACTCTATTGACACTGGCACACTAGAAATAGAGGGACCTGAACTGGCTTCTGTTTGGTCTTTTGATATAGACACAGACAAGTTAGGGCTTGATGTATCCCAAATGTCTGCTGAACAGGTTCTGTTAGCTTCAGAAGGAATTGGCCTTGGTCCAGGTCTTGATTTGTTTTGGTCATCAGCTTCTGAACTGGATGCACATAGGCCAACCTCAGAAGTGACTGGAAGACAGCTGGGAGTTGATTTATGCTCCAAAGACTTAGACGTTTTGTGAAGAATGTTTGAAAGACTTGAACACACTGTTTTAATCTTCTTCACCGATGTCTTTACAACTTTGTCAGCCACATTACCTTTCGCAACGCCAGTGTCAGGAATTGGGAGAAATTCATGAACAAGATGGTTGACAATGGCAATTCCTTCACTATATAAGTCATTAGTTTTGACCGTGTCATCTAAAGCAACCTCACAGTCAAACACATCCTTGTCACACAGAGACTTGTTGGAAGTGCCACTGCTCAGATCACTCACTGGCGACTGGCCTTCGTTCCTTCGAACACTTGATGGTAACAGGTCATCGACAATCTCATTAAGCATCAACATGGTAGAGGAAATGTTCACAGGATCATTTACTGGTCTCATCTCTACAGACTGTTCCTTGGGCAGGACATAGAACTGTTTGTTTTTTTCTAATTCATCAAGCTGAAACTGAGATAACCACCTCCTTTGTTCCGAAGGACACATGATGTCACCCCTGACCTCCTTCTGATCTGTGTCTGTTGGACTCGCTTTGATCATATTTGAAAAGTTAACACATTCACTAAGATTTTCTGACACAGTATGCACTACATCTGAACTACTTTTAGACACTTCTTCTGGTCCTTGAGTTGATGACCCGGGACCAACCTGCTGTTCTGTAAAAGAAGGACTTTCCAAATCAGGTGCTTCACAATGACTGCTGCAGCCATCATTTTGACAAGCCTCATCCACACCATCATCTCTACACAATGTTTCATGCATCACAATATGTTCATCATCAACTTGCAAGTCCATTGATGATAACGTTTCACTGATTTGGATATCCTCACTGACAATACCTAATTGCTCGAGTTCTCTCATGTGGTATTTCCGATGTTCAAAATTGTGCTGAGTCATGACAACAAAAGGAGAGGCATCTTGGTGACAGGCATTGTTGTACTCTGGTCTCCATACAATGTTATTCTTTACATTTTTGTACAAAGGAATGCATAAATTTGGAAGAACAACCATCCGAGTCTGAGGATCAGGAGGACATGCACCATGAGGCTTGACCTTTCTAGGTCTGCCTCTTGGTCTTTTTGGCACAACCTTCTTCCACAAGGAAGAGGATAGTCTCAGAGAATCTTTAGATCCACATTTACCCGTTACTACAGAAACTGAGCCAGACTCACTATCAGTTTCGGAGAAGATGTTCACTGATGCATCTGATTTAGATCCAGAAATGTTTTGCACAGGATTCTTGTCATCCACAGACAATAGCACAGTTTCAGAATGACAAACAGGGTTGTCAGGTGTCATTTTGTGGTTATCAGATGTGCCATTAGAAGGGGGCATTGTCGATTTGAACTGGTTTTCCTCCACAACTGGATCACAGAATGAATGACTAGCCCTGGACACTGGGGCAGGGGCAGGGGCAGGGGCAGGGGCAGGGGCAGGGCTGGGCTGGGGCTGGGGCTGGGGCTGGGGCGGGGCTGGGGCTGGGGCTGGGGCTGGGCTGGGGCAGTGGTAGGGGCTGGGGCCGGGGCCAGAGCAGCAGGAGCAGGAGGTAGTCCGCACAGGGTCACTTTCCTGCTTATAGCACCACCACTCACTGAGGGAACAGTCACTCTTATTTCATCACCATAGACTCCAGCTTCCAGTCTATTTGTCAGTGGTTGTTGTGCATTGTCCAAGCTATCACCTGAAGCATTAACTGCCTTTACAATTAGTGGTTTGTAAGTTTTGGATCTCAGCATCTGTTCCAACAAAGGAGATTTTGTGCATGCTTTTTTTTCCGAAGGTACATCAGTCCGATTTGGTGAAATGGGCGTTACATGTGACAGAGATTGACGCTCCCTTTCTCGTAATAGCCCAATTGAACTTGTATGTATGTTATCTCTACATCTCCCAGAGTCTTTAACATTCTCAACACTATTCCCGACTTCGGAATGCCCTGTCATTAAAGCCGCCCCTGTTCTTACAACAGTTTCATCCAAGTGATGTCTTTCCCCTACCAGTGAGTATGTCTGAATCACTGGTGGAACACTCACTGCGCTACTTGATTTGTGATCGTCAGTTTCAGCCACGGATTGTGACAGCATGTTCTTTTTATTAGAAACAGCGACCCGCGGCAAAGGTTTCCTCCTGGCCTTTGGGTACTGACACAGTTCTGGTTTGGGTACATGTCCCTTTGTCATGATCTGGGCACCAGTCCTAATACTTTCACCAGATGTCTCTGGTAAAACTCTGGCCTCACTTGCTCTACTTCTGTTACATAAAGCTGAACCTTTGGACGGGTTACCTGATATTTGTTTTTTTGACTGCGTTTTCTTCAACACATTCCGACGAGATACCATCCTCTCGTCACTGGATGTATTACAACCACTTCCCTCTGTCTCAGCTGTGTCTGTACTGGAGGAGTTACCCTTTTTACATGGAGAAACACAGACTGGGTTGGATCTTGCTTTTTGGGATAGGTACTCAGCAAGAGCTATCTTGGCTGAAATGTTTGTGTCAGCAATCTTGTCAACAATCTTTTCAGTATCACTGACTTTGTCAGCATTCTTTTTCTGCAAAAGTTTATCACTAGCTTCAGATCTTACTTTGGTAACCTTACGCCTGTCTTTAGTTGGAGAATCATCTGATTCTGATACCGCAGCCTGAGAATTTAACTGTATATTTTTCCTTACACTGAAATCAGGACTGTTCATTTCAGAAACAACTGACTGAACTGCTGTTTGTGATGGACATGTTGAAACATGGCTGCTATCTGTGGAGGATGGCTTAGTTTTCATAAGTCTCTTCTTTCTATCCTGCAAATCAGAATTCATACTTTCACATGGCTTTGATCCACCTTTGGAAACATTTTTCTTTCCCTTCGTTGTGTCTGAATCACTACTTTGGGAACATTTGCCTTTCCTCCACCCTCTGGTTGCAATAGCATTGTGGGTATTGGTGCCAGATGTCGGAATTTGTGCCGTCTGCTGCCTCTCATCCTGTGATTCTGACTCAGCAATACACACACCAGTCCTGACTCTAGACTCTGCCTTGGAAACAATGCATTTCCTTGGTTTCTTTTGCCTGAATTCCATTGCTGTGTCTGACTCGCTAGATTCAGACCTGTGCTCTCTCCCAGCTACACTTCTGGTTAACATTTTTGATACACATGGAGTTTCACTGTTCTTCCTATGTGATGACACAGAATCACAATCCATTTCCCTTTTCTTCAAAACTCCCTTTCTTTCAGGATCACTGGGGACTTCTGCTGTTTTCACAGACAGCTTTTGAAGTTTCCTCTTCCTGTTGTCTTGCTTGGAGTCACTTGATTCAGATCTAACCTCTGACAAAGCATGTCTGAGTGATGAGTAATGGATACAGGTCTTGGCGTTCACTTTGGGGGGAAAAGCTGACACTTGCTGGGTTTGATCCATGTCTGCTCTGCTGTCTCCTTGACTTCCAAGAGAATAATTGTCTCGAAAAGGATGGTTACAGTTTTCATCGTATTCATCAGAGTCAAAATCCCTCAAATCTGCCACACCTGAAACCTGAAATGGTTGGGGACCATCTAAGCAGTCATTTACCTTGTCAGATCTGGTCGAACGTTTGCTCAGTTTAACTGAGTGTTTGTTAGATGAGGCTTTGTCAGTTTTCTTTCTGAAATGAAGCTTCTTTTTTCTATCACGGTTAAGTATGATCTCAGAGTCAGTATCTGAGTAGCAGTTTCGATCTTGGTTGTAGGGAAAGTCCAGTGGGCCCTTTATATTACTCAGGGCTAAATCTAAGCTGTCTGCAGACACACAGCCAGAATAGCCAGACTCTGATTCTGACACTGACAAAAACTTACTAATATTTTGCAACATCACCTTTGGCTGAAGAGGAGAGCAGTCTGATGATGGAAGGGAATTGGGAGATTGACCAGACAATGTTTTTGGACTTTTGGAAATTGGAGTCTGCTTTGAATAAACATGTCCAGATTGAAATGAGCCAAATTGAGTTGGCTCTGTCATTTTGAATAGAACATTTCTACTTTCAGAGCTCTCATCCAATCTTGTGGTAGCTGTTTGATTTGAAAATGGAATACTGACTTTGTCCACAATTCTCCTGAGTTTTCTGGCTTGCGACTTTGATGCGGTTTCAACTGGTTTCTGAGATCTCCACTTTTTCTGGGCAGGGCGGGAAGGAACAATAAAGTCCCGATCTGGAGAAGTCCTTGGGGTAGGGAGGAAAAAACCCACTCCGAGATGAGGTTTCAGCATGGCACAGGGGATGAAGGTTTGTATCAATTACTTCAACTTGATCACTTGAGTGTTTGACAATCAGTGGACTTTCATTGTACGCTGAAGGCTCTTCAACTGGTACGTTTGCCTCAATAACACACACCCGGAGATTCACCAATTATTACAGATTCTTTCAAAGGCAGAAAATCTGTGGTGCTTGGTGAAGTCCTTGATGTAATTTTGCTCCATTTATTTTGAATTTTAGACCTGTCAGGGAGTCTGGTATGAATCTTGGTGAGATCCGGACTCCGTTCTTGAGAAGTAGATTTCCTGGGAAGCGTCTTATTGGTTTGACTTGCATCCTGAGCCATCTCACCACCACCTAACACATTCGGATGATGATGTGAATCATTTTTGTTTAGTTGAGATGTCTTTGGTACTGTTCTGGTGGGTTGCCGATTCATGGCATTTGGCTGACATTCTGCTAATGCTGACTCATCATGAAGTATCTGAGCTTGTATGATTCTTCTGCCACTTTGCCTCTGCACATCCTGCCGCGAAGGAGGCTGTTGATTGCTTGCACGACCAGGATGTCGGGGCGGGATATGTACATCAGGTATGTGGTGAAGAGGGGCATCCGGGGGATGTGACTGTGTCTGCGTTGTCTCCACACTGTCGTCTGCAGAGGACACAAATGTGGGTCGGAGAGAGATCCTGTTTAACTTGGTACTTCTGCTCCTGGACCGGACCCTGCCAGGGAGCTGCCTCGCATCTGCAACACAATTGTTGTAAGCATCAAGAGTGAGTGAGTGAGTTACGTTTTACGCTGCTTTTAGCAATAATTCAGCAATATCACAGCAAGGGGAGTGAGTGAGTGAGTGAGTGAGTTGAGTTTTACGCCACACTCAGCAATATTACAGCTATATGGCGGCGGTCTGTAAATAATCGGATCTGGACAAGACAATCCAGGGATCAACAGCATGAACATCGATCTACGCAATTGGGATGCGATGACATGTGTCAACCCAGTCAGCGAGCATGACCACCCGATCCCGTTAGTCGTCTCTTACGACAAGCATGGGTTACTGAAGGTTCATTCTAACCCGGACCTTCACGGGTACAGCAAGGGGACACCAGGAATGGGCTTCACACATTGTACCCATGTGGGGAATCGAACTCGGGTCTTCGGCGTGACGAGCGGATGCTTTAACCACTAGGCTACTCTACCGCCCCGTAAGCATCAAGAAACCATATGGCACAAAACTATATTGCAATACCTAGAAATGCAGGAGTCTGTGTTACAATAAGACTTATTGTGACATATTCGGAGCTAAGATTTTCACAGTGAATTTTGAATACTAAGATCAACACCGAAAATCACTACTTCATCCACATTGCTTGTAAGCACAAGAGTTGTATATTCAACTGACAGAAAGAAACTTGCTTTAAATGTGACATTGCACAAATTTAGGACACAAGTTCAAACCAAATAAAAGCAAAACACATAATCCGAACGGAACAAAACTGTTGAAAGTGATACACAGTATGGCAATTTATTAAATAGAAAATGAGAAAGGGTGAAAAACATATCATGCTTTGGCAGCCGTAACAATCCATGCAACTGGGATAGATACATGATACAGAGGGCATGAATGACCCTCACATGATAAAAATGCAACAAATGACACCAATGTGAGAGAGTCCTGGGTAAGGTACAGATGGGGTGACCAAAGCATTTGGATGTCCCTGTGTCGCTGCAACACCTCAAGCCCAAGAAGAGCCTGGTTAGAATTGATCTTCAGTAACACATGCTTGATGTAAGAGGCAACTGACGGGATCGGGTGGTCAGGCTCGCTGACTTGGTTGACACATGTCATCGTATCCCAATTTTGTAGATCAATGCTCATGCTGTTGATCACTGGAATGTCTGGTTCAGACTTGATTATTTACAGACTGCTGCTATATAGCTGGAATATTGCTGAGTGTGGCATAAAACTAAACTCACTCACTCACTGAAGCACCTGATACAGTGTTACAGACAGACCAGGCAGTACCAGGATAACCTTGGCGGTGAGGTAGCCTAGTGGTTAAAGTGTTCACTCGTCATGCCGAAGATCCGGGTTCCATTCTTCACATGGGTACAATCTGTGAAGCCCATTTCTGTCCCCCGCCATGATATTGTTAGAATATTGCTAAAAGCGGCGGAAAAATAAGCTCACTCACTCACCAGTATAACTGGACTTAACAATTAACAATGCTGAATGAAAACCGGTACTTGCTTACTTTGCATCTTCACAATTACTTCCTGACAGTGATGGTATCAGCAACACATAGGGTAAATAGTTAGTCAGGGGTCAAGCAACTCATTGCTAAAGGAACTGGGGCTTTCAGACCTGACAGAGGAAAGTTATTGACAACTCAACATCGTAGTCAGAGATTGTGAAGGGTCCAGAGTGAGTGAGTGAGTTTAGTTTTACGCCGCACTCTGCAATATTCCAGCTATATGGCGGCGGTCTGTAAATAATCAAGTCTGGACCAGACAATCCAGTGATCAACAGCATGAGCATCGGTCTGCGCAATTGGGAACCGATGACATGTGTCAACCAAGTCAGCGAAACTGACCACCCGATCCCGTTAGTCGCCTCTTACGACAAGATAGTCGCCTTTTTATGGCAAGCACATGGGTTGCTGAAGACCTATTCTACCCCGGAGTGAAGGGTCCAGACTGCATGTTGTTGTCAGCGACATGACTAGCAAGGGGTTGTCTTCACTGATGAAAGCTTGTTCTGTGTGTCAGGGTGCGATTTCGGGGGTTTTTTTTGCAGTACCTGCACCGAGTGCAACCTGGCTTACAGGTTTGGCTGCACCATCAAAATTTGGTTGCACTATAAAATAACATCACTGGCTCTAAAAAGTAACATACATACTTGTTCAGCAATTTTCATGACAAGTACTCATTAGATACATACGTCAGAAGCTGACCCCATGATGATAAATGAGGAACGGTTCAGTTTCAATTTTGAACTACCTTTATTAATAAATCTGTCATATGATTACTTCTATGTAACTGATTTATGGATAGACAAATGTTTCTACTTGTAACAAGTTTTGCAGAGAGAAACATATTACTTCCAGTCACTTACTTCCCAATTAAAACAGACGATGACAGCTATAAGATGTTGAAGAAGTTATTGTTACCTGCAAGAGATGCAGCCTGCTACTCTATGTAGCCAGCACCAGCCATTGTTAACAAGTTCCATTGAAGGTTGTTAATTGCAAAATCAGACCCTGTATGTTCAGTACTGTTGGTTGGTTGGTTGGTTGGTTAACGCTGCCTTCAGCAATATTCCAGCTATATGGTGGCTGTCTGTAAATAAGTCTGGACCAGACAATCCAGTGATCAACAACATGAGCATCGATCTACACAATTGGGATACGATGACGTGTCCACCAAGTCAACAAGCATGACCAACCAATCCTGGGGAAATGGGGGATGTTTTTGGGGGGAAATGGCGGATGATCAAAATAAAACTGAGAAGATTATTTACAAATTAATTAACTGAATCATAGGATAACTTCAATGAGATGTGAGTAAGAAACTAAATGAATTCTGAGGACTTGTTTGAATTTTGAACATGTTCATGGCAGTGAATTCATTATGTTTTCTTTTCAATTTCCATGTATTGAAATTTTCAGGACGATCTGAATTTTCTGGTGTCCTTTCAAATCATACATGTAGGGGCCCTTGGGCCCATATATTCCAAAACCTAGGAACAACACTGCCATATGGTAGAGGGGGTATTATGGTGTGTGGAGGAATTCATGGGCAGGATAGAATACCTCTGGTCATCGCTAACGGACATTTGACAGCTCAGCATTACATGGATGACTTTCTTTATCCAGTTGTGTTACTGGTCATGCAAAAGCTGCCTTTATCAGCATGACAATTTCAGAAACTATATAGCCTGATTTGCACAAAACGTCCTTACAGCCGACATTAACATATTGCTGTGGCCATTCCAACATGGAACACCAACGGGAGGTCACGGATCATCGTGATTGACAGCAACCACATCCTCCAGGAAACCGATGATAACTTTAGCCCTCCAAGAATGGCGCTTTGAGCTTGCATATAGATGAGAAGGACTATAGCGCTATATATAACATATATTATAACATATAATGGCAACTTACACCATGGGACAGCATTAGACGACTGACATTTTTTCTGTGCACCTGAGAGGTTTTGCAAGTCTCGTAGTAGATGGTGGTCATGCATGCTATTAACGTGATGCATCATTGAGTATTTAGTAAGTTTAGATGTCTGTGCCACTATCCACTGAAACTTTGTTTTTGCTACCTCAGTTTGGGCAACTCTTATGCCAATATCAGTTACCGTAAGACCGCCACTTTAAACTTCATGTATCTATCTCTTGCTGTTTTTATTTTAATTTAAACTAGATTAATTAAACTATGCAGGGTTTAACACAGCTCTTCAAAACTGGGAGTCCTGGGGACTCAGGGCATAGTTAGTTTTCTGAGAGTCCATTTCCAAAATTGGGAGTCCATCAATGTGCATGAAATCAATGATCATGGATGCTTCCTATTTGATAATGATTATGTTATAATACGTGTTACTTTCAATGTCATTACAATAATGATCGTTAACAGAATGTTTATATTTCAGTATGGGATACCATTACAAACACAGAAAGTTCTTTCCCAGAAAGAATTATACTGCATCCACAAGGACACACAGGATTTTAGTTTGGGGGTACTTCATCAAATTTCTGCATCCAATACGCAGGAATCACGTGTCCCATAAAACCCTGACTATGGTAAATTTTCGTTTGGATGTCAGTTTATGTAGTGTTATCTTTGAAAATAATTAGATATAGCTGTGTCAGACAGATAGAAACTGACTTTCCGATTTCTATTTTGTACATATCCTTGCGTAAACTTGCTCACATAGAGTACTTGACTTCCAGATTTTGTAATTAGCAATAACTTTATTACTTTTCATGTGTGGTATGTAATTGCTCATTAATAGGGATAGAGTTTAATTATCGAGTTTTTAATCAATAACAATCACTCTCAAGCCTGTACGTTAAGTTCAGACACAACATGATTGACAGTTTGGATCATGACAGTGAGTGACTGGTGGCTGTCATTCATACCCTAGATTCAAGAAATTCCAATCTGTTTTTATTTATTTTTTTAAATTTCCATACTTACAATTTTAACAAATTGGCTTGTCATTGCCAACAGTATACACATACATAATTTGACATTCAGAGCTCCAGATAAGATTTAGCTCATGTGGGTACTGTACCCACTGTATTTTTTTGGAGTGGGTATTATGAATGTTGAGTGGGTATTTCATTTTCCGTTACCCACTGCTTTCAAATATATGCGTATTTCAGTCATTTTACTCACCTAAGTATTATGTCATTGGGTAAGTTTACTAAGCAGGTATGTTCTGCCTTATGTCATACCTAATCAAAACCAACTTAAATATAAGGGAAATGATTTCATAAAAAATCACTCATCCTATACTGACAGTACAACACTTGTCCTATAATAACAGTACAACTTGATAGCAACCCATGTCGTTTTCATAACACAAGCGATTTTTATAAATATATTCTGTACGCATTTGTTTTAAACTTTTTGAGTATCTAACATTTTAAATGCGTAATTGGTATGCCAGAATTATTTTTCAATGCGTAATTTGAAATTTTCTATGCATATTTTAACCGGATACGCAGCTTATCTGGGCCTCTGTGACATACACGTAAAATAAATATATACGTAAAATACAGTGATCTTTAAACGATGTACAGACAATGAGGTACAGTTATATGAATCAACTTTTCAATATAGTATGTTATGATGACCAGAATTTAACAAATATATCGTTTTTTACCAGAAACTGAATAAACACATTTTGTAATGTCGTAGTACTGCTATCTACGATAAGTTGAAATATACCTGGCTCATAGTTATTCGGAAAATAAATGCTGATAATTGTATACTAGATATTTCATTTGACATTATTTTGACATGTGCGTCCTCCTCTCACCCATGCGAAAACTGACCTCGAAATTCCAATTTTGTTTGCACTTGTGGGGGCCACAATCATATAGTACATGTATACAGACAATATTATCAGACAGTAGAGAGTATATTTTTTTTAATGCAATGGTAATCCTGAAAAGAACAAGTATCCTTATATTTACGAAACTTACATTTGAACATTTGCTTCTTTCTTTTTTTCAGTTTATCACACTCAAGTTTGAGCTCTGTTTCTTCTCTTACCAGTTTGTCTTTTTTCATATCAGAATCAGCTGTACAAAGTGCTTGTACAGTAAGAGATAACTTCTTTCAGAGGCATTCTTAGAAGTTGTTGAGTCAGAAAAGGACAAACTTTATGGATGAACAACTTCTTTATTCAGGTGATGAAAGTTGCTTGACGACGTTACAAGCATCTGTATCGAAACGTCTCACCTACTGAATAAAGAAGTTGTTCACGTTTGTCCTTATCAGATTTATGCTGATCTATGCTGTTTATCAATGTTTGTAAATACGAAATCGGCTGACTGGCTTATCAAGTTCTTGAATATCGTAATTCGGAGAAATTAGGGGGGGACTTTTTAACAGATAATTCATGGAGCATCCCAATTCACAACTTCGTGTGTACAGAATGATCTACAATAGCTGTCTCAACATCCAGCACTCACGCTCCGCGAGCCAGGCAGTGTCAGGCAGTGGGGCCGAGAATGTTGACGGGCGATAACAGCAGCCTTGCGGAGTTTGCTACATGAACACAACGAATGAAACCACTGACTAACAGTAATTATTGCTCTTACCATCTCCCGCGCGTTTCATTATTTTCACATTTTGTGCACTTTCCACTCAGGGTGCGTGGTCATTTGGGGTGCATGTTCAGAGTGCCCAAAACAACAAATACATGTGTTCTTAATTCGCCATGTTTAAAGAAAAGCATTGTGGGAAACGTCCTCGCGGGCTAACCCATTCCGGTTAGTGTTTCCCGTTTCATCGCCGTGGACAATTTAAGGCTTTTATTCTCGGGGCGGGGACGTTTCTAAAGGTTGTGGAGGCCGAAATGTTTGTATAGCTCCATAGGGCACACTAAGAGACCATATATGGTCTCTGGGCACACTATATCTCCCTCAATTAACTTTCGCTAAATAAAGACGAACTTTTGAAACCTTTCTCGCCATGAATCCTTCAACAAAGCCGTCACCTCAAAATAAACTCAAATACAAGTACAGGAGGTCGGTCACCTGTATAATATATTATTTGGGACATAATGTAGAATTTGTCCACTATCAGTTAAAACATTATGAATATGCCTGTTTCTGTATGGACATAAGACTAACAACTAGTCTGTGAAATGAACATATTTTACAGAAAAAAAGTTCATGGCAAAAAAATAGAATATAATGAAAAGGAGACCTAGACTTTCTTCATTTTCAGAGACTAAACAAATCCGCAGAGGGATAATTTCTTGGAATTTCACAACATGTACACAGGGTCTTATCGCCCATTACCGCTGAAATTGTATTTGACAGGAATATTTATCGCCCCCAACACCTCCCCGTCCTACAGTCAGCGATGGAAATCTAGACTTGCGACATTTTCTAGACTTGCGGGGAATTTCTTGGATATATTTGCTTTAGGGTCTGTATGACAGACTATATGGACACTAGACTAACAACTAGTCTATGAGATAACAACTAGTCTATGAGATGAACATATTTTACCGAAAGAAAAGGTTCATGGTAAAAAAATGAAATAAAATGAAAGGAGATCAGAGACGTTTTTCATTAAGCTGTGGAAATCTAGACTTGCGATATTTTCTAGACTTGCGTGGGCTTTCTTGGATACATTCGCTTCAGAGTCTGTATGACAGACTATATGGGCACTTTTATACCATATTTAGAGTTCATGTTGTACACAATTAAACGGATCATCTGTGCAAGCTTATTGTTAGTGAATTATTGATGGTATATATAGCTGAGTTGAAACGTTTTTGTTAATATAATCAATATATTGCCAATGATCACATATATGGCTTGTTAAATATGTGCCCCACTTACCATTTCTTTCCTTCCAATTACATAGCACATATATTCTTATCAGGTAGAAATGCATTCCTAAACATTAGAAATAACAGCAAATTTATTACTTAGACTTGAGGTTATATCTCATGATTGCCTCAAAGTCATGGGCGTTAAAGAACTGACTGAGTTTGGTTTTACGCCGCTTTTAGCAATATTCCAGCAGCATCACGGCGAGGGACACCGGAAACGGGCTTCATACAATGTACCCATGTGGGGATTCGAACCAGGGTCTTCGGCGTGACGAGCCAACGCTTTAGCCACTAGGCTACCCCACCGCCCCGCGTTTAAGGAAAGTAATGGAGGCACAATGTCGCGATAAACCTTGCGAGATAGGTGTATTTGCTGAATGTTTCGCGTCATCGTTGCCATTTAATTAGACGGTAAGAACATTATTCATTCACTTAAATGTCAAGATTGAGAATCAGATGAAGCTCACGTTAAACCTACCAAGAAGAGCAGTAGATCTAAAGGGATGACTTAACCGATCAGTGATGTCCGATAGGTTTTCGATTACGACAGACGTGGACAGCCTCCGTGGTGTAGTGGTTAGAGCGTCCGCCCGGAAAGTGGAAGGTCGCGGGTTCGATCCCCGGTCGCGTCATACCAAAAGACGTTAAAATATGGTACTTGTTGGTCCCTGCCTGGCGCTCGGCATTAATGAGTAGAACAAGGACTGGTCCGCTCGGAGTCAGTATAATGTGTCTGAGTGGGGTATTCATGCTTAAGCGGCATGGTATCTCAGTCTGGGCTAGTACAAGCAGCCGCACATACACACGCATGCACGTAGTCATATGAGCGAAATATTCTCAAGCACGACGTAAAACCCAATCTCACCTCACCTCACAAACATGAGTTCATAACCAGATTTTTACGAACCGAAACGATCGTCGTATTGGAACATGTGAACAAAGTCAGGTCAGGCTCGAACCACTTTAAAATATACTTTCAACACATGTGTTATAAAGCCGCGGTGGCTGAGCGGTATATAGGCGTCTGACTTTGTTTGCTGGCGATTAGGTGCCTTACTCTGAGGGTGTGGGTTCGAATCCCGGATGGGACTCAACCCCAAAAGTACTAGAATCTGTACATTAAGAAGGTGTAATCCCAAATATAACATATGTTACATTTGACCACTTTCTAAAATGGCATTGTGTATTTCATACTTTCAGCACGACTAGAGCGTGGAAGTCACCGTGGCTGAGCACTGGCCCTCGTGTCTTTGCGAGGATTAAAGATTTTATAAAATATATACAAAAATTTGAGATGACGCCCGATTCGAAATGCAGCTTCACAGTACAATACATAATGTATTGTACTGTGAAGCATTTCGTGTCGGGGGTCATCTCGAATACATAATGTATTGTACTGTGAAGCATTTAGAGTCGGGGGTCATCACAAAAAACAATATTTTTTAATAATTAATCCTCGGAAAGACACCAGGGCTTGCGTGGCTGAGTGGGTTAGGTGGCCGACTTTGTGTGCTGGCAATTAGGTGCCTGACTCTGGAAGTGTAGGTTCGAATCCCGGATGGGACTCAACCCAACAAAAGTAGTCGAATCTGTACTTTACTGAGAAAGTGTAGTCCCAAATACAACGTGTTACATTTGACCACTTTTTAAATGGCATTGTTTATTCATAAAATTTGTCATTGTGCACCGGTAGTTTTAGGCCACGCCCTGAAAAATAGTTTTTCGAATCCGATTATGGAGCGTGTGATTTCAACACTCGTACCTGGACATGTAAATACTTTCTTCGAACATGTAATGGGCGGACAATAGAATACGTACGTGCATGCGCGCGTGCATGTGTGTGTGCGTGTGAGAGAGACTTGAATGCGCATACTGTCTATTGTACGTGTGATTATTTGCGCACGCGTGTGTATGCATGTATGTTTTTTAGTGCTGTGTTGTTTATGTGTGTGTGTGTTTTTTCTGAGGGATGGCAGTATTTACTGAAAAAAAAATGGGAAAGTAAACCCTATCCAAAACATACCTACTTCCAACTTTCAACCTATTAAATCATGTGTTGACCATGTCCATCAACCATTGCAAGGGAACTGGTGTAAAATAGACATTTGCTGTTCGTCATAGATAACAGTGATTATTAACATGTCGTACGTATCCACAGAAAATTCTCTATTTATATATATACTCTCCCAAAAAAAGAAACGCATCATGAAAATAGCAATTTCATGTAGCAATGAATTAAAACGTGATTCATTTTACAAAAGGTTTTGCTCTGTTTATGAGTCCTATGGTGTTTATGTTTTGAAACATCACAACAAAACGCACCATCCGTAAAATACCCGTATTTAACAGCATGATTTTCAATTTCGGCGTGTAGTGTCACACAATACACAATTCACATGCAATGCACGTGAAAGTTGGGGATCTAATGATGGGTATAAAAGGTTGATCGCTGTCTATCGATTATTCACTGTATTTGGAATATTGTTGACGAACGCAAAATGCAACGTCTAAGTGAAGCCAACCGTCATATCGCCATTGGTTTGCTTGAAGCTGGCCAGTCTCAACGTGCAGTTGCCTGACGCATGAATGTTCACCAAAGTACCATTTCACGGCTCTGGGAGAGATATCGCCGGCAGAATGCGGTAGCAGATGCCCTCGTAGTGGGCGACCTCGAGCGACCACTGCGGCGCAGGATCGCTACATCCGGGTACATCACCTGCGTCATCGAACAGCTACGGCGACAAGTACCGCTCGACAAATACCCGGATTGAGGAGGCTTTCTGCAGACCGTCATAGGCGGAATTGGCGTAGAATCTGGTTCAGTGATGAATCATGATTTCTATTGGAACGACGCGATGGAAGAATGCGGGTGTACAGACGGTCGACGTGAACGTTTAGCCGACGCTTGCGTTCCCCAGGTGGACAGATTCGGCCGGGACAGTGTTATGATGTGGGGAGCGATCACCTGCCGTAGGAGAAGTGATTTGGTGATGATCCAGGGCAACCTGTCAGCTTAACGGTACTGTGACGAAATCCTACGCCCACACGTCCTTCCAATCATTGATCGCCAGAGGGAGTTGTTTCAACAGGACAATGCCAGGACCCATACAGCACGTCACACTAGAGACTTCCTCCAGAACCACAACATCAATGTGCTCCCCTGGCCCTCAAGATCACCGGACTTAAACCCGATCGAACATCTGTGGGGTGCCCTGGAAAGACGGGTGCGACGCAGTAACCCTCAGCCCCAGACACTTCAGCAACTCGCACAGGCACTACAGGCAGAGTGGGCTGCGATTGGGCAACACGAGATTCTGAGACTTATTCGTTCGATGCCGAGGCGATGCCGTGCAGTTCTGGATGCCCACGGCGGTCACACGAGGTATTGACTTCAGCGCCACCACACGTCTCCATGTGACACTCAAACTGACTTTCCTCGAGTTGGTGCCAAAGACGGATAAGTCTGCATCCCCAGTGTGCAATTTGGCTATATTTCATTGACTCATAAAGCCTACAAGATGTTTAAAAATAAACATAAAAATACAGTTGAAATTCCTCAATGCGTTTCTTTTTGGGGAGAGTATATATGGCGTGCGTGTAGATCTATGGTCTATGTTTAACCTACAGAACGGGTTCCTGTGCACGTATCCCACCTCGCCACACACATTTGCCTTGCCTGTCTCACAGTCCCTATCTGCAATTGTAAAGCCTAAAATGAAGCCAGTCTAGATTCCTCAGCCCTGGTCTCCCTGGGGCTCCTTTTCAATTCAAATGGTTTGTTTGTTACTATCCAAATGATATATATTCAGACACTAAGCGTTAGACATTTGTCCCTAGCCTTGCTCCAAGGCTGTACTGAATGCTGAGCCCATGGATGTATAGTAATTCTATCCTTCGATGAGGCAAGTCTAGATAAACGGACATTATTTTAGAAATTATTATTTAAACTATTAATTTTTACCTTAGAGACTTGTGCAAGTCTAATTTCCCAAATACGCGAGTAGGCTGACCTACTGTGATTCTACAATGAATAGCAGCCGTGGACAGGGAGCACAGCCAGTATAGCCCTTGCTTGTGTAAACAGGTCCAAGCTGAACCGTTTTCAATGTGAGGCGTTGCCAACGTTGTGTCCTTGTACTCAACAATGGCGGCCTTGAACTGTGTTTGTCACGCACTAAATCGACATGGCTAAAGCGTTGAATAATCCAAGTCTAAAGGACCCTGGAAATGATTATTATCGAAAAGGGTATATTGTGTGAAAGGATTTCTTGTGAGGTGTACACCTCTATTCACTTCCCGGCTTGTATGAGAGCCCCGCAGACAAGTGTTCACCTACACACGGGCCGTGTGTGTGGGATGAACGTCAACACTGTTGTGTATATACACCGTTCAGCAAATTAAGATTGGGAATTAAAATGGGACACTACCGAATAGAACCCGAAAATAGGGGAGGAGCTCTAGTCGTTACTCAACTTATAAACTTATAAGTCAAATTACAAGGACATAAAACTATGTTTCATGTACTACAATTGTCATTTTTTTTACACTAAGCGCAACGAGGACATGGAGGAGGAATTCATGATCAACTCTAAGATCAAACGCATCAGGCAGGAGGAACGAGAAGAGGAAGGGCTCAGGCGTATGTCTTGTATAGGCGTGTGTACAAGAATGGAGTGAGTGAGTATATGTTTACGCCGCACTCAGCAATATTCCAGCGATATGGCGGCGGTCTGTAAATAATCGAGTCTGGACCAGACAATCCAGTGATCTACAAACATCTGGCCTTTCAGAATCTGGAGGAGGAATCATCAGACCAATATAGTCGCGTGTGGCTGGGCTACTGGTATTGTCTCACAGAAAGGTGATACAATATTGCCATACGAATGAGTATTAAGATGTAATTGAATATTCCTGTTGTGACCCTGAAACTTCTTCCTTAATGTCCGAAAGGAGACAGTCTAACATTATGGGCACGTGACTCAATCGGCTTGTGCCCACTTTCAAATAAGTGGTCCCGGGAAAATGACAGATGAATGGTTACAATAATCACAAAATGGATAAGTGGATATCCCATCTGTTTAGGGCTTAATTAACCGACATTGGAAAAACAGCCCCACAATGTTGTAAAACCATAAACATTGGTAGTAGTGGGGAGGAATCCCATTAATTGCCACGCCTTTAAACAAAGGATAGCAATCTTACCAGAGACATTGATAGATTGTTTCGGGGTCTGAATGATCAAGTTGTGACTATCGAATAACAAGTAATGAATAAAGAAAACTCGTTGAAAACGAAAGTTGGGTAAAGGACTTGCAGCTGACAACGTGAGGTCACGGAGGCAAAGATACATGAATTGTGAGAGAATAATCTCATGACAACAAAAGAATTCGCTAAATGTAAAACTAAGGACGTGACCGGTCGATTATACTTTTTTACTAAGAAGTAGAATAAACACCAGAAATACTGTCGATATGATGAGGAAAACATCCATTGAAATAGTTGATTTAATCAAAGACATAAAATATGGCTGGGGATAGTTCGGAGGGGTGGTTGTTTGGTATGCTTTCCAGTCTGTCAAACCATTAGTAGGGGAACCTGCTGTATGTAACGTTAATGCAAAAAATAAGCGTGGAACTTTCAACCAAAATACAGACCCATTATTAGTAAAAAGAGGGACAAACCTGCGGCACAACTAGCCGTTACATTATAAGGGTTGCTGAAAGACCCATCCATAGCAGAGGATGGAAGGGAATCCATCCAACGGTCTTCAATCAAATTATCCTTTTTCATATGCTAAAAAATAAGGCGTAAATCAACTTGAATTTTTTGTCTTGTTTCCGAATGTAATCGATGTGATCATAAAATGTGATCATCGATTAATAAATGTGGAATTTTAAAAGTAAAATTATCTAAAAGAGGCTTTAAAGTTTCGAAAGGTTTCAGTGCGGACGAATTCCGATAAGAGTAGAAGATTGGGCGGATATAATTTTGAAGTTGCTGACTTTTTCTCATAATTATGAATTCTCATGATGTCTGTGTCGAATTCATCCAGTTTCAACGCACAGTGACAAGGAATTTTAAATATACAAATCTGAGAAGCTGGACCCTTCTCAATGCGACCCTTGCAAGTTAATATAGTAGTTTTTATGCCACTGAATACATGGATCCATTTATTCTGTGAAATGTCGATACGTGACGTATGGATAAATACAACTCCCCATGGAAGTCGTAATTCTGTATGGAAAGAATTACGAGTAACTTGTTTCTGGGTGCTGACAAGCGCCATCAGCGTGAACGAGACCCTAACTGGTCGAAGGAGACTCCTGGATTCTAAAATTCAAAGAACGCGATTAATAACATAAATAAAAACATGAAATTAAATCATATACATCTTCAATATTCTGATTAAAACTTTCCATGCATTGGGAAACAGAATAACCGTGAGATAGCATTCATATGGCGTCTTCTCCTGTAAGTTGAAACTGACTGTATACTTGAAACTGTAACTGACTGTATGATAACAATTGTCACATGTAGGTAATGGTAGTTTCACACTAGTATCCGTGCGAATAAACAACATTCAACAACAGTAGTAATTTCTGATCAACCTGTTTCATCAGAAGATTTCTCATCACGGATCAGATTGTATCGGTACCGTATAACCATTGGACACTGAATTCTCTTGACTGCCTTCCGAGTCATGTACCTGTAGTTTAATTGTGAATCATCGTACCTCCTAACATCATCACGTTTCACTGTATTTCCATGAACATCACTATTTGCAAGCATACGGTATCGCCATATGACGCACGTTTGTCTGATCCCGTAGATCGTAGTTCATTTCTTTTTCTCCAATAAACACTCATAGCGGAACGCTTTGTAATAGTCCGCGAAATATGTACAACGTCCTTTATGGTCCGCGAAATATGTCCAGCGACTTTTATCGACCTGTAACCTTCCCGTAGAAGTAGTAGGAATATGTACAACCTGACCCACACAGTTTGGCCAGAAACCCGGGGTTGTATTCTTCAAATAGTAGTACGCAACGTGACCCAAACCTTCGCAGCGTTTGGTCTCTAACCCGTGAATGTGAATGTATTCTTCAATATCAACCAATTTGGGACTGTATGCTTTCGAAATATTCTGGATATGCACAACTGGACATTTGACAATAAACAATACACAGTTCAACATACATGCACGCTTCCATTTCCTTGTAACCTTGTGACAATTGAATCAAGTAACATCGTAAAGGATGATCTATAGCATGGGCTAGCACCATGTGTATAGCATCATATAGTGATAATCCTGAAATAAAACACATGCAAAAATCAGTGTGGGGGTGATCAGTCCTCAGCATGATATTTGCAGTGCTGTAACTTAAAAGGGAACTAATCATAACAATTTGTCCGAAACAATTTTTCAAATATGTTGTTGAAAATTCTAACGCTTTCGTTGCTTATTAAACGACTTCAGTATCATATAATCATATGATCTCCTTCAGGGATTTTGGATTCGTTATCATCTGTAACCACATGTAAAGTGCAGCTCTCCTAGTAAACCCTGCAGTATTTCTTTCCACTGAATATTCTACGCGCTCGTATTCATTTTTTACAGGTAAAAATGCATCCCTAAACCATAGGCAGATCCAGAAGGGGTGGGGGTGTGGGTGTGGGTGGTGTTGCACTTTTGTCCTGAAATTTCATTAAATGACTATTGAAACGCTCGTGAAAATGAAGTGTGCACACACACCCCACCCCCTCCCCGCTTCTCAAAAAGCTGTATCCGTCCCTGCTACACCATGAGAGAATGACATCAACTTCCACATTTAGATTTGCAGTCATGAGACATAATGGGTAGGCACAGTAGGCAGACAGAGATTCGAGAGAATGGCGTTTAGCCGTAGGCTATGGACAGAGAGGCAGAACACATTCGTCGTGAAAGACATAACAGATTAATCTTACATTGAAACGAACAACAAATCATTGAAAAGGGGAGAGTGACCGAACGGTTGTTACCAATAATTTTCCAATCGAATATTCATGAGTGCTAGGACGGATACAGGATTAACGAATCAAAACAACGAGGTGAAACATGTGATCAAGATCAGGCCAGGCTCGAACCATGTAAAAAGACAGGTTTGGCACTGAGCGATTGTGCGCGCTTTTAAGTGACGGAAGCCAATCCACGCCACTCAGTTGCCCCGTGTGGTACGAGCCTACCCTGTCTGTTGATGAAGTTGTAGTTAGAGAAATGGACTGAGACAAGAGTAAAAACTATGTGTGAGTACAAGCCTTGGTGTTGCGTTTATCTATGACTGTATGTGTGCCACAGTACATGAATGTTATGTGGTTAGTTAGGAGTCCCGGTCGCCCAACCCTCACTCCCGGACCTAGCATCCTGCAACGGACAGAGCGAGTGGAGTGCCAGAGCTACAATCTCCCCCTGACAATGGGAACGGCCACAAGTAGCTACATGTAGGTACAGAGTCGTGAAAAATGTATTCGGACACGGAATTTCCATAGACTTACATGTTAATTTAGTGTAGCATAAATGATTTTCATGAATTTGATTTTCGTAAGATCCAAGTCAATTTTGCACATTTGCGAGGAATCATCTAGGTAGGTGGTGGGGTGTTCCTGATCCGAACATCACGTTTGCCATTTCTAAGAGATCGACAAGCGTGGAGAAGGATTGTAATCAGGGTGAACATTGGATTCGAACCTTGCAATCAGCGAATACCTGTATAGAGCACAGCAATCCAGCTTCTGGATCTGAGACTTGCTAATACCGTGAAACTCCAGATGCAGATGGATTAACAACATGAATACGCATGAGTTTTATTATAATTTATTACAAAAATAGGTGAATCTTAAGTTATTCTATTCTGCATATATACACATATCTTATTAGCACTGTCTGTTTTCTGCTGGGCCTGTCATAAGTTACAAAAACGTCATTCACTTATGTGTGTGTGTGTGCGTGCGTGCGTGTGTGTGTGTGTGTGTGTGTGTGTGTGTGAGTGTGAGTGAAAGAGTAGGTTTGACGCCGCCTTAAGCAATATTCCAGCAATATGACGGCGAGATACACCAGAAATGGGCACACACATTATACATGAGGGAAATAGAACCCACGCCTCGGTGTGTGATGAGCGAACGCTTTACCACTAGACTAGCCCACCGCCGGGACTGTATAAATAGATGGAATGATGTCTGAATGGATAGAATGGTGAATGCATAGTTGGATGGACTTATGCATGCATGAATGGTTGATGGAATGATGCATGCATTCATGTATGGATAGACAGAATGACAGATGGATGGATGGAATGATGTATACATATCTGGATGGATGCACCCTGTCGCATTAGATCTCACACTCCTGACTTAACCTCCTGACTGAGAATGTGTGTGATACAAATGCGTACGTTTCCACCCTTTTCTTGCAAAATCGCAGATTGAACATGGGACATATTTCATGAAAAGGTCGGGGCTATGCTCACTAGACTGAAAATTCCCCTCATGTAATGCAGTTATGATGTTTAAACATACCACCTGTTATACCCTCGACTGGGTACATTATATGGATGAACGATGCTGGTGTGATTAGTACTCGGGTATAACAAGTCCACACCCGTGTACAGGAGTAGGTCGAGTTGCGACAAACGTTATAAGTACTATACGAGATGGCCCCCGTCAAGGGCGCAGTCTTACGTCAATAAATACATTGCAACCAAAGGCAACATTAACAAGAGTCATATCACAGTCGATGTAAAACAATTAACAGGTAACAACAAACACCGGCTACCATTCGCATTTGATAGGGGATACGTCAAGACGCCTACTTCGCATGCTCTGTTTCTCGCCTGCTGTCCACGACTTTGATTTCGTCCGGAAGTGACGTAATTGCTGTGAATATGATTCGTGTACCATCGGGAGATATGTTTGGGGTTCACAGTGATTCTGAAATATAAAAAGCTGATGTTAAAAGTTTGTCAACAGTGGTAATCAATTACGTACTAATTAGGAGTAAAAATGTACACTTCAAATGGCCTCTTTTCTGTTTATTGGATATATATATATATATATATAAAAGGAGATAATGCTTTCAAACCTACTACTTTACTTACAGGCATGTCAAGGTGACCTGAAACCAATGAATATTTCCATAGAATATCTGATTGGTACAGAAACAAACTACATTGCCATAACGTACTCGATGTTCTTCAAAGAAAGCCTTGTAACCGCCATCCAGCAGGTACACTTCCGGGTAAAAGAGACATGGGTAGCAGTCGATGTTTAACTTCCGGTCCAGTCTTCTCAAATGACGTAGTCTGTGAGGGAAAAATCACTTTGACTAAACATTTTCAGGAAAATACAAAATTATCGCTAAACTAGTCAATTGTAATGATAATGCATAGAAACATCTTCAGTTCTCTGTGAAAATATGTACATCGGTTTTTGTGACTATGAATAGAATCTTGTATTGCATTTTGTGTTAATCCGTAAGCTGTACGGCATTCTAAGGTAAACTGTTGGTAAACTATGCGGCATTCTAAGGTTAGCAGTTCGGTATTCCATAGAAAGTTTTATGACAAGCAATGGTAATAATGGTTTTATCATTGTGGGATTATGCCATTCTATGGTAAACTGTACTGCATTTATGGTAAGTCTGTAGCATTGTATAATGAAATGTATGACATTCTTACAGTTTCGGTCCCCTCTCCGATGAAAATTCGCAGTGGAATATGAGGATATTCCTTTCAGTGGACACACTCCCTCGTCGGGCAGTGAGTACATCCGTTATGAGAGCCTCGGTGTGAAGGTTTAGCGCCCCCTGAGAGGATATAAAACGAAACGGTTAGTTGAACCAATAACGCAAACAGTAAATTTGACTCGTAAATATTAATTGTTTCAATATTTAAAGGAATTTGGTATATGGTACTTGTCAAAAAGGGTTTTCATGATTTGAATGTTACCTGAATGTGTCCTCCTTCGTACTCATACGGGTAACGACAATCAATGATTTGGTATCCGGAAATGACGTCATTGTACTTCCCTGCCAGTAGTTGACTGACTGTGAGAGGAGACACTGACTTGAGATCTTTGTGCCTTCCTTTGATTGTCGGGAGAGAGTGTGCCTGGAAAGATAGAGAATGTGACCTTGAAACTTTAGAACAACTGCACAATTATACGTTCGGGTCAAATGAAACCGTGACAGTTTATATGTATGATATCTATCTGCAAACGCCTCATTCCATTTTGTTCGAGTTTGAAATCAAGAGAAGAATCAGTTAGAAGCACTCGTAAAATCCTATCGTGTTGCCATTCTCTGTTACCCGATGTACTTGGTCGGTCAAGGTTTGTTTAACAATATTTCAGTTGTTTGACGACTGTACATAATCGAGTCTGGACCAGACAATCAAGTGATTGACACCAATCACCTTTTAGGCCTAGACATTGTAACAGGTCACTGTATTCAATTTGAGAATCATTTGCTGCTAGAATGACATAAATTATAACGTTTATGTTTGACGTTAACACTCAAATCAAATAAAGTGAAATTAATATTGCGAATCCTCATAATTTTACCTTGCCAGTTGAACATTTAAGTCTCAGAATTTAATTCAACCCCCTTGTAATAGACACCAATAATAGCGATTTGAAACTATGATCGTTTGTTAAACAACTTTTACCCTAAGTTGAATAAAATTCTGAGATTTTAATGTTCAATTGGCAAGATAAAGTTATGAGGATTCGCAATCTTTATTTCACTTTATTTGATTGAGTTTTGTTTAAAGTGAAATTCATCGGTACTTTTTGACTGAAAACAGACTATACGTAATTTTTGCTAGTATTCGCCATTGGACAGATCCTCGTATATATGTTTTTAAGGACTAATATTTAACGTTTGATAGGGTCATTTCAGTTGATCATTTATGTAAACATGCAGACATAAACTACCTCATGATCCCTACCAAAGGTTGCGTAATACAGTTTGTTAGCTCAGCTTACCCTTGTTCCGTTCCCGATAAGGTTTGCCTCCTCACTCTCCATCCTCTCGACGGCTGTCTTCAGGGACTCCAGGCACAAGCTCTGAAAACATGATAATATTACAGAACATGGAGAACAAGCTTTCTGAAGAGGATTATGCAAGCTGCATCCTATCTTTAATAGTTTCCATTCTGGTCATTACTACTCTACCGCACTCGGCAATATTCCTACTTAATGAACCAGACCAACCAAGTTACCCTAACCACCAGATCCCGTTAGTCGCCTCCATGGTGGGACTCGTGAAGGTCCGGGTTAGAATTCGTCTTCAGTAACTCATGTTTGTCGGAATAGGCGACTAACGGGATCTGGTGGTCAGGCTCGCTGACTGGGTTGACATATGTCATCGTATCCCAATATTACGAAGGTCGATGCTCATGATGTTGATCACTGGATTGTCTGGTACAGACTCCATTATTTACAGATCGCCGTCATATAACTGGAATATTGCTGAGTGAGGCGTAAACCAAACTCACTCACTCGCTCTATCGTGGGTTGATGAAGAACAATTCTAACCCGGATCTTCACGGGCAATTATATACGCTTGATGCATTCGCTCTTAGAACGAAACGTGAGAAGAGAGCTAAACGTCAACTTCTGTGGGACGTTCACCACTTAAGTGACACCGGTAATGCGGGTTTGTTCGGATCACTTTCATGATGAATCTGGAAGTCATCATCCCACGATCATAGTATCATGGTACACCTAAGGGACGCAACTCTGCTTTGCAAATTGTGGTACCTTTCACGATGCACAACATTTCATTTGTTTGGTTGCTTTTTTAACATCTTGCTATGACTGTAATTAGGTTGAAATATCTTTCATAAAATACTGTTTTTAATATTCCTTTTTTTTTAAAAATAAAGAATCAGGTAATGCCTTTCACTGAGCAATCGGAAAACGTTGCATCAGATCAAGCCACGTGATAGTGGTAACTAACATGTTTCGATTTAGATATCTTCAGAAACACTCAATTCTTGGCGAACATATTCTTCACAGCAGTAGTTACCTCATGAGCATTCGGCTTGAAAAGGAACTTTCTCGGGATGTTCTGAGGTGAATTATCGCCCTTTGTGGCCGTATCCGGTTCCTGAAAACAACAACAAGCGTATGTATTCCACTTATTTACCCCTCAAGCCTTTAAATCCATGCTTCTCTCGAAAGGTTTCTTTTCTATTAATATTAGAAAAGGCAAAAATAAAATAATAAATAAACGCTTCCGGTGACAATGTAGCATTGAAGTGTGTAAGAATGGTGTGACAATTTGATGTTAAAAAACAACATTTCCATTCCGTTTTACAGTGATCCATTCGGTGATCGGAAAATACGTAAATGTGCACGTGTATATACTACTCAGACAAAGTGAAGGATCACCCCATTAAATTCTTCCATACTATTGTCCAGGTAAAATATCTCTAAAGTACATCTGGTCATCCTTCACGTTTTCAAATAGTATATAAGTTATGACGAAGTCTTTAACAGTTTCGCTCAGCATGTAAAGGAGATAAGATTGTCCGCTTAAATTTTAATAAATTGGGGTATATGTTTCAGTAATTATGAAGTGAAAGTTCGACTGGCTGTCGCCCTGTTTACGTACCATTGCTGTGTTCTCGGGGGAGTCGATGCCACTGTCGGTGAAATCCTCCTCCACCTCACAGTAACCCGGGGAAGTGATGCGCTGCGGGGTCACATGACCCTCACGTGACCCACTCTCCATGTCAGTGTCACTCAGAGGGTGTGACGTACCCTGGTACTCTTCACCCAAGCTGGTCTGAGGCATCGTCATGTGACGTATCTTGGCAGGGTGGGGGAGACAGCACGGAGACATGGAATCGTTGAACTACAACAGTCAACATTGTTAACCAACTTTAGCCTACACTTCTTTTTCTTCCGTGTCATGGGTTTTTTTTCATGTCATTCCGCATCACTCAACAAACTTTAATACAGTTATCAAACGTACTGTTATGCCATAGAGATCATTCAGCAAGTTATATCATTTAGTTTCATCGTAAACAGCAGTATAGCAACAAATGTGCGCCTCTTATAGTACTTCATATTAATTTGCTTCAGATTTACAATTACGGTGTAGATGATTAGGTTGGTATTCGTCGAATTTGGAATTACTTTTATTTTATTGAAAACATTCATTGACATGTAACTTGAGTTATATATGTGATCATTCGCTTGTTGTAGTGGCGTATTTAGGTAACATGTTTGAGTGGCATTTTAAAAGTTGGGAAGTACACATAATGACAAATTTATGGATAATAATTTAAAAATAAAAAAAAGTTGTTTTCCATAAATTCGTCATTATTGTAAACAAACACCGAGGTGTAAATAAAACATGCTCAGACATGCTCACCGCTAAACGTCTTCTTGGCATCTTGGTCAACCGGAGCTGTGAAAATGTATACGTTCAATTACTAAACATAGATCCGAATGTTATAGTGGCTGCTCGGATATGTTCAAGAAAGTTGGCATTTCACAAAACCAAATATATAAACTAGAACTCTATTTTTCTCGAATACGTTATTTTTATCATTCTATCCAGCTGTTTATGATTCCATGTTTCGTATCGTTATTTTACTTTAGTTGTTTATAACAAGTCGCATAATTTGTTCAGCTGCATTTTAAGCCTATTACTTCACATTTCTCTCGTTTGTTCAACGATATTGGCAGTGAGCAAAATCAAATATAACCCGAAGCGCCCGTAAAATGTTGAACAATGCTATCTGAGTTATTGTTGATACTGTAAAGTTCACGGGATATAACCGTAAACAAGAAGTTGCATTTACGAGTTCTAACAATGTTCGTTCTGCATGACATTATTACTTCGAGTATATGGCGATAAGTGCTTACAAAATACATCCACGAAAAGAACAATTCATTTCACATTGTTTCAGATAGATATCCAAATGGTCCATGTACGTTTGATTTTAATGTTGTATTGCTGGTGTTAACCTTGACAGTTTGTCATTCAAATATGTAAGAGGAATAACCATGAGAATGATAACACGTGCCGATAACAGAAATGATAATGTATGATAATTAATATACACGACTAGTATTGACACGAACAATCCCATTATAATTGTTTTTAAAAGAGCAAACGTGCAAACATCCTATAATAAAGATTTATGCCGAAACGTCGATGTTACAAAACAATAATGAAATACAGAAGCTGTTATCCATAAACTGTTAATTCTGTCACCCGTCAACTTCAAAGATAGTCAATCAGTCAATTCTTGTATACATTCTCAGACCATTTCACATCGCCACTTAGGTAAATCCATACATGGCATTACGTTCATGTGTATGAAAAGCACTTAATTTGAGCAATGTTCATGATATGCCTTTTAACGAAATTAACAAAGTCTTAAAACGAATTAAATTAAAGCAGTATAACAGTAAAACGGCAAATACTCCAGTATACTTACGAGAACAACACACGTCCAAATCGCCAATCAAACACCCCAAGCTCACTCGTGTAATCCAAAGCGAGAGACTCAACAGTTGTGTTGGGAATGGAATCACGAGCCGGTACTTATGCTGTTTGTATGTATGGCCATCTGGTTGTCAACAGTATTTGCATGTAAACAATCGCCTAATCCAATCCTAGCCATATGGAAGCATCAGTGACATTTCCAGGTAATAATTAGTGTAAAATGCTAATTGGTTCTGCTTGTTTGAGTAGCACCAAGCGAGTCATCGTTACAATCTCGCCTCTCAGAACGACCGCGAAAACAATGCCTGTCAATTAATCCCATAAGAATGTGCTAATTACTAACTTGAGTAAGACCTGTCGGTGAAGTAACCCACGGTAGCAATGATGTAAAGGGAGGTAAGTTGAGTTGGCGAGAATCAGTACCGGGTCGTGGGAAGGGATTAGTTAATTAGTATCCGATTAATGAGATAATCTGCATGAAATGTTAGTCATATCTACCGTTAGGCAATGTGTTTAGGGAGCTAAGGTGGAAGATTTCGAGGGTTAGCTGACGTAATTGCAGTAACAGTGTGGTGTCACGGAGCAGACGACACAAATCTGTAAACCGAGACTCAGGTCATAAACGTGTATCACTCTCAATATTTACACTAGGATTACACATACAACACACGGGTGTTTTCAAATCAGAGCTGTGGAGATATTGTTAGATCGGTCGTTATGTGATTGAAATGGTTGTCATTTTGCCCTGAGAAAATCATCACATTTCATGGTGTCCCAAGATGCCTGTTGACATTTCTTTACTCCTTTCATTTAACGGTTATAGTATTACCGTTTCTTTTCGATGGAGTTAAACTAGTCAAGAAGGTCAAAAGCGCCAAAAATCTAATTAAACTTATAAATGTATCATATTTGTATTGTGCCTTCGTGCCTTCTCACATGTACTGTTGAGGTACTGATGGAGGAAAACCAAGTTCTATGGATAATTTGTTTGAGTGGCATTCTAGAAGTTGGTGGTATAGAGATGACGTTTCGGTATAGATTCTTAAACCTGTTTCAAGCATCTTCAAACCGGTATAAGAATCTATACCGAAACGTTGCCATTGTGAAAATAAAGAAGTTGATCATCCATAAAGTTTTGTAATCTCTAAGTTCTATGGATAGTCAACTTCTTTATTGCAATGAGTGTGCCGTTTCGGTGTAGGTACTAACACCGTTATCAATCAGCTGATGTCCTTGGCTTGTAACCGATCATGAATCACTGAATGAAAACATGTTAAACATATATTTTACTTCTTTCTTTTAAGTTTGCGGTTTTGAGTTATTCATTTTCAGATTACCTCTCTGGCAACCATCTCACGTGACCCGTATGTCCTTGTTTAAATGAATTTATGGTAACGACGCGTTTAGTTTTCATGATGTCTGTTCATGATTCATGGTACAACGAATGAATACATTAAATACCTCAGTGTATGCTTTGATTGGAAGTAATTTTATGTTCAAGTGTATAAGTGTTAGGGTGAGACATCCCTTATCAACTTTCGATAAATCTCTCGTTATATATTCTGACATATCAGACGTGATTCAAAGTACGTGATATAACCAAAGTCCGTCCCACAAAAGCGCTACGGTGAACATAAGTTAAGTCCGAGTTGTGTGGGAGGGATATGATCAGCTTAGTGCTAAATCTCTTTGTTAATCGGAGCCCAGGTGGCTTATGCGATACAAACACAAATGTGCAATAGTTAAAAAAAATCACTCGTCCCAATGTTGAGGTAGAAACATGGGACTCGCTCTGTGCAGTCATTGCTTATGATGACCTTGTGCACTTGGAGGTGGAGAAAACAAGCGGAGTTTTTGTGCCTTCAGAGCGATGAGCTATTGCTGCAAATCTATTCCCAGTTTCTTATGCATGCAAATGGTGTTATTAACGATATGCAAAACGGGTTTCGTAAACAGAGATCTACTACAGATCATATTCAATCTATTTGTTCCATCATCGAAACAAGAAAATGTAATAAAAAGGAAACTTTTGCTGCTTTATAGATTTTAAGAAGGCGTATGATTGTATTAATAGAGGTGTTCTATGGGACAAAGTGAGAAATATTGGTGTAAATGGTAAAATGTTTTTAGCTCTTCAATCTTTGTATGCGAATGTAAAATGTAGTGCTCGTATTAATGGTATTTTAACCCCGTGGTTTGGTGTAAATCGGGGCCTGAAGCAAGGTTGTTTACTTTCTCCAATACTGTTTCACTTTTTCATTAATGATCTACTTGATACATTTGGAGAAGTGGGGATTGGTATTCATGTCAAGGACAAGGTCTGTGATCACAGTGGTGATCCTATTGTTGTGCGAATGCAGTGATCACATCTGTTGTGTCAGTTATCAACACAATAACACAAACACATTTTGGTAACGGTGGAAACAATATCAATCCTAATTTGAAAATGAAATTTATTTTCGTTCAGAGTAAAACAAGAAATCTTGGCTTGAGTGATAGGGCCCATTTATGCTACACCCAACACTACTAGTTCTTTTACGACAGCATGCAAACAGTGACCATGGTAAACAAGTTGCTGATAATATGTGAAACTATCAACACCAACACTACTAACTGGGGTATATATCACAAACAAGAGTGTGGCCTTTATCTCACAATGTGTTATTTTTATACTGCTGGGATATACACATGGCATACTGAGTTTCGTTACTTTGTATGTATAGGACACCTAGGATCGTTCTACTCTGTGCAGAAAGCAGTTGAACAAAATATATATTCTGATGGATTCGAAGTATGGTAATCGTGTTTAAAATTGAGTCAAACGGTTGACCTACAGATCACATGTACCGGATGGTCACAGGTGTTTATGGTTTAAACATACTTGTTTCATGAAAAAATGCAACGGCAGAATTTTCATGAACTGGATTGGTCAACAAGCTCAAAAGAACTTATATGAAGACCGCTCCAATATACATAGATATATGAAACAGTATCATGACAAGGAAAGACGATATCTAATGAAAATAGACGTTATGACATGTAGTAAGAAAATCAAACAGGTGTATATTGCATACATGTACAAACATGCATTGTTCCTTCCTTGACTCCAACCCAACCCCAATAAATAAACAATCTTATCCTTAAAAATGGTAACCATGAAACGTCTTTGCAGATAATAGAATTCTTCCCGTAAAAGTGTTAATCATGAAATCATACTATTATCTTTACAGATAATAATAAAGTTTTTCCCCGTAAAAATGTTAATCGTGAAACGTCGAGGTTTTTTTCATAAAAGCACTGGCCAGGAAACCTCGTTGCACATAATAAAAGCGTTCTTTTCCACTAAAGTTAAAAACCCCAAACGTCTTTACAAACAATAACGGAGATCTTATCCATTACAAACAATAACAGAGCTGTTCAAGTACAAGGGTGAAGTCGCCATTGCTTCGGACGTGTTTAACAATATGCTGCCATGTCTATTGAAAATCGAGCGTGTAACCTAAAAACGAAGCAACTTCCTACCGAAGCCGTGAAAATCATTGTCCAACATGCATCTCAAATTGTATGCTTATAAACACAAAAAGACCATGAACAACCCGAAATCCATTTGACCCTTTCCTAATAGCTAGTAGCCATTTTCGTTTTAAAAATGTTTTGACAACTAAACCAATTAAGATTAATGTTTACATCAGTTACCTCCCTTTGCTATAAAGCTACGCGTGGGTTGTGATGGTTTGCGGGTGTACGTTACACAGGCTGAATCGACTTACTTAATCTGTGTTGTTGTTTACACCAAAGCCAAATTTCTAAACAAGCGCGGGTGTTGATGCAGTAACCACACACGGTGAGGCATGATGGCGTGGACGTGGGAGCCAGTCCAAGTGGTTGGTTTAGTTTGCACAGCTATTCAATTTGGAGATTGTCCGGTCGCACCTATTGTGTGAAACTCAAGTAAGAGAGCTGTGCTTTTATGTTGGACGAATATATATCGACAGGAACCCCAGTTTGCCATTCTACACCGCTACTACTGAATCACGACACACAGATCCTAGGTAGGGATAATAAGAGAGCATACTGCGCTACAAGGAACATTACTAACATATTTAATAGAAGCCTATATAATGTTTTTTTAAAATTTGGCAAATGTTTCGTTTAGGTCATTTCATGTTTATTTTGTTATTGTGTAGTAAATTTAAAAACTGTTATTTTTTTTGTAAAATTCATGCATTGTGATAAATGTTTTGTGGTTGTATCAGTTTTCAAACAATCTTACTGGTTACATTCTAAATGAATTACCTATGCAGCTCTGATCTAGATATTCACTATATGAAAATATGTTTTGATTTACTGTTATGTTTTATCTCAACGAGAAATTGATTCATAATTGAAAATTGTATATTGTTAAACTTTTAAATATTTTTTCAGTGGGATTTTAATTAATTGCCGTGAAGTACACAAGTATATTTAAGGTGAGATTTCTGTACACAAATTGATTAATTAAGAATCGAATCACATTAGCGATGGGATTGACAAACAGTAATTTTAATTTCAACTTAAAAAATGTTTTGCATGCATTTTGTTTTTACCATGTAATTTTAGCAACAGAAATTGTGTCAATGACACTTCACAAATAGTGCAAGAGATACGGAAATACAGTGTAGCAAACACATATAGTTTTCTGTTTGTATATACACAGATGGATCATTCAGCATCCCCGACTGTCAGGACAAGTCATGATCTCGTAACTGCGAAAAGTCGAACAACAAGTTCCTTGAGTGACGACGAAGATTTGTCACGTGACAGTGGCTATGGGTCCCCAGACATGTCTGTAGGGGTGAGTATAGGAATACATGAAACTAAGATGTCTTCAAAATATCTACTGTTATACTAGGCTTCAGCTTTCAGTTTTCAGTTTTCTGTTTAGGATACGGCTTTGTGCTGTACTAACAAGGTGGGCATACAACCGTATGGATGAATGGATCGTTTTATAAACTTGCAATTTAATACCAGGTTCAGGTGTATATTTAAGATATGAGTACATGGGTACTGTAAGATTGCTCTATTGGTGCCCCACACACCCACCCTTTAAAACAGACCCGTACTGATATCTATATTTCCAAAGTCAGAGCCCGTGAAGATCCGGGTTAGAGGTGATCTTCAGAAACCCATGCTTGTCGTAAGAGGCGACTAACGAGATCGGGTGGTCAGACTCGCTGTCATCATATCCCAATTGCGTAGATCAATGCTTATGATGTTGATCACTGGATTGTCTGGTCGAGACTCGATTATTTACAGACCACTGCCATATAGCTGGTATATTGCTGAGTGCGGCGTAAACTCACTCACTCACTCCAAAATCAGAGCCCCACTGGTATTCATATTTCCGTCTCGTTGAGCTTCATTTATGCCTATATTCCTATGAACAGATAATACGTGTTCATATATGGTTGCATAATTCCATACTCATCCATTGTTGTCCATTTTCCCGTTCTCTACCATAGTCCCATTGATACCAGGTCCATTGAGATCCTCAGCAGATGTTCTTATTCCAATACTCTGCCACAGATCAGTTGATGCCCTTATTCCATTCTTCGACATGCATACCAATGGAACTCCAGGACACTATCCACTAATACAGAGATCGGTTGATAGCCATATTCCACAGATCCATTGATGCCCCTTTTCCCCATCCCTTTACACAGACATCCATTGATGTCTATATTCCCGCTTTACCACCGATCTAGTGATGCCCCTTTTTCCCATCCCTTTACACAGAGATCCATTGATGTCTATATTCCCGCTTTACCACAGATCTAGTGATGCCCCCTTTCCCATCCCTTTACACAGAGATCCATTGATGTCTATATTCCCGCTTTACCACAGATCTAGTGATGCCCTTTTCCCCATCCCTTTACACAGAGATCCATTGATGTCTATATTCCCGCTTTACCACAGATCTACTGATGCCCCCTTTCCCATCCCTTAACACAGATCCATTGGTGTCCATATTCCCATACTCTAACATCCATATCTACTGATGGCAATATTTTCATCCATTAACATACAGCTCCATCTTTGCAGGTCTTTTCACTGGAGACACCCGAGACCAGGTCACCAAAAAGGAGTTTTGACCTCACTCAGGTTCGGAGGTCGCTGTTTTCTTTCAAAAGATCACGCACCGAGTCTGTTGACGACAGTGACGACGACGACCACGTATGTGGAAAACGACAACGACTCTTCATCGACGACGACAGTGACGATGGCGATGATGAGGTATGTTTCTGTTACATTCCAGCTAACCGATCATTTGTTACAATTAGGACTGTCGTTAGAACGGTTATTTCGACCCAACGTTAATACACATAAGCTGCATAATGGCTTTCTGTAGATTTATATGGATTGCGTATTTAGGGTATGAATATGGATAACAACTTTATTCTTCTTCAACTGGTGGATGGTATTATTGGGTAGAGTAATGATTCAATAACACAACCTCAACCATTAATTGCATTACAGGTTGTGTTTACCCAGCACGGACCAAGTTATATTATATTTGATGTCGAATAGCAAACCGTTTATTATCACTGATGACTTAAGAATCTATGGATGACCTTGTCGTCTAAGGCAACTGTAGAGTTGCATTCCTTCCACCTAAGTGACGTACGTACAATACGTACATCACCTTGATATCTTCTCAAATCAAACTCGTCACGATATGGCTGAAATATTGCCGATGTGACGTTAGATATTAACTCACTCACTCTCCAATCAAACAGACAGTAATATTGTTCAAAGCTGCATTAAACTCAGTCACTCACGAGAACATTACAGAGGTATCTGAAACATCTGCAGTGATCTTATAAGAAAGTTGGCTATGTATGTTGAGAATTCTATGCAATTAAGAACAAATCTGTTAATGTAGGCAATATGTATTGTGGCTGCTGTACACCTGCTGTGTCATGGGCCGATGGTCTCTTGCTGAATAAACCACTATCAATCTGCCCGGCGTCTACTTCCGGAAGCAAGAAATTGGAGTGATTTTCCTTTATGGCAATATTTTTGCTATTTATTTGATGTGCATCTGGATGTAACACTCTCATTTGAAACTGCAGGTATTCCTGACAGATGTAACTTCAGATGTTGTGAAGAAGGCCGTAGACAAGATGGAGATCGACAGAAGTCTTGTCGGTGACGGATCGCAGGTACACGTGACGGATTTTTTTCCGAGTGTCATTGATATTTAAACTGGTATCTGCTTTTCTAGTTGATATTGTTTTCTTCCATTGTTCTGGGTCTTACGGGATTCTGATTCCAGTTGGGCTGTGGACTTCAGTTTCGAAGTGATATTTATCTTCAATGTAAGACAACGTGCATTTGTACACTGTGTTGCCTGTTTAATGTTCGTGTCGGGGCGATGGGGATAGCCTAGTAGTTAACACGTTCGTTCGTCACGCCGGGCTCGATTCCCAACATGGGCACAATGTGTGAAGCCCATTTCTGATATTGCTGACATAATGCTAAACGCGATGTAAAACTCACTCACTCACTATTGTTTGTGTCATATTCCAGGTAATGGTTTAACACGTAGGTGTTAGCGTTAGCCAGCAGAAAGTCAGGTAGTGGTATTTCGAATCAGGTGAATTTGTAGTTTATTGATATTATGTATGATTACTAACAAATCCTTTGCGTGCTTTGATATAAGATGACGTATTTCAAGTAATGGTATGAAGGCACTGTACATTTTAGGCATTTCAGGTAGTTTGTTGGTATGAGGTATTTCGGGTAAGGATGTGTTGGTATGAGGTATTTGAGGCAAATACATTACGCAGTTAAGTTAGGTTGTTAATCATTTTAGATATTGGCATATCAGGCATTTTCTTGACGGGGGGCAATAGGAAGCAGCAGTGTAGGTATTAGTATTGGTACTTGCTTTTAATTATTGTGTGGTATTGCAAGTATTGGAATGACTTCAGATTTTGGTGTTGTGTTTTTTGTATGATACATTTCAGGTACTGGTAAGCAGCGGTATAGGTATTTATATTTCGTACTCGTATTGGTTTGATTGTTTTATGAACTGACAGCTTTCCGTTGTAGGCATTTGTATGACGTATTTCAGGTATATTCATGACGTAATTCTGTCAATGGTGTCAATATGTCCAGTGTACATATTGTTATGACAAGTGTACGTCTTCGTATGACTTATTTCAGATATATGTATGGAGTCGGTATTTCAGGGGAGAAAACTCTACTCACGGTTTGGTTTCAGCATCCCATGGTCAAAGAATGGGGTCAGGTGGTCAGGCTCATCATTGTATCCCATTTGTAAAAAACTGATGCTCAGGGCATCTGGATTCTCTGGTCAAGACTCGATTATTTGCAGACCACTTTCATAAAGATGGAATAATACCAAGTGTTGTGCCAAACAAGAAACAACCAGCACGCATTACCCAGTGTCTGTGCCCTGAATGAAACCCACCAATTATATGTTTGCAGACACACTGTCTCCCAACTGTGCAAGGGAAGCACAAAGACCTCAAGTCAGTATCACCATCTACCGTCAGCCTGCTTCTGTCAGGGAAATACGATGACACTATTTCCGGGTACCAGATTATTGACTGCCGGTATCCGTATGAGTACGAAGGCGGACACATTGAGGTCAGTATCAACGTGGAAGGAAAGGAAATCGGTCATTTGATGATGATGATGATGATGATTAAGATGATTATTTGGAGATGATTGTACGTGCGCTTCCCGACATGATGCGTATTTCGCACACGCAGTTGATCAGAGCTAATTGAAATATAATACTGTATTGGAATATTGTAATGCCACGATCACCATAATGATAACGTCTTCCTTCAGATGACAATTTTTATCCTTTCAGGGAGCTCTCAATCTCTTCACCGAGGCCCTTGTCACGGACTTGGTCAGTAGTCAACGTTGGAGACAGTCAACCGAAAGAACCATCCTTATTTTCCACTGTGAATTTTCCTCTGAGAGGGGACCTAAACTGTAAGTGACCCCTGCAAATACTTTGTGTTCTTTTGAATTGGGGTTGTATGAAGTGAAACTCGTTAAACCGCTACGCTTTAATCCGAAAGTTTAGTTCTCCGGGCCGCTTCTGCCAGGAACGTTTGTAATTTTTGACGATATATATGCAACCCTGATCTCTTTAACCCGAGATATTTTATCATTCCGGGCTCTCTTTCTAAAATCGATACCTTCTGGAATAACTGTGGATTCTGTAATATTGCAAATATATGTTTGATTTTCATTTAAATACGGTGTGTTACAGACTTCGCCATCTAAGAAGCCTAGACCGGAAGTTGAACAGTGACCGCTACCCGTTCCTCTTCTACCCGGAAGTGTATTTGCTAGATGGCGGTTACAAGGCGTTCTATGAACAACACCAGGTACGTTGCACATTTATACTGAAACATTTACACTTCAATATGAGCTAGGGATATAGGCACACTTATACAGGTAAGCTAAGAAATTGCTATTGTAAAACACAAATGATGACGTCTTATTTATTTTATTTGTATTTACAGAGGAACATGCATTCGAAAGAGAATTTGTTACAGATTGTAAACAGAATTTTAAAACGGAAATTACAATAACATAAAATGTTGATTGCAGGACCAATGCCAGCCTCAGACCTACCTTCCCATGCTGCACCAAGATTACAGCTCTGTATTACGTCACTTCCGGTCAACCAAGTCTCACGCAGTACGAGAAAGGAAGAGAGCATTTCAAAGGCGACAGGTTTTGGAAATGTCACCCTCTACCTTCACGCTTTGAAGAAATAACTGCGTTCACGGAAGAAGACCAATATAGCCACGCAAAACATGTGAATAACACATCATCTCAGTATTTTCAGAAGATATACCAGTACTTGGATTGAACCTGGTGTAGGAGTAGGTCAGTGAATGTACCTACGTGGGGATTCTGATTGTAGGTGGCAGTGCGTGGGATCAGCGAATATATCGATACTGGGATACCGAACTTTGTACTTGGCAGTGCGTGGAGTCAGTGAAATGTAGCGATATTGGTATAATGAACTTTGTACGTGGCAGTGCGCGTGGCAGTGCGTGGGGTCAGTGAATGTACCGATACGGGATATTGAACTTTGTGTTTGACAGTGCGGGGGGTCAGCGAATGTACCGGTATAGAGATATTGTGCGGAAGTAGCAGTGCTTGTTGAAACTGTTGTTTACTCAGATTGTTGTGAGTTGTTTGACTTGTTGAACTGTTGTAATGTATTTCGCTAGTGCAGCGTGGCCGAGTGCTGTATTGACAATGTGGACCCATTAGAATTTCGTAGCTCAACTGTAGATTACATTCTTAAAAGCATGCTGTAACTTGTTGACCATCTCTGCATGTTTCCATTGAAACCATATTTATTATATTTATTCATTGAGGTTGTAAATGTATTTATTGATGTTCTTTGTATGAAGTATCACTCGTCATTCCTTAAGATAAAAAGGGTGTCTGTCATGGTTGGGCCCGACAAGCTCTCGTCATCCCTCCAGTAATTGTGCTTTTCCAATAGTTTATCATATAAGTATATTGTTCGACCAATATATTACTTATCCAGGTTTGTATCATGTCTGTTGTTGTTTGTATTTATTGCAAGTATTACATAAGTGAAACGAAACGTATTAATGTCCATTATAGATATGATATGCTTGTATCCCTTTTTGTCAATAAAGATGTTAACCTTCCGTTGCTTTTCTGCTGTTTTTTTAAACCTTGGCATGTCATCTATCGCTGCTGCTTTGTTTTCCGTACTTCAGAATTTAGCGTTCGTCGCAACGAATTGATAAGGCCAGTAACACAGCAGCTATGGCTAGGTTAACGAGTTATCAACGACATCAAGTCATTGGACGTCTAGATGCTGGTGAACGTGCTCGAGTCATTGCTAATGACCTCAACTGCAGCGTACGAATGATAGAACCGTCTTAGACAGACCAACAGCACTGATGACCGCCCACGTAGTGGTCGACCACGTGTAACAACACGTCGCCAGGACCGTCATATCGTCCATCATCACCTCTCGTTACCCTAGCCATAGCTGCTGTGTTCAGAAAACAAGTGAAAGATTGCCATTCAAGCCGGAAATTTATGCCTGAATGCATGCATGATGCAAGTGCATCTCGATTTCAATGTTGTGTTTGTGCGAACTCTTCCCTTTCCTCAAACAAAAACATTTCAAACCTCCGTCTCAAACGATACTTTATTGGGCAATACAGGCCATACGACATCATTTTCTCAAACTTGACTTCCGGTGTGTATATAGGTTCAAATAGTCCATTGATACTTAAATGTCATTTCCAATATTATGACGTTTGTTTTGCCGTTCAGGATAGTACCCAGTGCCCTGCACATAAGAACATAGTTCTTCTACATTATTACTCGTATAGCTGATGGCCATATTTATTAAAGCATGCGTTAAACAATTACGAAACATTGAATTTCAATATAACTTCAGAACTTTGAAATATCAGTAACTCATTGAGTCAGCCTTTCCCCAGACTGACATAATGAGCATCGATCTGCACATGATCTGCATCATGTTACCCGCTGGAAATGCCGAACTGTGGGAATTCGTTTGGTACTTCGTGTTAGTAGTGTTTGACCTGTTGCCTAACCCTGGTACTCCTTATTACGATCCAATACCCGTTCTTCAAACAGTTCAAATTTAACATTAAGGTGTTCGGTACTACGTTGTCAACTGGTCCTCGGGGCCCATGGATTGATGTACCCTCTATGTTTCTTTTGGTGTCCTCCCATTACGCAGACAGGCAGTTCGGAGACGCCTTGAAACAACAACTTACGGTTCAGTGAACAGATTAGCTACTCCCTGTTACCTTATACCTACACATTACAATGGAATAGTCCAAATAAAAACACAAGATGAAAGCTGAAACTATATTATTTACTTTGAAATATGGCCGAAAAGACATTAATTTGAATTTTGATTGCTACAATATTTAAAAACAGTTGACTTTCATAAACATTTCGGTTTAACCTTCTCGTCTAATGGGAGTTGTCATCATTGTCAATAAGACATGGAGAATTATTGGAGCATTTCAGAAATTAAAGTTCCTACTAAATAGTACAACACCAGTTTTTCTTCAGGATTTACTCCTACCTGTACTAGTCAACCGGACAATCTGTGAGTTAGGAAACTCGGATAATTTTTGCCTACCATGTACAATACTGAGGTACTCAACATCATCTTTTATTCCATCAGCAGTTAAAATGTGGAAAAGTATTCCCTTAGCTATTAGAAATTGCGACTCTGTTGCATCATTACGACACCATCAGTATAGGACACCTTCAGTCATTTTGCAACGACAATAAAACGCATTATAACTTGAAATAAGAATGAAATGTACAACATATGTAAGCTGATTAGATAAGTAGCAATGTCAAGGTTAAAGTTTATGAAAGATGGAATTTCACTGATAGGATAAATAGGTTGCTGCTACTGTACGCCACATTCCTTGAAAACCACGGTGACATGTATGTAATCTAAACTGTGCAACACTCAGTAACCCAGGTCTGAATAGTGGCGACTGACAAATGCATTAAAAATGCATGTGAGGAGGTTGTATATATGGATTAACACGTTGGGCCCATACCAATGACATAGGAAGCTGGTGTTAATATGACCAATAAAATTAATATTTCAATTCAATAATCATAATGCTCGAATTGATTCCGATTAAATCATAAACATCTTTCCACGCACCCATTTGCCAAATATGGAAAAAGTAAGCCACTTGTCTATTACAAAACGTTTTGAAAGCTTGAAATTTAAGGGACCTGGTTAAACAACTTTTGATCAAGAGTTGACCAGCCGAACCCGTTCTCCTAAGATTCTAACTCAGGCGGGTAAATTAGTTGAAGAGACATTAATATCTGACAATAATTGGCAGATATCAGATCATCGAACTCCGTGGCAGCCCAGACATATCTGTATATAGTTTATGTCACCATAGCATTGGTCAGCCAAAGAGTAGCACTTCACTGAACATGTTGTGAATTCAGTAAATAAGTTGAACAATTTAGTACCCCCTTTTCTAAGACTGCACTATTGGGGACATTTGAGAAAAGTAGCCGAAACTAGATTTTGTATGAACTTGGTAGTGCCTGCTATTTGCCTCTTCACAATAATACAGGAAAAATGGATTGGTCAGCCAAAGAGTAGCACTTCACTGAACATGCTGTAAATTAAGTAAATAAGTTGAATAATTTAGTAACCATTTTCTAAATATGCGAGGCTGGGGACATTTGAAAAAACATAGTCGAAACGAGAATTGTTCTATGGAGCTGGTAGTCACTGCTATTTGCCATTTCACAATAGTACAGGTAACCGTGATATACATGACAAACAGTGGCATCGATCATTCCGGATCCTTCTCCCGTAACACATTATAGATGATATATACATATTTTAAAACAACAATACAATGTATTCACCGAACCAGAGAATAAGTCACGTCTCTGCACTGTTCTGTATCAGCCGGTGACAGACATAAAGTGGGCGGTGGAGCTTTGACTGGAACAGTTTCACAAAAGCGCATCCACTGATTGAACAAATATCAAAAGTCAGTGAATAATGGTTATAGGCCGAGACATACTCCATCGGGCGTAAATTGTATTAGTGATGCAATGTATATTAATTGATCACTGAAAGTCTGTGAGCACAGCACGTGTGAAGGTTTGTACGGTACGTTGTTTAAGAGAACATTTCTTGTGATATGTGAGCCGACCCGCCCACAAGCCATTGACTAATACCCCTACACACACAGACACAGACAGACACACACACACACACACACACACACGCACGCACGCACGCACGCACGCACGCACGCACACACACACACACACACACACACACACACACCAAAGCACCTTAACACAATGTACTACCTGTAGGTTCAAAGCACCTGACTCTTTGAAACGATTGCATTTTGATGTGGTGTTAGGTCCTGTCATAAAGATTTAGAGAATATTTTATGGAAATATATACCCTGAGCAGCCCCTATGATTTCTCCAGCTTCACCTGGACTTCCCCCTTCTATTTTTTTAGATATTTCCACCATATACTTTTAATCATGTGACTTCCTCTGGCAACACTGAAATGATACCTGTCCTTTGATTGGTCCTTTGGTTCACTTTCTTAATACTTCCTGTCTCACCGGAACTCCTGCATTCTGCATGGACTCTAATATTGTTTGTTTGTTGTTTAACGCCTCACTCAGCAATGAAATGTTCTGTGCAGTCGACGAATAACTTCAGAGTCATCCAGTTTTCTCCTGTTGGAATGTGAAGCACTTCCAGTGAGGATTTCATCATATATGTGACCATACCTGTACCGCTAAACTTAGTAGTATACATTTGTAATCGACAATACTTAGCATGGGGACAACGCTCTAAGACCAATTAACCTCCAATAGTCACACGCAAAAGTAGGCTGCCAGAACAATCTATATATCTGTAATTGAGGAAGGTTCGAGTACACTCCAGCACTCTACAAGCACAGTGTATAGCACTCCCTGATAGCAATTATTAAGCACTACCTGAATCCAAGTGCATTTAAAAAAATCTCACCCAGCACAATAAAGTAAGGAGCTTCACACATCATCTCAAAAGCACTGGGTTGCATATTTACGCTCTGCAAGGGCGCCAAGCACAATGGAGGTATACTTGGTAAAAGCAGTATATGCACATCAGCTTTGCGAACTGATTTAAATGCAATGTCAGGAAAAGTCCTAAAACTTAACTTTTCATGACATGGAAAGACGCAGACTTTCAGTATATACATAATGGCTGTCCTGTCGCAATAACGGTGCTAACTTGAATATGAAGTGTCAGGAAGCGCATGACCACGGTGAAAGGATTGTTCAAGGCCTGGACGACTGAGGAAAACAAATGATAGCGATGACAGAAACCTAATTCGTCAGGAAAGATCCAGTCCCAGGACTAATGCTGAAGAACTGCCCCGACAATGGAAAGTTGGAGTCCGACTCTCTACCCGTGCACCAGAAGGAGGCTACGGAGTCTGCTGGTCTGAAGTTACGTCGATCTCACAGATAAACACAAGCAGCAACGTCTGGCGTGGTGCAGGCTCCGAGCAAACCGCAACTTTAGGACATGGTGTAGGGTTATTGGTCTGATGAAAGTCGCTCGTACCCGTTACCGACGGTCATTGTCGAGTATGGACACGTCGTATGGAGGCTAACCACCAGGAGATGATCCATGAACCCTTTGATGATGGCTCAGTGATGCGTTTCGTATGACAGCAAATTGGATCTCTCTGGGACACTCAAATATGGATTCCATCGTCGTGCACAATTTGATAACCACCCCCTTGCGAGTCGTCTGATATTCATGGATGAATACATAACGCTTGACCTCACCGTTTTCAAGCTGCAATTGCCATCGAAACATTACCATGGCCCTATGAGAGTCTCGCCATGGACTCCATCGAAAATCTTTGGGGCATCTTGGACGCCAAGTTCGTGCTGAACATCATCCTGTTCAACAGGCCTACCAAAGAAAACTTTCCCACTGTGCAGAAAAACGCAGAAAAGCCCACATTAATCGTGGAAATAGCAACATAAACACATTACCTCGCTACTGAAACAGTAAAAACGGCAACGAAAAACTATGAAACTGCAACATTTTTATATCAGCGAACTTTGACCTCTACTGCGCATGCGCATTACGATCCGGGCTTCTTTCCAATTTCCGAGCAACCGTGAATCGCCTCGCGTAGAAAATGTATTAAATATGTTGGAATAATTGCTGTCAATCGTTTCATACGAATGGAAAGCAAACTAAACAAGTGTGCACACAAGTATCATGATGATAAATGCCAAATAACACAATTGAAATATACTAGGCACATAAAGAAACTGTGCATACAAAAATTTAAAATCTAAATTTATCAAACCTGTGTAGACACATAAGGATTCAAACTCAGAGGTTAGTGACATGTATCCAACATGCATGCACGTGCCACGTTCCGTGACGTTAGTGGGTTCGTCCTTGAGACGTGCAATACGTTGTTGCACGTGCATTCCGGGAAAGAGAAACAGTGCAATGATTGCCACACAATACTGTCACTTTGGAAAGCTCAACCCCTGCTCTTGCGATCGTTCAAAAAATTAAACGGCTATTGAAACGCATAGCATGCCAAGGCTCACGTCTGCACAACGTCATGATGCCATTGGGATGGTCCGTGGGGGAATGTCTCAACGACAAGTGGCTGCACATTTCCACTGCCACCGGAACACCATTTCTGCACTGGTGAGACGCTACCAGAACACAAATGACGTCATCGATCGGCCACGTTCTATACGTCCACGTGTAACAACGCCAAGACAGGACAGATGGATAAGGGTGACCCATCTTCGCCACAGGTTTCAGACTGCAGAGATGACTGCCCGAACCATCCCAGGACTTCGCCGTATCCACCCCAACACAGTTCGACAACGTTTACGTCATCACGGGATCAGACCACGACGTCCCGCCTATCCTGACACAACGTCATCGACAAGCTCGCCGAATGTGGTGCCGAAATCCTGTCCGCAGACCCTTGTTTTGGAGGAGAAATGTTGTTTTTACAGATGAGTCCAGGTTCAACATTTCCCATAGTGATGGACGTCAACGTGCCTATAGACGCGTGGGAGAACGTTATGCACAGGCCTGTGTCAAATTCACCTGATCTCTCCCCGATAGAGCATGTTTGGGACGAGATGAATCGACGTCTACGCCGTCTTCCTCATCCGCCAGATAACGTCCTTGACCTTGCAACAGAACTTGAGAGAATTTGGCGTGACATCCACAAGCCTTCCTTGCACGTTTGATAGGCTCAATGCGTCGTCGATGCACTGCTGTTCTCAATGCCGATGGTGGACATACCCGTTATTGAGCTTGTGACATGGTCGTTTGACCCCTGTCCCGCTTGTGGACTCGTGACGTCATTGTGATTGACTTTTCAATTGAAATTCTCCCGACTTGTTATGGTCTCATAATCCCTCCATTAAAGTTTATATGTACCTTTGACATTGTTATCGTACTTATCAACTGGGATAATATTTTGACAAGGCACAGTTTCTTTATGTGGCTAGTATAGTTAAAATGGAATCGTAACTTTTGTCCAAGCTGGAAAATGTCAACATGCGGTCGAGACTTCCTCTTCCATGTGCGCATGCGCAAAATCGAAGTTGCGGGCTCCTCGTTTTATTATGCAGTGTAAGCGATTTAAAGTTGCCGTTTTTACTGTTTCAGTAGCGAGGTATTATGTTTATGTTGCTATTTCCACAATTAATGTGGGCTTTTCTGCGATTTTCTTTTCTGCACAGTGGGAAAGTTTTCTTTGGTAGACCTGTTCAATTCTGCAGGAGTTTATGCAGGCACTCCATGAGAAATGGCAGAGGATTCGGATGATGAACATTCGACGCTTGATTATCAGCATGGTAGGGAGACTGGCAGATGTTGTAGCAAGGGATGACTACTTAACAATAACTATTTGTGACTATCATATTGATGGCGTAATCACGCTACAAACTTTCAAGCATTCGTGATATTCACATTTTGTGTATTCCTCTCAGGTCGACAGCAAATTATTACCAAATTGAAATTTTGTTTTGGCTCTAATCAGAGTGAAATGTGTTAGTTACCATTCTAATACGCTCAATTTGGTTTTCAAAACATATATACATGCCTTGCAATGTTTTCGAACTCATCATAGAAAAAGTGGTTGGTGCTTGATAAATGCTCTTGTTATAAATATTGAGATATCTGGAAACGAAACTCAATAGTTGTTTGCTATATGCTAACCACAGTGACATTGACAAGCATGGCTGAAACGGCCCAATTCAGATATACAATGAAAGGAAAACTTAATATCAGCATTGTTGACGTTACACTGGTTGTGCATTATAATGTGAGCTCGGTCCGCATTCAGGCATGCCATATAACCTAACTTTGGAAAAATTGGAAATTTATTGATATTATGGGGACTTTGCATCGGCCATCCTAGTTTGAATATCATTTGAATGATAATACACATATTTTTTGGGTGTATTCTGATATAAAGGCTAACATACACACGGCTGCTCTCAGACGTCAGTTTTGCGTGGTAAGAATCCATGGCGAAGTTGTCTTTTGGGCCTGTTGACTATGCCGTCATCTGTGGACTGTTGTCCCTGTCTGTGGGGATAGGGCTGTATTACGCCATCAGGGGGAGAAAGAGGAACACCAGGGAGGAGTATCTGATGGGGGGACGGCGTCTCAAAGTCATCCCGGTGACGTTGTCTTTGTACGTGACCTACATATCATCGACGGCCTTCATCGGGATGCCAGCAGAGACCTTCACTACTGGGTTTACATTTGCTCTGTTCGCCCTCGGCAATGTTCTGGCGATGTCCATCTCTATCTTCACAGTGGTTCCAATGATGCATGCTCTACGGGTGACCAGTGTCTATGAGGTATGTCGTGGCAGGGATACAAGGTGTGAAGTCCATATGTGCCATTGCGTTAACGACTGTTGTGCGAATGGTGTGGTGTTACATGTTTTGTTTTTTGTTCTTATTAAACGCACAGTCAGCAATATTTCAGCTGAGGTTGATATAATGAGCATGGATGTACGACAGAGGGAAACGATGACATGTATCAACGAAATCAGCGATCCTGACCACTCGATCCCGTTCGTCACCTCTATGAGGCATTAGCTGCTGCTGACCAATTCTAACACGGATCTGTTTTGATAGTTCCTATGAATATAAAAAGGGATATGTGGCTGTGGTTTACGACATATTGGTAGTCCCTGCAATCCACATTAAACAAGCTAAGAATATGTCGTTTAAATAGGTTGTAATTGTATTTTTTCTCAAGCAATATTTGAAATTCATACGCGAATGCGAAGTGAACTGTGGACACTGCACTATTACGGGTAACATACATGTGATATCAAGGTGCTCGGGACGACTTTGCCAAAGTATGGTTGTTTACACGTTTTGCCTGGATGGCAAACTACATGTATACTTAATTAACAAATAAATGAATCCTGGGCATATGAATTTGAGAAAGAAAATACTTTTTTGTCGTTTCAGTATTTCCATCTACGGTTCCGGTCGGTGGCGTTAAGACGTTGCATCAGTGTGGTTGGAATGTTGCAGAACGTAAGTTAACAGATCATTTATGAGAATATGACTTAATACATTACTTTGTTAATTAAAACTTTGAATCCAAACACCTTTCTCGGCCAACATAAGTTTCCCGACAGCGTTCATCTTGTTAGAAATGTGATTCGGGGGTTGTTGATGTGTTTTCTCGTTCCAATGATGGCGAATGGCACAAATGAGTTGTAATTAAAAAAAAATTGGACGCTTCGGTACTGGGTAGTCGAGGATGAACATATAAAAAGACGGTGACTGAGATGCCATCTTTTTGTCAGAAAGTCTACATGTCTCCTTTTCACGCGAATCTTCATCCCTATTGCAGTGAATGTACTGGCAAGTTGCCCTGGATGTGGAGAATATTGATAGTAATTACATCGTACCGATTACTTACTTGATCTTCCTTTTCAGATCTTTTACACCGCTGTGGTTTTGTTGTCACCCGCCATGGCGATAGAAACAGGTAAAGAGTACCAGTGTCCTAATACCAGTCACGATCCAGGTTAGACTTGGTCTTTGGTAACTCATGCCTCTTGCAAGAGGCGACTAACGGGATCTGGTGGTCAGGCTCGCTGACTTGGTTGACACATGTCATCGTATCTCAATTGCGTAGATGTTGATCACTAGATTGTCTGGTCCAGACTCGATTATTTACAAACCGCCGCCATATAGGTGGAATATTGCTGAGTGCGGCGTAAAACTAAACTCACACACTCCATTCTTGTACACTCCTGTACATACGCCTGATCCCTCCTCTTCTCGTTCCTCCTGCCTGGAACGTTTGATCTTAGAGTTGAAGTCGTCCTCCATATCTTCACAATCATCCTCGCTGCACTTATTGTCAAACAAGGACAACCATAATACATGAAATATAGTTTCACGTTCTTGTAATTTGACTTATAAGTTTATAAGTTGAGTAAAGACTAGAGCTCCTTTCCCTATTTTCGGGTTATATTCTTGTGCTGTATATTGGCAGTTTACCATTCTGTTTACAAAAAAACAATAGGGCTTTCTTTATTTCCTAGTATATTAGAGTTTCCTAGTTGTATCTAAACAATACCAAAACAACATGTTGCTTGTCAATATGTCCCAGTTGCGTAGATCGATGCTGATGATGTCAATCACTTGATTGTTTGATTGAGCATCTTATGTTTATAGACCGCTGGAAAATTGCTGAGTGAAGCAACAAACGATCAAACAAATCATGTTCCGAGACGTCATCTGTTGCCAAGTGGAATGAGTAGATTTGAGTTGTTAGGTGTGTAGGAAGCTCATTATGGGAGTTCAGATCCTCGATTCTCCCTGATTATGCTTATAATTTTTGTCAGTACCATTTCACAGCTTGTGGATTTCCCACACCAAGTGGACACGAAGTGACATGACAAAATATATGGTCAATGTGATCATGCTCTCGGTATTTAAGATCATAAATCAAGACGACACAGCATTCAAAATATCCTGATAAACATTACATAAGATTTCAACCTGTCTTCCAATTCATATCTGTCTCCACAGTTGCTGGTCTACCATTGTGGGTGTCGGTCCTGCTGGTTGGAGCTATTGCAACACTCTACACGGCCATTGTAAGTTGATAATACCTTAGCACTGATCTTTCGAGACTGCTCGTTTTATATATTATTCACATAAAGACGCGACAATGCGAAGTTATACCCTTTTTTCAAGAACTGGCTTACACCCAGACATATCCTTGTTAGAATTGGTTTTCAGCAAACCATGCTTGTCGTAGAAGGCATACAACGAGATCGCGTGGTCAGGCTCGCTGACGTGGTTGACACATGTCATCGTATCCCATTGCTGTAGATCAATGCTCATGCTGTTGATCACTGCATTGTTCGGTCCATACTCGTTTATTTACAGACCGCCGCCATTTAGCTCGAATATTGCTGAGTGCGACGCAAAGAAAGAACTGGTGTACTTTCCATGTGCAATATTTTCAGTCATTTTTGTTTCCCAGGGAGGACTACGAGGGGTGGTTGTAGTGGATGTGTTTCAGGCCCTTGTCATGGTGGCTGGAGTCTGTGCAACTGTCCTTAAGGTAATTCATTTCACGTCTTTAAATGTACAGGTAAATAATCACAATCTTCACGACCACGAGAGGCACAAAAGCCCCCCACTGTTAAGTACACATTCCTTGCAACGTACATGTACTCATGTTTAACTTTATTCTCAGCTCCAGCTCTTGGATTCCACTTCTGTAACTCCGGACCATGCAAAGTATGGCTATCAGAGTACCTTAATATTACTGTCGCAGCTTGGACATTTCTATAAAGAAAACCATCGTATGTCAAGATGGTGGATGATGCTATCCCATGTTATGAATGTAGATGGAGGTTTTTCATATGTATTTATTAACACCTTTATATGAAAAGTGTATTAGTGGAAATTCTTACCACTGGAACATGACATACCAGCCTTCTTATATTTATAGAGAAGCTTTAATTATTCATACACTTTTCATCAGGAGCTTGCCTTTCAGACTCTGTAAATTATGGTTTTCAAAATGTTCCAAATACTATGTAAACCCTACTCTTCAAAAGTTCAACATATTGATGTCTTATGAAAAATGAGCATGTATGAAAAATGTAATTAGAAATGATGCTGCATTCATACACTATGGAATGTGCACGAGAATGGTATTTTGCGACATAGAACTATAACACTGTAATTGTATGGAAATAATGCTACATGCACATCTATACTGCTTCGCGTATGGTTTTATGATACATCCTTGTTTGATATTGTGTGATTTATTTATCTATTCTATATGGACCAATATTGTACCATGGATCGATGGCCTATATTTGTGCAAATAAAGTGAATACATGAATGGATGGATGGATGGATGGATGGAAATGTTCCAGAAATATTATTCACTTGTGTTGATGTTATTAAATGCCATTTCAGGGAGTGTATGAAATCGGTGGGTTCGGACTTACTTGGGACCTGGCAAGGCAGGGTGGACGTCTCCCGCCTGTAGAGTAAGATTTCTACAGTACACATACATTTCAAAAAAGGATTATGATTTAATCAAGCAAGATTGTCCTCCTAGGCGAGTTCATGTCTACATGATGTTTTGTTTCGTTCTAAAGGCAAATCAACTACCAACTGGCAGTTCAAGGAAATGAGTTTGTTTGTCTGTCTGTTTGCTTAACGCCGCCTTCAACAATATTCCAGCTATATGGCGGCGGTTTATAAATAATCGAGTCTGGACCAGACAATACAGTGATCAACATCAACTAGGATACAACCAAGTCATTGAGCCTGACCACCCGATCCCGTTAGTCGACTCTCACGACAAGCATGGGTTACTGAAGACCAATTCTAACTAACCCGGATTACGTGTATCAAAGAAGTGCGTAGTACCATTTATAATCATATCCCTTATTCTTTCAGTTTCAGTCTAGATCCGCGTGTACGTCACTCCTTCTGGGCGCTGGTGGTAGGAGGAGGCAGTATGTACGTGGCGTACGTCTTCGACCAGTCAGCCATACAGAGGATATGTGCACTTCCCACTGTCAGACAGGCCAAGCTGTAAGTTGTCAACACAACCGATCCAGTCAGTAGTCGCTATGACAGTGTTATTGGTATATTATCATCCCTTAGCATGTTTACTTTATTCTTTATTCTCGAGAACAGGATTGTGCACAAGTTGTCTTAGAACGACCTCTCTAATGGATTTACATGAATGCCTTTGTATAATGAATTAAATTTACAATCTAATCACCGAAAGGAAAGAAGAGAAATACAGAAATGTGAGTATATTAATATAGATCACTCAACCCGTTTTTTCTGTATATACTACAAACAAAAAAGTATCTGAACACCCTAACATTTGTTTGCTTAATGGGCACTTTAAACGACATGTTAGACCTTGCAGTGAAGCAATTGATTCAATATTCGTTGAGTTTGAGTGAAATGAAACACAGTGAAATACAAGGGTTCTGAAACACCCCAGCCACACGTTTGATTCAAACGTTCAAACACAACAGCCTAATGCAAGTGGTCAACGAATATTGAATCAGTTGCTTCACTGCAAGGTCTAACATGTCGTTTAAAGTGCCCATTAAGCACACAAAAAGTTGCATTTAACTTAGAGTATAAATGATACTACCACATTTAAGTTTATATAACTATCAAATGTTAGGGTGTTCAGATACTGTTTTGTTTGTTGTATATATAGAAAAAAACGGGTTGAGTGATCTAAGTTAATGTACTCACATTTCTGTATTTCTCTTCTTTCCTATCGGTGTTTACATATGACTATCAAATTTTAGGTTGTTCCCATACTATTGGTGTATAGTATATATACATGTACATTCTTAAAAGTCTTTCGTTTTCCTGATAAGGTAAAACTGAATTGCCAACTAGCCAGAAGTCAGTATAACGTCACAAGCATCTTTCACAATAACAAAAGAGAGTTCATCACTTCGTTTCTAGATGATTTTAAAGCGGACATTCAGTGAATATCCACAGGGTTGCTGCATCGGTATTTTCTATCCTCGTTTAATCTTTCTTTAAAAAAATAAATTAATTCACTGTCCCCATGTCTTAATTTGTTACGTATTATATTGACGTTCTGAGGCAACATGAGAAATGTTGGGACCTTCTCACTGATATTGTACAATTCTGACATGAGCCTATATTTATGAATAGCCACCAAATAGTAATGATTATAGTTGTTGCGAAAAGATGAGCATGTCTTGCCAAACCGGCGGCACCCGTCATAAACATTTAAATGCCAAGTTTGGTCAGTGGAACATATGGTGTAAGTCCAAACTGAAAACTGCAGCGGACATCATCATTGTCAGTGATGCCTCAAACTTGGAAAAGCATTAAATTTTCATATATATACATCAAAGGACTTTTCGCTAACTTGTGAGTCGAAACTTCGAACAAGTATATTTTTAAGCTACCAGGTGGTCATCTGGTTGCGAAAGTGTGGAAACTCTCAAAGGTACTCATTCTGCAATACGCTTGTTGTGTCTGTTCACAGGCAAACTGTAGCGCATATAGGACGACTGGTCATTTTTCTCTCTGTTGCACAACCCTATTTGCGTTACAATTTGCCTGTGATCTGTAATATTGCTATATGCTGCTTGCACTAACTCGCTGTTACAGCACCTTCGCCATCACCACAGTCGTCACAGGCATATCCTTTGTGACCCTGAGTTTCCTCGGACTCGTGGCCTACAGCTACTACACAGTTCAAGGATGCGACCCGTTCAAGGCAGGGTACCTCCAGAACAGAAACCAGGTGATACTTATTACATGGCGCCATCTGTTTGACAAGATTCGTGAAATATCTCTAACATCACCCAGGCTGGTTTATTTGACTCTTTAATTATATACAGTTTTATGGTTTAGTAAACGGTATATAATTTTCTTAAAATTTTGATTCATACACTGATAAATAAAATCTTTTCGGTACTGTTTTAAGTATTTCGTTCCAAACCGTGACTGTCTCATGTGAACAACCAATACTTACCTTCGCAGCTCGTCCCCTACTTTGTGATGGAAATATTCAATGGTTTCCCAGGCATGTCGGGACTTTTCCTAGCAACAATATTCAGTGCTGCGCTCAGGTGACTTTTAAGGGTATTTTTACTTTTTCAGTGAGATATATTTTTAGTCAGTTATCAGGTTTATCGTTATCAGATTACTTTTAATGATGAAGAGTTTAGGAATTGGGGGCAAATTGTCTATTCCCGATTGGATTCTGTCATATTACCAACAGTAAATAACAAAATTGGCTAATTCATTGTCTGTCACCCATGAAGATCCGAGCTGAAATTGTTCACCAGGACCCTACTTATGTTGTTATATACGAAGGGCGGTGGGGTAGCGTAATGGTTAAAGCGTCCGCTCCTCACGATAATGACCCGTGTTCAATTCCCTACATGGGTATAATGTGTGAAGTCCATGCCCCCGCCTTGGTATTGCTGGAATATTTCTCTGAAAGCGGCGTAAAACCAACTCACTCACTCACTGTAAGGTACGTACTAACTGTGTTGATGTATGTCATTATATCATATCATATATCATATCAGACGATTACATGGTATACACTAAATTATTTAAACAGATCTCCGGCATATAGCTGGAATATTGCTAAATTAATTTTTTAACCAAATATTCAAACACTAACCATCGTACGCAATAGAGGAGCATTTAACATTTAAACCAGTGAAGTTTTAAACAGCTTTAACATCATTTTTACTACGTGTATAGTATTTTGTCATAAAAGAATAGGAATTCTATGGCGTCACTTATATCAAGTCTTTTCCACTTCAAATAAATAACATCAAAGTTTTTATCTCTTAAAGTTCGGTGTCTTCCGTCATCAACGGCCTTGCCGCCAACACCATCGAGGATCTGCTACGGCCTGTGTTTGACCGGTACAATACAAGCGAGAAAGGGAAAATATTGACTGCCAAGATTTCAGGTGAATGTTGAAACTGATTGGCTGGTTGATTGTTGTTTTACGCCGCACTCAGCAATATTCAAGCTATATGGCGGCGGTCTGGACCAGACAATTCAGTGATCAACAGAATGAAAACATCGATCTACGCAATTGGGATACCATGACATGTGTCAACCACGTCAGCGAGCCTGACCTCCTTAAACTTGAAGCATGGGTAGTTGCAACCCTGATCTTAATTGTTACGACACAGAAACAAACCTGACAAACACACACAAACAGCGAGCCTGACCACCGACCCCGTTAGTCACCTCTTACGACAAGAATGGGTTGCTAAAGACCAGTTCTAACCCGGACCTTCACGGATCGTTGAAACTGAAATTGTATGATGACATGATAGTATGTGGCACAAGAACGCCAATTTCTATACATTACATAGCCAAATAATGGTGAAACCCGTTCCATGATACGCCTTCTCTGTTTTTCCACATTACAGTCGTAATTCCAAATGATCTAGATTTTCCAGTCCATTGATCACTTGATTGTCTGGTTTGTTTACAGACCGAAGTCGCATTGGAAGGGTACTGCTGTGCAGCGTCACTCAAAAATACCTCATTTTAAAACGCATCTTGTAATAGCGGGTGCTACCGGTAGGGCTATATTCAACAACAGTGCGAACGTTAAGATGAGGTTGTTTAAGTCTTCCCCCATTTCAGTGTTCATCTACGGAGGGCTTTGTGTGGGCTTGTCTTTCGTTGCGAGGACATTGCCAGGAACCATTGTCACGGTCAGTGCCATTTCTCCTTATATAATCATAGTTCCTGCGATAAAGAATGATGTCAGTTCCTCGGTAATCGTATTTCTTGTCAAACATGAAAATCAAGGAACTTCGTTTTTGTGGCCTCAGAGTCATATTTCAGCATGTCTTAAAGATTACTTTGCAACTGCTATATATTAAGAGATATAAATCAATATACACATTTATTCTGTGCTGTAACAGGCCGCAATCGGATTCGTTGGAGCTTGTGCGGGACCTGTTTTCGGGATTTTTCTGTTGGGAGCTTTAACTCCCTGGGGAAACATATCGGTGAGCATATCATTACACTATAGAAAGGACTAGAATGATAATATACAACACGGGGCACTGAAGGGACATTATACTATAGTAAGGCCTAGAATGATAATATACAACACGGGGCACTGAAGGGACATTATACTATAGTAAGGACTGATTGGATACTAAACTATGTGGAGTATGAAGGGATAATACTCTGAAGTGAATACTTGAGGAATAACATACCGCAATTAGTACTGTTGGGATAGTATACAACAACGAGCGATGTTGATGATGTACTATTGGTAGTACTGTTGGGACATTATAAGTTGTTCACTGGTCATGAGGGGGACATGGGCTGATGTACCCTCGATGTTTGTTTATGTTCCCATAGCCCGAAGGGCGAGGGACCAGTGAACAACGTATTTATCTTACCGAACACCTCAATGGTAATTTTGAACTGTTTGAAGCACGGGTATCTGATCATAGTATGGAGTACCAGCCGACAAGACAAGAAACACAAATTTAGAGTTATCTCCCTTCCATCGATCTGCATTCGCAAAACATCGGTAATTTCCGTACATCATTTGCGATTTAATGTTATTCGAGATAAAGAATTACTACTACGAAGTACCAAATGAGTTCGGCATTCCCAGCGGGATACATAGAAAATGTTACTCGCTTGTAAGCAGGGTACATTGAAAATAATAGAAGAGCGCTCAGCCAATCGGAAAACGACATTTATGTGAGAGGCAAGATAATATACTAGGGGTGGGTATTGCAGCGAATTTTCATCTCCCGATATATTGCGATGCGAAAGCATATATTGCTATATGTATTACAATATATTGCAAGAAGTTTTTATAACCAAAAACTATGTATAATCGAGTTAATGCTTGATTTTTAAAGCAAAAGAAACAAAAACAGAACAAAATTACTATGTTTGATTTAGCTTAAATAAAAACTTTTAATCGTCCCGCCTGAGAATTTCACTTTACCATTGAATATTTTACATACCGCTTTACTCTTATCATTAGTTCCATCTACCGTGAACTTTTCCAACCCAAAATACTGCCATACTGAAGGTTTGCCCTAGTATTTGGCACCATAATAAATTGTTCATTGTTGGGGGTCGCTAATTTACAACAAACGCTTGACTTCCGGTGTGAAAAACGGAAATATCCGAAGATTTCCGAAAGTACGAAGTTTCCGAATGCATGTCAAAATACCGGTTTTCGATAAGCGTAACGCAATAAGTATCGTTTTCATGTCTGAACCGGCAAATGCCGGTAAACCGGTTATATTGCGCAGCCCTGCATTATACTATAGGGAATACTTACGGGATAATATATTATAGAGAGCATTGAGGGGACATTAAACTATAAGGCGCACTGAATGAATAATAGACTGTATATAGCACATATGGGATAATATACTATAGGTAGTGCTGAAGGGATAGCATATTATTGGGAGTACAGAAGAAACAATATATCGTCGGATTTATGCTTTCGGACGTCATGTGTCAGTGTTTTAAGTAATTTCTGCCGAATATTGCTACATTTAAGTATGTTTGCGTGTGTACTTTAAAACAGTGTTTACCATATTCTGTACCCATATACATGGCAAGCTAACAACATGTTCAGTGGTCAAAACATGCTGAATTGGTAACTGTGGAGATAATGTATTTTATGTTCCCGTCCACCAGGGGGCGGTGTCCGGCTTGGTTGTATCACTGGTCCTGAATGTGTGGATCACTCTCGGCGGCATCATGTACGGACGTAGGCCTGTGCCACTACCACCAGCGCCTGGCAACTCCTGTGTGGTCCCGGATGTAGCCAACATGACAGGGTTGCCCGTCCTTGACCCATTAAACAACATGGCGGGTCTGTACATCCCGTCCAATAACAGTACAGGACATGCAGATATCAGCCCAACTAGGTTAGGCTTGGATTGAGGAAATCATTTATCAGATATCAAATCTGACATACTCTCCATCAGTCATTACCCATGAAATAAGTTTTGCATTTGCATTGATAATCTCTTTATTTGTATGTATGCTCTGTTCACGTGATCATAATATTCTATCAGTGGCGTAGTTTTATATGATGATAAAAACACTTTATCGTGATTTTTTTCAGTTAAAATAGTCGTATATTAGGAAACACTTTATCGTGATCTTTCTCAATTAATATAGTGTTAGATTAGGATAGAAATACTTGATCGGGATCTTTCCCAATTAACACAAACTTAGTTTTATATGATGATAAAACACTGAATTGTGATTGTTATCAGTTGACCTGGTATCATATGAATGCCGACATAACATGGCAACATCCAACCACTATATTGCTGATAGCGACATATCAGAGTAGATTGTTACACAGCTTCAGCTCGATAACAGTTTTGGAATCTACATCGAAACAGTGTGCGAAATAGCCACTGGCCCGCTAGCCCGTGGTTGGTAAAAATCATGTCAGGCCAGTAAATAGTGGATTTTCATGGGGTCACTTTGTAAATATATCACTCTGTTCGACTTGTTAAGTTATGATACACGTTTAAGTCATGCAAGATTATAGCCATGTTAATCATATTAGCAGCTTAATGATGAAACCCGTGTCATGCCGGACTGGATTTTGTGGACTGGAAACTTTCAGGCATAGTTTATTGGAAACTATTTCGCACACTGCATCGAAACGTCGCTTCATGCAATAAAAAAGAACTTCGTATCCAACAAAACCACGTGTTGCCTTATTTCATCTTTAGTGATGATACTATACTGATGTATATAAACTATAGCTGTAACAGAGTAACGCGCTTTATCAAACAATAGTAACACTGAAATATATCATGCTGTAGTGCCCCCATCCCGGATGTCAGCTCTGGAGGAAACCCCCTCTACGACATCTCATACATGAACTATGCAGTGACAGGATGGGTGATCGCCTTACTTGTTGGGTTGGTTGTCAGTCTAGCAACAAGTGAGTATATTAGCATGACCATGAATGAAATATATTAATATTCTATATAAATGTTAATGTATGATCAATCTTTGAACCATGCTCTAGTTGGATGATTGATTTGTTCTGTGTAGAGGTGATGGTCCGTATGGAAGGTAATCAGTCCCCAATTCATAACAGTTATAATACCTTACGTCAGTGCAAGGAATAACCATTCTTGATTACCCCCCAGTGACAGATTCCATTTGATGTAAAGGGCAGAATGGCGGTGGAATCGTTAGGAATGAATATCAATGATGACAAAGGGTGTTTCATAGCACATTTAGACCAGTCGAGACAGATGATACATAGAGGATATTATATGAGTGTTCATATCATACTATGTTTACGACAGGAGTGCCTAGATGTTGGTATGATATGGGCACGAATATAATATTCTGTTTATTACCGAAGTCGTCAAATATGGGAAAAAAACCAAATCTACTTTCAATCACAGGTTGGCTACCCGCTGTCGCCGCATGTAGAACGCAACGTCACAGAAGAAACGTGGCGTCATAGCCTTGTTCATGACGTCACGTCACCATGACAAAGTGATATTTTGCTCTAGGGAATCGCATGAAAAATATGAACCCCGATATGTTCGCCCTCGTAGGTAATAAAAACCATTATAAAACTGACAAGATTCTGGTACAAGACCTAAGGAATTTTATGGTTTTCATCTTAGAATTATCAATGTAAACAAGGGATAACATGTTGATGCATTCATTTTAATTTGTCAATGTTCATATAATTGTATGTTGAAAATTAAAGAAAATATAAAGTAAAAATATATGTATCTGATTGTGTTATCAGAACGCTGGCATGAACCAGTGAGAGATGAGAAGCTGCTTATACCCTTTGTGAGGCGGTTCTGGAGACTGAACCAGGGTGATGTAAAACAGGCGAGTATTCATAACTGTTACGTACATAATGATTTTAGCACTAGTTGGGATACTGTCCATTTCAGAAATACGAAAATGGATTTCTTTAGTTCATGACAGATGGCCGAGCTCGTGTTTGGCGCTGCAGAAACACTGCACGTCTACAACGGAATACATCAGAGCAAGTACCGTTTGGCGTGGGTACCTCTCACTGACTGTAAACTTGACCTTGTAACGAAAGGACAAAATCTGAATGGACAACGGTTCATTACTGAGTTCAGAGTTGTTGTACCACATTTCGATGACCATCCTCTGAACACGAGAACAGTCTTCGTGGACGACAATGCCAGGCCACATCATGCACGTGCCGTTGGTACTTTCTTACGTCAAGAGGCGGTAACACCTCCACCTTGCCAGGAGTCCAGCCCTTAATCCCGCAGAGCATGCTTATAACATGATGGGAAAAAGACGCCTCAGTAATTTTGGTCATGTGTGCTCTGAACAAAATATTTATTTTTTTTCTATGGCATTGTGTATTTATATTTTTTTCGTTCTTTCTACGTTTACATTTACCATGTCATTTGGGGTTAATTTATCCAGATAGTGAGTTAAATGTAGGTTTGGATAAGTTCCTTTGCTATGATTAATGGCTACATATTGATGTAAAGGTGTTGCGATACTTATTTCCATGTGTATATTTTCCATATATCCACATTGTTTCAGACGGTGGAACTGAAGCATCTTGATGAGGGTTCTGTGGAAGAGCCACATACCAAAAACCTGTTGAAAGATTTTGGAATTATAACTACGGATATGCTGTGATCCCCTTTAATAAAAATATGACATATTTCTGTTCACATCATTTTACCACCCTCACTTCCAATACCATGTTTCGTATTGTAATTCAAAATTGATAATATATATTTTACAAAATGAGGAAGAATTTATGCTACCATCTTTGATAATCCACTTTGAGGACAGCTTCGTGTTGACACTCGGTGCGTAACAGAACTTGATGTAAAAGCAACAAACAATAAAGGATGTTATATAATTAACAAATGTGTTCAAAAATTAAGTAAGATCACAAATTAATACAAAATTAAGTGACAGTACAAATTCAAAGAGTATGATACAAAAGCCGTGATTACAGCAATAAAGACAATGGTGTTAATATTCACCTCACCGCAACAATGGACACGTTTCCAAAATAGGCCCAGTACACAGGGTAAGAATGGTGTCCACACAATCACTGGTCTTCTTGTGACTTGAGATGCAGTATGAGGTGAGAGGCAAGAGTTATCTCACCGTGTATACCTAATGAAAAGACTCCAGAAGACCCCTTGGTCAGAATATAGCGGAAAAACCCATATGGTTGTAGTACCCTGTAGCCCATCACGGACTCTCCGTATATGCAAAAGTGCTACATTCTGGTCTGTATCCTGAAGCCAATTTCTCGGCTGGGTTTGGATGTTCAGTCTTAGTAATAAAGTAAAACGATAATTCTGTAGCATAATGTATTTATTAATGCAATGCTTAGACGTACTATTTCTTTTCAAATATCTTTGTGTGGCATTTAGAAGCTGGTGTGATGAAGAGGAACACTTATTAATGGATAGACAACGTCTTTATTACAATAGATGTGAACACAGTTATCAAGCAAATAATCATTTGCAATCTATTCCAATAAAAAAGTTTTCTATCCTTACAAAGGTTCCTCCTCAACTTAATACCTGTCCAGTAAGAAACTGTAACGTTATTAAAAAACCCGTCTTGACCATGACTATGGGGGCGAAAATGAACTGTGTAGGGTGGGATCATAAATGACACACAAGTGAGGGTGTGGAGGCGTGGTTGGGTGTGAGTGTTTGTCTTTCTGTGTGTAGATATTGTGTAAACTAAGGTGTGTAAGGGGATTTTGTTTCGGTTCGGTTTTATGAATGTGTTCTTAGGAAAGAACGTTTGTAACTGTTGAATGTAATGTTAAGCCAGGTGTTTTTTCGGCCAATAATAGCCCGGTGTTTTAACATAAATATGTATGTATTCTATATGTTTGTACACGTGACACCATAATATACTATATATTATTAATATTATCTTGCCTATCCTGTGCATTTACATTCATTGTTACAGAATTAATGGCCAGGGTATTACATAGTACTTTATTTACTTTTCGGGATTCAAATTACTCTTTCAATTGAGTGTCTTTCTTAATCAATGTGCGGATAGATACTCCGTAGTCCCAGTGGGTAGTTTGGGGGGAATTTAGAATCTCTTTAGCCAGTCAAAGTGTCTGAGTCACCAGTTTGTAGACTACCTTGCTATTCAGGTCTATTCGTCTATTTTAAGAGGACTGTTTTAGGGATAGACCCACAGTGTTTTTTAAAGGTTATTCAGCCAAGGTTTTTTAGGGTGTTGGGTTAATCAACTCGCAGGAATTAATTGGTCGCAGCCGACTTAAATGGCTATATGTACATGTCATTGCGTTGATTTAATTACTCTATTTCTGTCATGCAATGGCTGAGCCAATCGGCTTTTACTGTGACTTAATTATTTAGTGGTGTTTGGAAGGGTAAATGAGTTAATGATATTTCATGCTGTCAGCCTTTTGATACTATTGCCTGTTGGAAATAAAACAATAACCATTATGTCTTTATTCTTGTTCACTGACACTCTTGCGCAACAATGTGACATGCATCAGTCACAAAATTGGTGACCAGAACCATACTTTCGTTTGTTTCTTCAGGTGAACAATTGACCTGACTTTGTATGTGTTTGTCATGGCCGCCATCGGTGGTCCTAGATCATATTACAATTTGCTTCAGAAATTCATTTTATAATGAAGAACAAAATTAAAAGCACTGTTTTTTTCACATTTCGCCTCACAGAAATATAATAATAGTTACAATCTCAAATCCGTAGTCGTTTTCAATAGAAGAACATTATCTAAAAAACTGTGAGCAAAACCTGTCGTTGATTTATCCTATAAACTTTAAAACACTAAAATACTAATCAGAAAAATTGCCCTCGTTCTTGATGTGGAAATACAAACATTACACCTCTTACCAGGCAAATACTGTTTTGCTATTCGTTATCGTCCCAATAACAAGTCCGCTATTGAATGTTAAAACATAATTCATAAGTATCGCCGGTGTAATAATGAATTTCCGCATCTCATAAGGTGTTTTACGTCGTACAGCCATCGTCGGTGACGTCACAATAGATGATGACATTACTTCTTGGTGGGTGTGTTGCAGGAATAGGTCTAAGTACCCCAATCGCTAGTCGGACATTATCGAAGCTCAGAAGGGCCATCCATCATTTCTACAGCAGGAATAGGTCTAAGTATCCCAATCGCTAGTGGGGCACTATCGAAGCTCAGAAGGGCTATCCATCATTTCTACAGCAGAAATAGGTCTAAGTACCCCACTTGCTGGTCGGACACTATCGAAGCTCAGAAGGGCTATCCATCTTTTCTACAGCAGGAATAGGTCCAAGTACCCCACTTGCTGGTCGGACACTATCGAAGCTCAGAAGGGCTATCCATCTTTTCTACATCAGGAATAGGTCTAAGTACCCCACTTGCTGGTCGGACACTATCGAAGCTCAGAAGGGCCATCCATCATTTCTACAGCAGGGGTAGGTCTAAGTACCCCATTTGCTGGTCGGACACTATCGAAGCTCAGAAGGGCCATCCATCTTTTCTTCTACAGCAGGGATGGGTCTAAGTACCCCACTTGCTGGTCGGGCACTATCGAAGCTCAGAAGGGCCATCCATATTTTCCTCTACAGCAGGGATGGGTCTAAGTACCCCATTTGCTGGACAGACACCATCGAAGCTCAGAAGGGCCATCCATCTTTTCTTCTACAGCAGGGATAGGTCTAAGTACCCCATTTGCTGGTCGGACACTATCGAAGCTCAGAAGGGCCATCCATCTTTTCTTCTACAGCAGGGATGGGTCTAAGTACCCCATTTGCTGGTCAGACACCATCGAAGCTCAGAAGGGCCATCCATCTTTTCTTCTACAGCAGGGATGGGTCTAAGTACCCCATTTGCTGGTCAGACACCATCGAAGCTCAGAAGGGCCATCCATCTTTTCTTCTACTGCAGGGATGGGTCTAAGTACCCCACTTGCTGGTCGGACACTATCGAAGCTCAGAAGGGCCATCAATCTTTTCTTCTACAGCAGGGATAGGTCTAAGTACCCCATTTGCTGGTCAGACACCATCGAAGCTCAGAAGGGCCATCCATCTTTTCTTCTACAGCAGGGATGGGTCTAAGTACCCCATTTGCTGGTCAGACACCATCGAAGCTCAGAAGGGCCATCCATCTTTTCTTCTACAGCAGGGATGGGTCTAAGTACCCCATTTGCTGGTCGGATACTATCGAAGCTCAGAAGGGCTATCCTCTTTTCTTCTGTATGAATGGGTCTTTATCATCTTAATAATTTTAGAACACAATCAACTGGAGGAAAATTCATTTATTCACACCAAGTGCAGAATTTAATTTTATATGCAATATGATTGATAAGCATATAACTTGAATTCAGTTTGCAGTCAGAAGGCAGTTTTCGATGACGGCACCTACATAACCACCATCAACAGAAGTTCACTAAAGGGTTGGACATGTAGACGTGCATCGTTGAAAGACGTCCCATCTCACCGAGAAAGTCCGGTACAGGATCCATAAATTTCTGAAAGACATGGTGTTATCATGTGTTATCAGTGATACCACTCAACCCATAAATTTCTGAAAGACATGGTGTTATCATGTGTTATCAGTGATACCCCTTAACCCATAAATTTCTGAAAGACAAGGTGTTATCATGTGTTATCAGTGATACCCCTCAACCCATAAATTTCTGAAAGACAAGGTGTTATCATGTGTTATCAATGATACCACTCAACCCATAAATTTCTGAAAGACATGGTGTTATCATGTGTTATCAGTGATACCACTCAACCCATAAATTTCTGAAAGACATGGTGTTATCATGTGTTATCAGTGATACCACTCAACCCATAAATTTTTGAAAGACAAGGTGTTATCATGTGTTATCAGTGATACCACTCAACCCATAAATTTCTGAAAGACAAGGTGTTATCATGTGTTATCAGTGATACCACTCAACCCATAAATTTCTGAAAGACAAGGTGTTATCATGTGTTATCAGTGATACCCCTCAACCCATAAATTTCTGAAAGACAAGGTGTTATCATGTGTTATCAGTGATACCACTCAACCCATAAATTTCTGTTATGCTCATTACCAGTATTCCTTTTGGATACACTTACGGTTATATTTTTCACATATTTAAACATTTACAAGGATTGTTATTTGTCTTTATTGTTTCCTGTCCCGCTGGTTCTCATTCGAAATCCTACATTTTAGAGTCTTTACTAGCTCATTGTTTTCGCAAGGGTAGCAAACTTCTATCTTCGTCATTTTGGACGGCAGTTGAGATAGGTGGGGAAGCCTCGCCATAAAGCGTTGGATGTCGTGCCAATTTGGATTCTAATTCATTCTTAGATCTTTCTTGATGATTGCCAAAAGTGGAGCAGACACCAACTCGTTTACAAACAGCATCCGTTGTCTCCAACCTTTCATGGTGGCGAGTCCTGTCGTACGGCGTTACACAAACACTCCCCTTTTTATTAACGCCACCTTCCTAGTTAGCAATATTTACATCATTGATTGATTGATTAATTGATTGACTGTTTTACGCCGCACTCAGCAATATTCCAGCTATATAGCGACGGTCTGTAAATAATCGAGTCTGGACCAGGCAATCCAGTGATCAACAGCAAGATCATCGATCTTCTCA